ATAGTATTATCTTTTGATTTATATGTTTGTTTATTTAGTGTTTTGATTTAAACAATTTTTTATTTTTATGGGAGGTATATGGAATTGTATTGAAAATATAAAAAAATACTCCCTCCGTCCACTTATAATGTTTACATTTACTTTTGGCGCGGTGTTTAAAAAATAATAGTATTTTAATTATAGTGAGTAGTTAAAAGTAGTGTAATGACATTTTTGCCCTTACTTTTTTGTGTAAAAGTAACGATGTGATGTAAAGTAAGGATATTTGTGGAAAAAAGTAGGATATTTAATGAAATGTTAACTTTGTAATTGGACGTTCCAAAATAGAAATATGTAAATATTATAAGTGGACGGATGGAGTATAATCTATATCCCATAAGAAGAATACCATGGACTTTTTGCGCGTTGATATTTGAACATTAATTATTATATCAATATGTAATGCAAATCAAGAGAAAATTACAAAAATACCTCTATTGGTCTCTTATAATACAAATACAATAACATTTGTAGAGTAAATTATACAAATATAAGGACATTTTGAATGTTAACTACAATAACGTAAAAGATAAAGTGTACCCTTATTATGATACGGAGATAATATTTAATATTGAAATTTGACTTTTATAAAAAAAGATAATATATATATATATATACGGAGAATCGTCTTGAAAAAGAAAATTGTGGAAAAATAAACAATATCTGATGATATTATGGTAAATAAAGGTAGGAGTGTCAATTCGTGTTTTTGGGTCGTGTTCGTGTCGGGTTGAGCCATAGGGATAACAAAAAAACTGTCAACCCGAACCCGAAATTTGACCTGAAATCCTAGACCCGAACACGACACGAATTCTTTCAAGTCGGGTTCAGGTTGACCTGAATTAGTTTTAGGTCACCCGAAACCCGAATAAACCCGATACGAACCCGACACGAAATAGACCCGAAAATTAAAAAAAAAATTAAATTGACCTAAAAAAAATCATTTTTATTTTAATTTTTATATTATTTTAAATATAAAATAATATAAATATTATAAATTAAAATAATAATAATAATAAAAATTTCAGGTCAACCCGAAACACGAAACCCAAAACCTAACCTGATTTTGATATTTCAGGTTATCAGGTCAATCCGAAACACGACCCGAACACGACACGAATTTTTTTCGTTTCAGGTTTGGATCGACCCGATTTTTTTCAAACCCGAACCTGAAAAATTTCAGGTCGAACGGGTTCGATTTTTCGGGTCGGGTTTAGTTTTGACACCCCTAAATAAAGGTTGAGTAAAGATAAATTGCTAATTGAACGTGGACTACACATATTATGAATTAGAAATGAGTTATTTAGGTGAGACAATAATACAGATGAAGTATAAATTTTTATATTTAAATTATTTTGAATTCTTTGACCTTGGTTTGAGTAGGATATACTGTTTTGTTAGTAAAAATAATATTATCTACGTCTCAAAACTGATAAAGTATAAATTTTTATATTTAAATTATTTTGAATTCTTTTAGAGTTTGACCTTGGTTTGAGTAGGATATACTGTTTTGGTAGTAAAAATAATATTCTCTCCGTCTCAAAACTATAGTATTAATTGAATTAGCACAAAATTTAAATAATATTGATATTATATTGATAGTTGGTAAAAAGTATGAATAAAAGATTTTTTGCCCTCGTGAGTGTATTAGTGTAAAAATTAGTGGCAATTGTGTAATAAAAATGAAAAAGTAGGGGTAGTTTTATGGTGATATGGTTATTTATGGAAATAAGACTACTGATTTTGAACTGACAAAATGGTAAACAAGACTATTATATTGGGACGAAAGGAGTATGTATTTATATGAAATTGTGATATACAAGGATGATGAGTTTTGCCCCGAATCCGCTCTGGCCATAGTGTTAATGAAACGAGTTTGATTTTAATTTTTTATATCGAGAGTAGATTAACTTTTTTAAAATTTTAAACTCGGTCGAATTCAGAGCGAGTTACGGATTTAATAAAGACTAGGTTGCAAAATGGGTTTGTTCTAAACTCACTTATATTACTAACTATAAAAATTAATATTATATTATCTCCATTCCAACTGAATCGACACATTAGTGAAACAAAATTTAAGATAACGATGTTTAATTAGTTAATAATAATAAGTTACAATATTATTTTATTATTCTTTATGTAATTAATAATATTAGCAATTTTTAAAATAAATTTGATGTATATATAATTAAAAAAAATTAAAATGTGTATTTTCAATATTTTAAAATTATATCACAATAAAGAATATATGCAATAAGTATATTATTTTGTAGAAAATAATTTTTTATAATAAAAGTAAATAAAAAAATATTTATTTATAATTAACATAAATTAATTTTATAAAATATGCGAAGTTTTAAATGTAGATAAAAATATTTATTTTTTAAGAGAAATAGAAATAACAAAGTTTTGAATGGATCATATATGATGTATGATGTTATATGTTATTTAGTTAATTAAATTGATTTATATTGATTAAGTATGTCTAGATTTAATAAGTTTTACTAGTAAATGTGTCCATTATTATGAGACCAAAAAAAAAAAAAATCTCAATTAAGATGGGACAGAAGAATATATTATTATAATTATTTATTGTCTAAATTTATAATATTATATCTTGGTGATTGAGATTTTTGAAATTTAAAATAGCTAAGATTTACTATGTGTAATTTATTATATTTTACTATTATATAACACTACAAGAAATTATCAATTTTGTAACGAAGTTTTTTCGTTACTAAATTCATTTTTTCCGTTACTAATGATATTAGAGACGGAATTAGAGATGGAATTACGTTAGCTACGTGAACTTTAGTAACGGAATTCCGTTACAAATATACTATTTTCTTGTAGTGTAACCTATAACATGAGAAAAAGTTATATGTTCACATGGTTTAGTATAATAAGACACTTCTAGGGCTTGTAATTTTCTAGCCGGACGGATTTTAGGGCATGTAAAATTTAGGTTAAATTATATAACATCCTCAAAGTATTACGAACAAATACAATGGCACGGAAAGAATTCGTGTTACATAAATAGAACCCATCTAAAGAAAATAATTTTAAAATTAGTAAAATCAAAATCTTGCGAACAAGCACAATGGCACGAAAAGAATTCGTGTTACATAAATAGAGCCCATCTAAAGAGAATAATCTTAAAATTAGTAAAATCAAAATCAAAATCAAAATCAAAATCTTACGAACAAACACAATGTCACCAAAAGAATTCGTGTTACATAAATAGAGCCCATTTTGTGGAAATTTTGGTTGCATGAATCCTAATTTCTAGCAGATACCCTTGTCACATTAATTGTAATGACATGATAATGGCAAAATTTGTGGGCTGTTTTTCTGGTTTTAGAAATTTTTAAGAGTTCAGAAATTTGAGGGGTTTTTTATTGTTAACTATTAAGATTGGTAAAAATATTATTTTTTTTTGTTCCAATTTAAAATATTAATTTTATTATTTTTGTCTGTCCTAAAGTAATAGTATTATTTTTTAATCTACTACAAAATTTCAAATAATCCATTTGATTTGGACCGAAAGTGTTTTTTCTTTTTTTTCCGCAACCATTATCCGAAGGGGTGCGATTTAGATAAACTCCGACCGAATCTAATAATCTGCAAAATAGGCGAGGAACCATGTATGATAAATAAGACCTTGAGGCGTCCGACTTAAAGTATATATTTGATTTTAATAGATTAAAAAGATAATAAGTATTGTATTATTTAGTGAAAGTATGTAAGATAATATTGATATTTTTATCTTTATATGTATAAATAGAAAAATATATATTTTTGTAAAATTTAAAAATATTTTGATATTTATATAAAAATTATTTAGTGTAATAGACGAAAATGATAAAATAAGTATGTTAAAAGTTGCGACGGAAGGAGTCCTATGCTTCGAATAACTATACTTATAATTTATCCTATGATCTCTTAATATTTTTAATGTGTAAGGTTTGGTTACAATTTAATATCTTTCGTAATTAAATAAATATTTATTTTTATTTTATTAAATCAATTTATAATTATTACACATATGTAAAGTTTTTAGTTATAGGTATTATATATATCTAAAACAACCGCGGATAGGGTGAGCTGATTTAATCGAATTAGCAATTAACTTGAAGTAATCAACAATTTGTCACAAAATATATAGAATAACACATTAATTTGAAACAATTAGTATTTTATCACAACATAAATAACAAATATTGTATTGCTATAGTATTATATTAATATTTGCGACATTGTTTATAGATATTTGTTGATTGAGTCAAATTACTATTATGTTGAAATCATAATATATTTTGTTATGTATAATTATGTAATGCACTATTAAAATATATATTACTCCATATTAATATTAATATTAATATTTACTATTTTAGAAAATATTAATGAACAAAATAGCAAATATTAATATAATATATAATATATATTTGTCAAAATTGAGTATAATTCACTTATAGTTTGAAAAGTGGGCCCCCTACTCCCTCGTTATTTAGAAATTACACAAGGCTCCCCCGAGTTTTGAAAAATAATGAACTAAAAATTGCATAATTTTTTTTTGTATTTTAAAAAATATTACAAAAAATCCCCTGAAAATAAATTTTATACAATGTTTTGAAAAATAAGAGGGTCTTATGCAAATATTAAACCATAAAAGAGAATAGTGCAAATTTTTCAAACTATATGTAAGTTTTAAAAAAAATTGTCCAAAAATTGTCTAAATACCTATTCATTTCAATTGATAAAATAAAATAAAATAAAATTAGATGTTTTGTTCTCTTAGAATTTTAGTTTTAAATTTTTTACTATATATACAATTATTGTAATTCTCTTATAATTTGTATCGCGCTTTGAATTCTAAAAACTCATGCCATATTAAAAAATAATGAGATAAAACCGATCGATGATCTAAAATATGAATTAAAAGTAAATGTTCATCTAACCTTAAATATTACGGTAGTGATGGAGCTATTTGATACGGCAATGTTCGAATTCCCAACTGCCCCCGTGGCCTTGAGAAGACAAATTAGCGATTCAAAATGATTGAGGCTAATCGAATCCCCCACAAACATCACCTTCTTACCTCTCAATCTCCTCAAGAAATCGACTCCATCGAATCTACATTCACAGACAACGGCTTCACATTCGATTACCAATTTTTATCGTGTTATTTTGTACAATCATGTATTTTACTCTACGTATTATAGATATATATAATTTTCTCATATAACTTAACCTATGATATGTTCTTTTAAGGTTTGAATTTAGATTTGAGACATGAGAATAATAAAAATTTAAATTTAAATAATTTTTTATGTAATATAAATTAATATGTGATGTAATATTTTAAATGGAACATTATTATTAATTTTTTGTTCAATATCATAAATAAAACTAAAATTTTTAATGTGATGGTTTTGAAGAAAAAAAAAATGGAACAAACCCTAAATTTTTTCCTACGTATTCATGTGTATATTTTTCAAGTTCATTTATCCTACCTCTATATATTAAATAAAATTTTAATGTGATGATTTTTAAGAAAAAAATGGAACAAACTCTAAATTTTTTCCTACGTTCCTATGTATATTTTTCAGGTTCAGTTATCCTACTTCCAATGAAATATGCTACTTATGAATCAATCAATCACCTTCCGTCACATGTATTTTTAAAATAAAAAAAATAATAAATACACATGGTGGAAGATAATTTATTGGTATACGAAAAACATAATCCATTGACAGTAAGATAACTGAATCCGTATTTTGCATAGTGAAATACTAGAAATTGAATATTTGTCTCGTCCAATTTAAACCTAAACTCAAATAAATAGCATGGCTTTCGGGCAATTAATTTTTTTCCGCAAAGTATTACTCTCTCTGCCCTACTTGATTTGTCTACTTTTTTCTATTTATGTTTGTCCCACATAATTTGTCTTTTATTTTTCGGAAATATAATTATACACTTTAATCACATTTTAAAATTCATAACTTATAATTTTTTTATTTTAATTAAACTATTTAGTCATTTTAATCTTAATCTATAATTATTTTTATTAAATCATAATTATTTTTACTAACTATTTCTTAATTATTTACTTAATTATACAATACCTAAAACTCCGTATCTAAACTAATTGAGATAAATTAGCTGGGACGAAATGAGTATTACATAAAAGAATAAGATGAAAGAATTTCTTGCCTGGGTAAGTTGCATCCTTTTGGCTGCCATCTGTATTTGAGATAGTCGCGATCGGGTCGACCAAACTTGAGACAATCGAATTCTCTCCGAATGGATTTGCAGACCGAGGAGTCGAAGAGAGGATAGGATTTGTCGTAAACCCATTCTCCTTCGTACATATTGCACATATTAATGTTCCATGTCGAGGTTGTCGATGTCGTGATTGATGTTAAGAGAATAGAAATTACAGCAAGAAAGAGAATAGAAATTATAGCAAGAAACATTTTCATGTCCTAAGTTTGGCTTAATTTCAAATTTCTACCAAGATATATATATATATATATATTTGGATCTAAATGTATTGGATTTGAATCTGAATGATGATATCCAGCACATGATCGACTGTGAAAATAGGATAAATAACTCATTTAGATAACCTACAAGTCAAATTACATACTTTGTTCCGTCCTGCATAAAATATTTATTTTTTATATTTTAGTTCTACATAATTTATTCATTTTTTTCCCTTTTACAAAATAATTATATATTTTAATATTATTTTAAATTTGATCATATATAATTTTTTTAGTTATAATTTAAAATTATTATCATACAATAGTTATTTTTTATTAATACGTTTATTAAATATTTACTTCTAATAAATTTAATAAATTCTCATATCTACTACAAGTGGATAATTTTAATGGAACAAAAAGAATATAAAATTCGTTAAAAACTTTAATGCTAAAATTTATAACTCAACAGAGGTTTTTTTTTTTTTTGCGGTTTGGATTGAATTTTAATATATATGTTAATTTGTTTAGTGGTTGGTTTTTACATTGAAAGTGATTTATTTAATTTATATCTGATTTAATATACATGATTAAAATTTTTGAAATATATGTTTAGAGGAAAAATTGCAAAAAATATCTCAAAGCATATACATCATTATCACTTTTGTCCTGTATTTATCTTTCTGGTAAAATATATTCCACATGTTTTCAAAAATCGTTATTTCTATCCTTTGACCGCGCGTGATTGCGCGTAAGGGCGCGTGGTGTGAATTTCACGCGTGAGAAAAGAACATAAATAACGACTTTTGTAAACATGTGGGATATATTTTGCCGAGAGATAAATACAGGACAAAAGTAATAATAGGGTATAAGTGTGGAATATTTTTTGCAATTTACTCATATGTTTAGATATTTTAATAACAATATTTCAATAAAATATATTTTCTCATTTCTGTACCAATTGAAAGTGTAATTTTAAAATTTTCTTTCATCTTCATATTCCTATTGAAATAAAAATAATTATACCCAGAATGCACTTGACTAGTAGCGGCTACGGATTCTTACGTTATAAAAAATAAATAAATAAAAAATAATTATACATTAATACTAAAATATATATATATATCCTTTAATTTTTACAAAAATAAATAAAATAAATATTAAACAGAACATTTTGAGTGAATTTCATCTAATACAATATTTTTAAAAAATTGAAAGTATAGTATCATTGAAATTGAACCGTTGACCAAACATATTAAAATTTTAATTTAATAAATAATTTTATCGATTTGTTTGTTTTTATTATCGGATTATCAATTTTATTTTTTTTTTCACATTATCAAATATACATGATAAATGTTTATATTAATATATATATATATATATAGTCGTAGCAAATGACATAACAAAATATATTTGTCTTGTAAAGTATATATATATATATATATATATTCACTCCTTATAATATTATTTTATATTGAAAACAATAATATAAATTAGTTTTTATTAAATGACCATCTCTCAATTTTTTTAGGCAGATGCATTCTTATATTAGTATATATATATATATATATATAATATAGTCAACAATCCATTCATGTGCAAAGACAATTTTTCTTTTCTTTTTTCTTATTATTATTATTTTTTTTAATCGGACGTGCAAAGACACTTTTTTCGAAAGAGGCCATGTGGACAAGGGATCTTTCCGCGTGAAATTATATTAAATAATTATTTTAGTTAATAATATCTCTTTACCATCTCAAAAGATTATCATATTATTCTGATATAAATTTTTTCTTAACAATTTCAAAATTATTATCTCATATATATATATATAAATATATATATATACACACACACATAGGATGTGGATCCATGCTAATCCGATCGAATTAGTCGGATCAAACATATGTTATAAAGATAAACAATATACTATCTCATCCGGCTATAAGAATCTCAATTATTTTTTGCGTGTTGATTTTTGAATATTAATTATTATATCAAAATGTAGTACAAATTAAGAAAAAATTGCAAAAATACTTCAATTAGTGTCTTATAATACTAATGAAGGACATTTGTATAAAAAATTATACAAATATAAGGATATTGTTAATATTAAGTACAATAACACAAAAAGTAAATGTGACCCTTAAAGGCGGACGAAAAAATATATTTTTACATAATACAATATATATTGTATTATAAGATATCATTTATAATATAATAAATGTTGATTATCTCTATAATATATGATATACTATGCTGATTTGACCGGATAAACATGTAATATATGGACAACTTTCACATAACTTATCAATTCTATAAAAAAATATTTATGAAAAAATATTGACCTCAATTATATATGTTTTGAATATAAAATTTAATTTTAGTATAATATAAAAAAAAAATAAAAATTATGCACTCCATCCATCCTATATAAAGAGTAACATTTGCTTTTTGTACGTAGATTTTTGAATATTAGTATTATATAGGGTTGTAGTAAAAAAAAATGAAAATATCTTTATTAGTATTGTGTAATATAAAGGTGGTGGCACTTGTATAATATATTGTAAGTTGGAAGGGTATTTATTATGTTAGGTTGGTAGTACAATTACTAAATTAGGAAATGATACCCTTATTTTGAGACGGACGAAAATGGAAAATAAGACACTTCTTGTAGGATGGAGGGACTATTAAAAATATCAAATTATATATCGTTATCGTACCAAACAATTTTGATATAGTATTATATTATAGCGAAATTTCGATGTTTTCGATAATAAAAAAAAATAATAAATAATTTTGGTACTAAAATCTATTGGTTGTATTGAGTCGTGAAAACCTAGTGATAAATTCTACTAAAAGACTCTTGAATTGAGTTGATATCATCAAAATATAGAGTTTAATACCAACTTAAGTCAAAAAAAATATTACAATGTTTATTATTCTCTTCGTCCCATAAATATAGTCTTAATTGAGTTAGATACGAGATTTAAGGAATATTGATATTATATTGGTAGTTGGTAAAATATATGGATAAAAAACTTTTTCTCTCTTGTGAGTATATTAATGTAAAAAGTAGTGGTAATTGTGTAATAAAAATGAAAAAGTAGGGATAATTTTATGGTGATATGGCTATTTATGGAAATAAGACTATTGTTTTTAGACGAACAAAAATGATAAATAACACTATTGTATTAGGACGTAGGGATTATTATTTTGTGCACTTGTCCAACCACAGGCCGGTGCTTCACATACATACTAATGTTATAGTCACATGATAATCACGCATTAAAAATTGTGCTAACTTGTTACTTCCTCCGTCTTACATCTCGTGTCCACCTTTTCATTTCCGTTCGTCTTATTTATTTTGTCATTTTCCTTTTTTTGGAAAAGAATTATACACTTTAATCTTATTTTAAAAATTTTAATTTATAACTTTTTTTAATTTTAATTATACTAATAAGTTATCTTAATTTTAATATATAATTATTTTTATTATACGATAATTATTTTTACTAATTATACAATTCCTAAATTCTCGTGTCTACAGTAAAACAGACAAAATATCTGAGACAGAGGAAGTACAATTTTATGATTCCGTTGCCAAAAATTTTAAAGTAGACTCTTATATCATGAAGTCCGGCAATCATGCACCAACAAGTTGAGCCGTTCTTGGGCTAGTCTCAATCGAATAAGTTCGATCAAGGACGGGTTGGAATGAGCCTGGCCGGAAAATCCGAACCTGGTTGATTAGTCCCATTTAACACCTTTACTTAATGTGTAAGTATAACTTGTGTGGTCGATACTATGTATTTATAAGTTATTACATGTCAATTTGCTAACATTAAAACTACACTATATGTTTTCGCAAATAAATGGCCGTTGTTGCTTTGAAAAGAAGATTTTATTAAATTAATTTAATTTAGGGTAAATTATATAAAAATGCATAAAACATCATGTGTTTTATTTATTTCGTGAAACCCCCTTGTGCTAATGTAAAATTTGCACGAAACACCCCAATTGTTCAAAACTGATGTTCGCTTCTAAATAAAGACCTAAATTATGCAATTTTTATAAAAATAAAAAATGTAAAATATTTTAAATAATTTTTTTGAATAAAATAAATAAATAAATAATTGATCAATAATTTACTTTTACAATTTTTGTAAAAATCAGATAACAATTTGTTTTCAAAAAGTATAAAATGAAGAATTAATTAATTATTTATTTATTTGTTTATTTTATTCAAAAAAATTATTTAACATATTTTTTATTTTTTATTTATATAAAATTTGCGTATTTAGGTCTTTATTTATAACAGAATATCAATTTTGGACAAGTATGGTGTTTCATGCAAATTTTACATTAACACAAGGGAGTTTCAAGTAATAAATAAAACACAGGATGTTTTGTACATTTTTGCTAAAACATAAGGGGATGTTATATAATTCACCCTTTAATTTATGTAGAATACCATATTATACTCATGTCGTCGGGCTCTTTATGCTATATTGCCCAAATATTAAAACTAATAACTAATAATATTTTAATATAAAAATGTGATATGTTAAAAATAAAATAGAGATATAGAGAAATGTTAAAATTGTTACGAAAGCACATGTTTTGAATTAAATTGCACAATATATATCGGTTAGAATTAAATCAACATATGTTATATCATATTTGTATTATGTTAATATATACTTACACTGAGTTAACCCAAAAATACATTCAATTAAAACACACTCATCTCTTTGAAAACACATAAACCAGAAACAAACAAATAAATAAATAATAACAAAAAAAGAATAAAATTTTAAAAAATGAAAAAATAGAATCCTAAGAATTAGGAAAGACAAGGTGTAAAATAGATCACGCTAAAACTACTTCAACTTTCACAAATACGTACATTTATACATACATACATACATACATACATGCGTACGTACGTACGTACGTAAGAACGTACATTTTCTTGCATCATATTGAAAAACAAAAAAAAAAAAAATCATCGAATAAATCCATCTTTGAAACAACATCGAATCGATTACTTTCAGATGCCAGGCCGAGAAGAGCGCGCCGAGCCATCAGAGAATAAGGATCGACGGCGCAACGAGCACACAAATCGCGAGCGACGTCATAAGCCGGTCCTCTCCATCATCGGAAATGGCACGTGTAAGTTGAAGTGCCTACAATATATGTAGGTTATCGATTCTTCTAACTACCAGAATTTATTCAAAAAGACTCAGAAAATTTGCTTCAGAGTTTAAAAGGGTCCTGAGGCAAATTAATTTTGGCTTCGGAATTATTTTTTTCTTGTTCATCGATCAATTCCTTTTTCTTTTTTCTTTTACTTTTTTTTATGATCTTTTCTTTTTTTCTTTCAAGTGTAGATGTTACAATCCTACAGCGAAACAAGCGCAATACGGGGGTTGGCCTAGCCGGCGCAACCATCGTTTGGCTCATCTTCCAACGGATAGGATATTCTTTCATTACCTTTATTTGTCGACTTTCCATACTCTCCTTGGTCGCTTTGTTTCTGTGGTCGAACTTCTCCTTCTATATTAAAAAGTTGGTTTTTTTTTCCGATCACCAAACATTGCATACATAGATTATACACATACGAATTAAAATGGTACTCCTTCTATCCACAAAATATATATTCATATGAATTGGATACGGTTTTTAATGGATATAATATTATATTTGTTGAAAAGAAATTGATTGTAACATATACGAGGGTATTATGGGAAAATAAATGAGTGAGTTAATGAGCTAATAAAAAATCGATAAATTGAATATATAAATGGTAGTGAAAATAAATATTCTATTCGTCCCGAATAATTATGCTATGATTTTTGTTATAGGCTAAATTTATGCATGATCCTATTGAAAATTAATATATATTTTCATAAATTTCAAAAAATAGATATTATTTGGGCAATTGAATGAGAAGTTATTACTATTTAACTGCAGTTACTATCTGAAATATATAAATGAATAACGAATCATATATTTTTTAAACTTTACATTTATAGAATTTTTTTCATAAATTGAATACAGTAATTTTGAAAGTCCATGTTCTTCTTGGTTAAATTTCAAATTTTAAAGAAGTTTATCTATTCACAATTTCATTACCTATATTTTAATAAATAATAATTAATTTGTTACTATTTTTTCTAATTACCTCGCAATTTTATTATCAACTCTTTAATGAATTTCCCATAACACTATTTACTTTTTACCTATCTATTTTTATATCAAATACTATTATTTCTTATATTTTCATATCCGAAAATTGTGATATAATTAGCCCCGATGAAAGGAGTTTCTTTTATTATGAACAAAGAAGAAGAAAAATAAATATAAATTTGGTGGACAAAGACAGTAACTTTTATATTGCACGTATATTTAAACACTACTATCGTTATAAATTATTTGTTCCTGTAATTCGATCCCGTAAATTTGAATTACTTATGATCACTAAAATTTTTGCAGAACTACTTTTAACTTCCCGGAGATCACGCTCCCGGAGGATCTATGCAACATCGTAGCTCTTTCACTAACAGATGCATTCAACAAGGCGATCGGTGAGCTTCGCAAAGTGGCTTTGGGTAAGGACACGGTGAAATTTCTCCAGGTATCTACTCTCCCGTTTTTCACAAAATTAAATACATATATCGAACATGTCTATATATGGTTCGTGAAAATTTTTTCATCACAACAACGTGTAGGCTGTTTTCGCGATGTGGTTTGTGTCCGTGGCTAGTAGCTGGCTCGACTTTTTGACAATAGTTTACATGTGTACGTATAGCGCGCCTTTTTCCGTGCCCATATTTTTTGTTCTAAGTGTAACTTGTGGTTGCGGTGATGATTGTGCTTCAGCGGCTGTGTTTATTTTGATGATGCCGTTGTTGCACGATGAGAGGAACGATGATCAAGTGGACTCGTACGCGCAAAAGGCGAAATCTAGAATTACGAAACAGTACAGCACGTTGGATGGGAAAGTTCGCCTAAACTTCACCCGAGTTCCTTTCATTGTAGATAATAAACAAGAACAACAACAGCAGCAACAATTAGAGTCGGGCTTGCCCGTTTCGAACATGGATGGGCAATCCACCGAGCAATAAATTTTGGCGCGGCCGGAGACCCGTGCCGGGCTGGGGATTAACTATATTAATGGTGTTGTCGAAACATGTATAATTTTTTATTTTTTTTTACTTAGCGATGTTATTCGATTAATTGGTTGCATTTGATTATTTATTTATTCTCTTACAAAATATTTTTTTAGTTATTATTTAAATCAAAATTTGAACTACTAAATCAAATAAAAGTTCCAAAGAAACACAACCTAAAATATTATTAAAATAAATTATATATAGCTGATTTATATTTATATTTATATTTAAATAGTGGTCGAATTTGATATTTTGTGGAAATATATATAATTTTACAGAAATTTTATATGGGAGTGTATAATAAAAAGTATCTTTAAAAAAATAAAAAAGAAAAATTATTAATCTGTTTGTGTTTGTTCACTTTGTATAGGTGGATGGATATATTTTTTATTTAGGTAAGAAAAATTGTATTGGTAATATAAAAGTTAATACTATTTTGTGTTGAATTATTAATTATTTATGAATGAATAAAATATGTGTATTATATATTATGTTATGTGTGTATATTATAATTCAATAATCTCTCCATCCGCTTCTAAGGTCACATTTACCTTTTGTGTTATCGTACTTAATATTAAAAATATCTTTATATTTATATGAGGTCTACGGGTGCGCTTCTAAATAGGAATAGAAAGAGAATGGAGGAAAAATTGAACACTTCCAAAATTTGTGAAAGAATATTAGGTTCTTATAAACCCGTTTTTGTGAATTAATAAAATGGCGCACATCAAAACTGTCCTTGGTAAACATGCTTCGAAAGAAATGCAACGAGACAATGTGATGCTTCGGAAGCGCTTGGTAAACATTAGATGAGGAGTTGCGAGCACATTTCGTCGCCGGATTTGGGGATTTCATGTCTCTAAAGGTGAATGAGGAAGAAAATAGGATATTTTTCTTTTGGGCATAGATCAGCTGCTATACAGGTAATTAGTATATATTCATATATAGGTCAATATATTTATAATACAGTAAATATTATATTATAACTTTAACATATGTTGTATTATGTGTATATATACGCCCATTATGTACATAATATATGTTGATCCGATTAAATCAGTATCACGTTGACTTTGCCGGATCAGCACATGATTCACAACTTTTTTTTTTTCATATAAAGAAAAAGAAAACTTTAGAGTGTATTCTTTTGGGAGATTTCCCACAATTATTTCTACTATTCATTATGTTTTTCCTTAAAATATTAAATTAATTTTTTATTTTTTATTTTTTTATACTATATTAAAAATAAATTTTACAAACATCACGTCACAATCTATTTATATTATATCATACAACTATTCCAATTCAATTTTTTTTACTCTTTAAATTTCAAACTAAAAATCCAAACCTCAAACAAGCACAACGCTAAGAGAGAAGAGTCGAAAAATGCAACTCAGGGGTCTTTGTTGTATATGCTCTCACATTACTAAAACTATATTACGACATATTTCTTTCCTAATTCCTTTTGACACAATGGAAATGAATTTCACTAGGCTGCAAAATGTGTTCAAAATCTAACATTCCAAGCATCCAATGAATAGTAGATAATTGAACTTATTATACCATCTATATATATATATATATATATAATCAATGGCCATGGAGAAGATCCTCGGGGTCGACTTCGACCCCTATCCTTCGCTTAAGCGAAGCCGTAGATTCCGGATGTTTATACTTCTTTTGAAGCTCGACAAACCTACCAACATCAAATTTTTGGCGTTTAATGAGCTTCCTTTGGCGGGAAATGAAAAGGCGCTTTAGTAGGTCTTGATAGGTCGGGTCTTGAGCCGTGAACAAGAAGTAGGCGTAGCCTACGACTATTCCGGCGGTGGTGGTGAAGAAGGCGATGGGCTCCATCACGTCCCACGAGAATTCCCAAAATGTTAGGCGAAAGAATAGCCCGACGTGCACCATGGATAGCCCGAGCCCGGCCCATAGTATGCGGCGCACTTGCTTGTGCGCTTGCAAGTCGATCTCGTCTTTCTTCTCTTGTAGCTTTCTAAGCTCACTCTGGCGAGGATCGTCCGGGAGGAGCGCTAAAGGCACGGCCCGCCTTACTAGATCCACCACCTGTCGTGTATAGTTGAAAATTTTAGTCTTTTTTTTTTTTTTTTTTTTTTAAGGAATGGATTTTGATTTGAGAATAGTAAAATTTTGAAATAAAAATAATTACTGATGTGATGTTATGCAATCGAATGCATCATGTAATCTTTTGAACGAAATATGTATATTTTTTGTTTATTAAATGGAGGAAAAAAGTTATTTGATAGGTTTCGAAAGTAAATAATATTGTAAATCTCTCATTATAATTATTTTTCATATATGATGTGTCATTTCAAGTGTGAGAATATATATATATGGGGATTGAGTTTTTGAGTTTATAGTAATTATTTTTGAGTTTTTACTTATTTATTTTTTATGTTGTATAAAAGTAATTTTTTAATATAATAATTAGCATAGAAAATGAATAATAGATGCAATATTTTTAAGATATATAAATAATTTTTTAATATAATAATTAGCATAGAAAATGAATAATAGGTGCAATATTTTTAAGAAAAAATAAAAAGTATGTTCACGTTGTTTATTTTATATTAAATTGTTACTTTTTTATAAATAAATAAAATATATAGGGTTTGTTTATTATTATAAATATTATTTTTCAATGTATATTTTATTATTTCATAAAAATTAATATTCAATATAAAATATTCAATCTCACTCGCTATTTATAAATACTGTAGAATATATATTATATTACTATGTTATATTTATATTTTTTTAATAATATTTATAGCGAATTATCTCATTGAAAAATTTTAAACAATTATTTTTTATATTATCTTGTATTCAAATAAATAAAAAAATCAAATCAAATTAAAACAATAAAGAAACAAACCCTACATTGTGTGAGTTGTATAGATTGTGTTTTTATAGTAATATTAATCAAAAAAATGTGTCAAAAATTTTTGTTGGTCCTATTTTAAAATACAGAAAAATAATAAATTAAAAGCATTTCAATTAGAGGTGTTTTGATATCTTAAATTATTTTGAGAATAATAAAAAAATTACTTCCACTTTTTTATTTTTGTCATGTTCTACTATTTTGTCATTTTTTCTTTTTTTATTAAAATTATCGTGTGGACATGATATGCTTTTGATTTTAATTTTAATTTAAATAGTATTTAATTTAAAATTTATATTTTTATTGATATGAATCGGTTCATTTAAAATCATATTTTGAGTTGGGATTTGAATAGTAAAAATTTTAAATTTGATATTGATATAATGTTTTGAATGTAAAATTGATTTTCAGTATAATATAAAAAATGAAAAATAAGTATTTGGGAAAAAAATGGAATCCCAAACAAACACACCCTTGCAAAGGAAATCTAAAATACGATAATTAAATAATACTAATATGTATATATGTGATAACCAACCTTATCGGGATGGAGATAGACTTTCTCCCGGAAAAGCATGACGACGCCGGCGTCGTCGAGGACTCTGGCGAAGGCGGCGGCCTCATCGGAGGAGCGGGCGACGCCGCTGCTCTGGCAGGTCTGCAGAAGCTCGGCGTAGGGAATGACCTCTTTGCCCTCCATTCTCAGCCTCTCCTTCAGCGCCTCCACATTCTCCAGTCTCAGCAGGTTCTTCGCCTCCGCGTGGCTCAGCCGGTCGCCGCCGGTTCCAATTTCATCCGATCCGCACGAGTAGGGCCGGGCCAAGTGCAGCCGGCCGGCCGGTTTGAGGAGATCCGGCCTGGGCCGGCCGGCGGTTACCGCCCGTTTGAGAAGATGAGCAACGGCGGGAGATCTCCACATATTGCAGGAGGTTAATTGGTAAGGACAACGACGATGACGACGACAATATAACGAGTCATCGAACGGAGAAATTGAAATTGAAATTGAGGAGGAAAGAAAAAGGGTATGGTTTGTGGATGTGAAGAGCGGTTCTAAGGGGAGAGAAGCTTTAGGGATTCGCGTTGTGCTTCGACAAATGGCGTTCTTTCCTCGGCGCTCATGCTATAACGTAGTGCCCTTGTTTGGATGGCTTTGGAATTATTTTTAGTTTATTAGTCTCCTCTCTCCCTTATTTATCTATTTTTATTTATGTATTCGTTTGTTTTTTCAAGAAATTTTAAAAATATTAATATTATATTGAAGTGGACTACGAATAAAGTATAAAAAACTAAAATAACTAGGGTATTTTTAAGGGTGTGTTTGTTTGAAGGATTTTGGTGAACTTCTACTATTCATCCTATTTTTTTCCCCAAAAAATATCAAATCAAACACCTATTTTTCATTTTTTATACTATACTAAAAATCAATTTTACATTCAAAATATCACATCAATACTTATTTATATCACATCATACAACTATTCAAATTCAAAATTTTTACTATTCAAATCCCAACTCAAAATCCAAACCCCAAACAAACACACCCTTAGTAGAAAGTTCAATTAATAAAAAAAAAATTGATACTTGGACGGACCAAAATAAATAAATTGTTAAGTGACTGACGATTATTATTATCTTTCCATTCACGAAATAGAAAAAGTAAAAAAACAGTGGAAGGTTTTTTTGAAAATTTAATTAAAAATAAAAAAAATGATCATAATGTAATAAAATAAATGGTATTTAATTATTTATTATAAATATGTGTTAAATAAAGGGTAAAAATTAAATATCAAACTTTTTTTACTTTTCCAAATATAGTAATATGGTAAAATTTTAAGGGACCGAAAAAAAGAAACAAAAGTAAGAATAAATTTGGCTGAAGAAATATTATTTTGTTGTATAACTTTATTATTAATGTCATATAACTTTAGAAAAATATACTAGTAAAAAATATATATTAATATGATATTTTAAATGTAAAATTAAATTGTGTATAATATAAAATAAAATAAAATATATATTTTATATTTTTCTAAAAAAATAATGAATAGTAAAAATAAAAAATAAAACTCCACATATACACACAAAATCACATTTCACCACTATTTCGATCAAATATAAAACTAAACACAAAGAACAATGGGTTTGTTTGTTTAATGTTTTGATTTGAGATATATTTTTTAATAAATAAAAGATTATGTAAATAATATAAAAAATAATATTTTAGATTAAATATTAATTTTTTGTGAAACGATAAAATATACTACGGGTGTGTTCGTTTGTAGAATTTCAACAAAATTCTACTATTCATCCAATTTTTTCCCCCAAAAACATCAAATCAAACACCTATTTTTCATTTTTTATATTATACTAAAAATTAATTTTATATTCAAAACATCACATCAACACCTATTTATATCACATCATACAACTATTCAAATTCAAAATTTTTACTATTCAAATCCCAACTCAAAATCCAAACCCCCAAACAAACACACCCTACATAATTATATATTTTTTATGTTACTGTCATTTAATATGATGGTTTATAAAAATATATATTATAATTTTTTTATTAAGAACAGGGGTTAAAATATTTTATTAAAAAAATAATAATTATTAAATAACTCATTTCAACTATCTAAATAATTTATATTATCTAAATTTTCGTATCCACACAAAAGGTTTCATAAATACATATTTATATGCATAGTATTAACATAATGTGAATATGATACTGTAGAGACAAATAAAAGCAAACACTCTTTTGCAAAACTTTGATATTCCCTTTCATTGAATCAATTTATTCATTTTTCCATTTAAACCGGTCCGAAAACAATTCATTTTAAATAATTGTATTTCTCATATAATTTAAAAATAAAAAATTACATTTGAAGTATTATTACAAAAATATTTTTAAAATTTTAAACATCTCGTTATTCATTCACCGTCAATTATATCAGGGCATCAATCCTATATTGATTCTGTCAAATCAGTATAGAATCCATAACCATTATATTACATTTATATATATAATACTAATATTTCAAAGTTCATATAGAAAAAAATAAAGCAGTAAATACATACCAAGGAGTATATACTTTCCGATAAGAAATGGCCTAATGGTATGAAGAGTAGACAGTGATCATGAGGTCACAGATTCAAACTCTCAATACCTCCAGGTCACCTGCCACACATCATTTGCCTAGTGTGACTTACCTGTCGGGTCCGACAAGTTTGCAGAGTATTAAATTCAGTAGAAAGTTTACCCAGTGCGCACTTTCGGATAACGACAACAGATTCCCGAAAAAAAATAATAATTTGAAAATAATCTCAAAGTGGCGAGAGTACAATGAATTGGAATGTGAATGAACAATATACGTGACAAAGATGAAGAAGCCAAATATGATCCACAAATATTAGCAAAGCATTCATTCATTTGCACTTTGAATGTCCTAATCCAATCCATTCAAATTCTACATGCTGTGCCTCGCCTTGCTCAACGTTTTCACCATCCCTCTGGCTATTTTCCAGAACCAGAAAACGTTCATCGCCGCCATCGCCGGCGGCACCACCAGCAAGCTGTAGAACCCCAATGGATACACTAACTTCACCTGCATCCATACATATACATACATACATACAATCTCATCAATAAGTCGATTCAGCCGATCTATTTTGGGATCGAACATACCGGCTCCACTCACCTGATCAAAATACACAAACATGTGGTAGAAGAAGAACACGAACAAGATGATCCGAGCAGCCTGCCAAGCCAAGTATTACGTCTCCGTTTAGACAGAAAATTTTAGAGTTTTTACAAAAATTTAAAAATGGTAGAAGAATCGAGTATTTGAGCCTAAAGATGTCAATCTTTCGAGCAACTTGGTCCCGACAATAGTTCTATGAGAAATTTATAAGAATTTTTTGATCCATACCAACCACCCGAAGAACAGAGCCACGCCGTTGTAAATGTAAGTCTTGGAGCTTTTACGGCCAGAGATGTCGAGGTACCTAGACAAGTCGAGTGAAACAAGTTTTATCCATATCTTAAATTTGTCGAAAAAGGAAAATGATCGCGTAATTGAAATTGCAGAATGTACCATCTCAGATTAACCAGCGGCGTCGTGCTTTCAGTGAAGAGCACCAGTAGTATATAAAATTGTGCTTGGCCGCTGATGAGGGACTGAATGATCGCGCACAGCGACAGCACGTGATGTATGACCTAAACCAAAATCGATGAACTAAGTAAAAATCATCGCACAATTTTTTTGGTGCATTGAATACACAAAAAGGGGCGACGAGGATACTCACATACTCAACACCACCTAAGGCCGGATAATGGTAGAATATCATCGCCAGGTCCGACAAGAAGTACCCAATCGAAACCTGCATTACTCATTCAAAGCATAAAATAAATGTCATAATTGCGATTGGGTTAGGATTAGAACATTTTTCAGCATGGTAACATACTCCCAATAAGGTGTCAGACAGTGGCGAAGTTCGATTGATAATGAGTTCATCGTCTGCCTGACTGAAGAGGTCTGAAAGGAAGAGGAGATACAGTGAACCAGTAGCTGCAACAATGGCATGAAAGGTCGAGAAACCCCTGAAAACAAAAATGTACGTGATTTCAGTCCCTCCGTAACTATGAACACTAGCAAACGAAGAACAAAAATGCACAAAAAACAGCAGGAATTAAGCGAACTTTACGTGACAATCTTGAACTAAAAGTGAAACAAGATATAATTTAATCATAGAATTTTAGAAAGACTCTTAAACCTATAAAGACTTGATGCAAGAACAGGAATCAGTACAAAAGATTTACATGGAAAACCTTTTCGGGGAAGTCTGAGGGAGCAGTAGAACAAATTGAACTATCAAGAATTGAAGGAATACACAAAATACAAATATAGTTCTCACTTATAAAATCCGTAAATCCCATTTGTTTGGGATGATTTGCACTACACATGGCCTAAAGATTCATTTGTCTCGTTTGGCGATACAAAAGATTTCAAATCCACCCCCTTTTTAACATTTCAAATGCTCTTTAAAACTTTATTGTTTCAAATACTTCATAATACCAAACAACATATTTAAATTCGTAGTTAAACTATATTCATTTAAAATTCGCCTTCAAATCCAAACTCATCGAACTAAATAGGATCTAAAAGAATTGGACTAAAATTCTAAAACAAATATCCTAAAAAAGAAAAATAAAATTGAATCATAATGAAATTTAGATCCAAACTTTTCAAAAGCCGGTATGAGTTATCCGAAGTTGCCTTCCAAAAGGACTCGCTATGGCGAATATACAAGTTGGGGACTTCCCACCTCAACCCCCGCTCGACTGTTGAAAAAAATAAAAGGGACTCGCTATAGCAAATGGTAAGCAAAGACATGTATTAGATTATGTAAATGACCGTCTCATCTAAAAGGTTAAACTATTAGGATACGCATCATTTTTTTTATTTATCTACAAATGAGAGTCAACCAACAACATTCTTTGACAAATATGTAAATCTAGTTCGCTAGTGAAGTATTGCACTAGCTCCCTCGCCTAGATCTTCAAATAACTCGCGAGAACTTGACAATAATTAGTAGACGACTAGACTAGCTAACTATTATAAACTCTAGACTAAGACTTCCTCCATGAGGAACTCATTAAACTTTGAACTCATTGGCAAGCGACAAACTTTTTTCATCAAATTCAACGATGAAAAATGACGAAAACTTTATACCAAGGACTACAAATCAAACGAAATAATTATACAGAAGATAATGTGGAGAAGATAATGCATTTAAAGATATTATCGAATATATAAACATAACAATAAACACACAAAAAGATCATTCCCTGTAATACTTTGATACTTTCACATACCCACGACAAAAACACCTAAAACTATTATATCTAGGCCACGGATATGAACACTACAATGTTGGAAGAGTTTAATCATAACAAGTTCTAATTTCAATTTCACCAAAAACAGTTTTAATAGCAACAAATGTGTAAACAAACTTCTAATAAATTTCGAATTCTCGAAAAAAGAACAATATCATAACAACAATCCAATCCAATCCACCTGTTGTTCCATTCCAGCTTCTCCTTGCGGTTTAGTTTTCTGTAAGCCTTGATGAACGATGAACTTATAACATCTGTGAAATCATACACCTCCAAAAAAAAAAAAAAAAAAAAAAAAAGAATAATCTCAGAAGAACAGTTATGATCAAAATCGAAACAACCAGCAACGAAAAATCCATTACACTCACAATTTTGCACATCAATACGCCGGCGGAAATGGCGGAGAGCCACCGGAGCCCTTTCGTTCGAGCAGCTGCATCAGACATCAACCCTACAAAACCCATCCCTCTCCAAAATCCCCAGCAAAACTAAGGCCACAAAAAAACAATGGATAATGACGAACTGCAGTCAAATAGGAAGACGATAAAACTATACATTAGTACACGTCGCCATTTCCAAGCACAAATGAGGGACTGAACTGACAGACGACGAGGAAGAAGGGGAAATGGCGATGTGTGACCGTACAGGCATATAGGCGAAGCAAAAAGGGGGTTTAAGAAGAGATCCTGCGGCCCCAAAAAGGGAGGTGAGTAGATGAACGCATTCAATTCTGAAAATCGACAGCGAGTGGCGTGGTGATTGCCCAATGGATTTTTTTTTCTTTGGATTAAAAATGGCGGATGGATTTTTTTATTATTGTTTTAAATTGAGATTTGACTTGGGTCTCGAGATTGGACGAATTTGGAAAGGCAATCGGGGTGGGGGCCCTGCTGTGATTTTTTTTTTTTTCTTTTGAGAATTTTTGATAGGTTCAAAAGACAATTGTAAGAAATGATGCAAAGTAGATTCGAGAAAATGTGGGGTTTATATGGAGGGCGGGACGCCATAGCTGGATTTGAAGCTGACACTGAAGAGTGAAGAAGGCAAATCAGGAATTTAAATTTGAGAAAGGAAGGAGATGAGGGAATCTTCACGATAGTTAGGGATTAGCAAAATATTGAAAATTGGAAATTTTGAACTGAATCAAGACTTTAAAATTTGATTCAAATTTCTCAAATTGATTCAAAATGAATATTTGATAAATTTTATATTTTGAGATAAAGTCCGATTGGTATAATTAAAATTTGAACTCATTCGAAAAATTCAAATATAATATTAATATATTTGTTTATATATATATATTCTTAAAATATTTATTTAAATATAAACAAAAACTCAAGATTATTAATTATATTTTAATATATTTAATTTTTATATATTATATATATTTAATACTTTTTCGTAATTCAAATTTATTTTTACTTTTTCTTTTTTCATCCAAATTTATTCTCGTTTCATTTTTTAATAAAAAAATACTACTTTTTTTTTAAAAAAAATAAAAATTTCTATTTTTACATATTTTTCTTAAAATATGTGTCCGATCAAATGAACACACAATTGGATAACGGAGGGAGTATTATAAAATAATTATAAAATATTAATTAAATTTTAAAAATAAAACAAAAATATAATTTTGGATTATTTCAAAAAAAAAAATTATTTGATTGAAATTTTTTAGTTTGAATTTCGAATTTTTATTATTTTAACTCGATTCAGATTGATTTTTTCAAAAACAAATTTTCAAATCAATTCAAACAAAATTTAGACCGAAGGAATGTTTACTCTAACCATAGTCAGCCTTTGCTCTCTCCACTATATAGGAGAGATTACAACGGTATTTATATGTATACGTGTTGACACGAATTCAACATGATAATAAACGGGTTGGGGTTAGAGTTGAGACTCTCAATTCGAATCCGACACGACAATCCAATTATAATACTCCCTCCGTCCCACTTCTCATGTCCACCTTTCCATTTCCGTTCGTCCACTTGTTTTGTCACTTTTTTTTTTTGGAAAATAATTATACACTTTAATCTTATTTTTTAAAATTTAATTTTTAATTTTTTAAATTTTAATTATACTAATTAATTATTTTAATCTTAATCTATAATTATTTTTATTATACAATAATTATTTTCACTAATATATTTTTAATTATTTACTAATTATACCCTTCTTAAATTCCCGTATCTACAGTAACGTGGTCAAATTATCCGGGACGGAGGGAGTATATTAATATTGATTAATATATTTATTATATATGTAAAATAATCATAATTTAACAACACGAGAAAAAATAATTTAATTTGAATAAAGAATTTCGACTTAATTATGTATACAAGTCAATCCGAACCCGACACGATAATAAACGGGTCAACACGAACCTGACATGATAATAAACGCATCGAGTTAGAATTGAATAATTTAATCCATTTAAAAGATTCAACCTGACACAAATCCACTCATTGTTAACTCTAGTTCCAAGTCAAATTATCATGTGGCCGGCTCGGACCGACCTTTTTAACCCGGTGTAAGATTGGATTAGTTAAAAAATATATCTATTGCTTTCATGTTTCATAAGGTTCAACATTTTGATTCCAATATTAAAATTTAAATAAGTAAAAATTAAATAATATAACAAGAGGAAATATATATATATATTTTTATTAAATTATTAATAAAATAAATTGTAATTAATTATTTTTTATCTTAAAAATATGATAAAATATATGAAACAGATAAAAAAAAAAAAAAAAAAAAAAAAAAAAAAAAAAAAAAAAAAAAATATTAGAAGATATGTGGCCCATCTTAGCCCAAAATCGCTTCCAATTGGTTTGGACCAGTTTAGCACATGAAAAAAATAATTATTACATAATATACAATAAATGCGTTATAAATGACTATAAATATATTACATGACTATATAAGCATTAATTGACATTAAATACATTAATGATAAATAGTACTCCCTCCGTCCAATCAAGGTGCAACAAGGTGGATAGTATTAATTAGGATAATTTAGAAATTAGGTGATGTGATGAAGAGAAAAATATATATTTTATTTTTTTATTTGGATAATGTCGGGAGATAAAGTGTGGGGTAAAAATTAAGTATAATTAATTATTTCATATTTTGGAAATATTGCAGAGTGTTTGAGACATACCAAAAAGAAAATAATGCAGGGTGTTTGAGACGGATGAAGTACTCTATAAAATAAATACTTTAACTTACAATAAATATGTATAGGCTAGATTGACAGGGATTGTTATACTATTGAGTTACGAGCCGACTTACCTTAGACATATTTTCTATAGTACGATCGAACCTGCCCATTATATTAAAATTTTCAAACGAATTCGGATTAAAATTAGAGGTGATAAACGGATCCGGTCGGGTCAAATTCAGGGTCAGATCAGCTTTAAACGGATTAAAAAAACCCTTGACCTGCACCCCTCTTGTAGCATTTGATGCCTATCTCGGTTCGCTTAGCGAAGTGATCCATTTAATTAAATGCGTTAATATTTGTAACTTTAATTCGATCTTTTATTAATCAGGTCAATCTGAATCTGACATGTATTACGTTTAAGCCTAAAGTTTTTATATTTTAATTTAAAATTACAATTTCTACTAACAAAATTTCCAAATGCATAATATATATACATATTAAAGCAAAAAAAAATTTATTTATATCATGAAACCAATATCCAAAAATCGAATTAACAAACACTATGTAATAGTACATAACACAATCTTTTTTTTTCTATAGTTTATTTTTATAAAAGTGGCCATAAATATTGAATTGTATTCATAAAATTTTAAAAATATATTTAAATTTAAAATAATATTAATTAAACAGGTTATTTTCAGATCGAAAATATAGATCTTGACCTGACCCATTTAATTAAATGGGTTAAACGGATTTGACCCAATTATTAATTGGGTCAAAAAACTCAACCCAAACTCAATTATTTCAGGTTAAGTTCGGATCAGATTATCAGGTTTGGTTAATTTTTGTCAACCCTGATTAAAATAGGTCGAAATCAAACGATTCTTGACAATTTGAGTTCTAAATCACCAACAAATGAACATATATCATGCAGTTTCAGTTAATACAATAATTGCTGTCGTAAAAGAGAATGGTATAGTCCTCTAATTGGAGATTAACTAAGGCTGTGTTTATTTATGGGTGTTTTCGGAAAAATTGAGTTTGAGTTTGATTTTTATTTAAATTTTAAGATAAGTTTGAATTTATGTGTTTATATTATGTGTAGGTTTAGCTTGAGTTCGAAGAGTTTTGATAGTATTGATTTGATGGATAATAAATATAAAAATATAAAATGTGTATTAAATTTAAAAAGTAATAATAGTATAATTTGATTATGAGTTTATGTTATACCTCCATATATATTTTTAAAATTTTATATATTTATATTAAAAAAAATATTATTTTCTACAAAATAACGTATATATTGTATATATTATATTAAATAATAATAATTATAATTATCAGATTATTATTTTTTTATTAGTATAATTTTATATATATTAAATAAAATAAAATAAAAAACTGCACGTATTGCCGCGCTGTCGGCTGGAGAGAGACAAAGGTGATTTGGCGGGATTTTTATTGTGCACCGTAAAATCCAAAATCCCCCCAAATCACATTGGGTAAACCTACCCTAATCTATTTTTTATAAAAATAAGAGTTACAAATATGATCCACGTTATCCAAAAAAAAAAAAAAAAAGTTACAAATATAATTTTTTATTTAAATAAATTAAAATTATATATTCAAAACAGCTCTATAATTTTTTTTTTCTTTTCTGTTTTACTCCTTCATAGAAACAAATTGATGATGATAGTAATTAACACAAGTAAATCTTGTGATTGATATTTCTAGTAATGGTGTGATAGAGTAAAAAATTTTGGGTTATCACTTTTTCAAAAAGTAATTGTTGTTTTAAGAGTTTTTTGTTTGTTAGATTTTTTTTTCAAGAATTTACCTAAGATCACATAATGCTAATGATGTGGCAAGGCTACTGCATATTGACCATAAATCTAGAAATATTAGATAGTCTAAATTACATGCATTGACAGTGAAAAAATTATTTAAAAAACGTTCATCGGATAATATATACGACGTTCGAGGAAATCGACAATTATTTTGAAAGTTGTAGTTGATAATAACTCTTTAAATATGGTATGTCTATTTTGGTTTGTTGAGGGCAAATAATGATACCAATATATTTCAGTTATCAAATTTGTTTTTCAATCTTCCACAAAGTATTGTTTCATCTTCAAATTATGTTATTCACAAATAAAATAATATGACATGAGATATTATTATATACGAGATTCGAGAAAATTAGCAATTATCTTGAAAGTTGTGGCTGATTATGACTCTTTCAATATTGTATGTCTATTTTGGCTTGTTGGAGGCAAATAATGATACCAATATGTTTCGATCATCAAATTTACTTTTAGGTAAACTGTTTTTTTAGTCCTGTAATTGGATTTCCTTATCATTTTAGTCCTGTAAGTGGAGTCTGTCGCAAATTAGTCCCATAAGTGAAAAATTTTCGTTGTTTTAATCCTCCGGCGCCGGACATGCCCGTGTGGCTCGCCGGAGGTGACGTGTCCGCCAGGTGTCGCTGACCTGGCGGACACGTGGATTTTTTTTTTTTTTTTTTTCATTTTTTAAATTATTTTTAAAATTTATTTCTAATTTATTTTAAATTTTGTTTGTATTTTTTAAAATTTTTTTTATAGGGTCCAATTAAAAAAATAAAAAAAATGAAAAAAATAAATAAATCCACGTGTCCGCCCGGTGTTGCTGACTTGGCGGACACGTCACCTCCGGCAATCCACGCGGGCGTCTCCGATGCCGGAGGACTAAAACAGCGAAAATTTTTCACTTATGAGACTAGTTTGCGACAGACTTCACTTACCGGACTAAAATGATAAAGGGGTCCAGTTACGGGACTAAAAAAAACAGTTTACTTTTTATTTTTCAATCTTCCGCAAGGTATTGCTTCATCTCCAAATTATGCTATTCACAAAAAAAATAATATGAAATGAGATATTATTATATAGGACGTTTGAGGAAATCGACAGTTATCTTCATCGATCTTATCATACTATCGCAATCGGAGGGTTTATGTATAAATAATAGAATTTTATTATTATTAAATTATTAATTTGTGTATTTTTTTTTTTGTATCTGATACATATAATAAATAATACAGTAATTGATTTTTTATTATATTTTTGTAATTTGAATTTATAATTTTATTCTCTGTACCAAATGTATTTAATATTTTTGTAAAAAAAAAGATTCTCTAAATTTATAATGTATAAGCGATCTCAGTAGATTGTATTATCAATATGATCTTTTTAAAAATATAATTACATTGAGAGTTCGATGATAACGAAAATATCCTAATGTGATTTAAATATATGATAAAATAAATAAATAAATAAATTCCCACAATGTTCATAAGTAGTATTATAATATTCACGGAGGCCTCTTCTATAATAGACTTTGTATTTGTTCTTGAAAAATTGAAGTGTTTAGATTCTTTTTTATTTTTAAAATTTAAACGGTATATTCATTCAATATTTTTCAATAGAATAAATTTTCTTAAATATTACTCCATTTCGTCAAATTTCTATTATTTTAAAGTATATTTGGACAATTTTTTAGGTGATTATATTTTTGTTATGAATGAACAAATTTGCCCTAAAGTGTATCGTAGAGATTAGAAGTAATAAATGAATGAAAGATAAAAATATAAAATTTGTGTTTAAAAAAAGAAATAGGACAATAGTTGTTAGACGTCCAAAATAAGAAAGTAGGACATTAATTTCTGAACGGATAGAGTATTAAATATATACAAATTACAAATATATATACATTAATATAATACTCTATCCGTCCCAAAATATTTTGCCATTTTTCTCCGTCTCAAAATAATAATCTAATTTTATTTTTGGTAATTAACTCTCTATTTTTTACAAAAGTATCTTATATTTTCACAATAATTACATAAAATAAGGGCATTTAGTCATTTAAAAATACTTTTACACTCACTGTCGCTATAATACTCCCTCCGTCCTGGTCAAGATGACCCATTAGCTTAAGGACACAGTATTTTAGATAGTGTAAATTAGTAAGTTATTAATAATAAATTATGATATTATTTTATTATATTTTATATGAGTAGTGTTGTTGGCATTTTAAATATTTTTAGCATTATATATCAATAAAATATATACAATATGAATATAAATAAAATTTTATATAATACAATTTATTTATTTATAATTAACCTAAAACTAATTGTATTAAAAATAATAAATTTTAAATATAGATAAAAATATTTATTTATTGAGGAGAGATAGAAATAAAGAGGTTTTGAATGAGTCTTTATATTTTTTAAATATGTTTAATATGAATAAATTTACTAAAAATAATAAAAATAGAAAGAGGTCATCTTTCCCGGAACGGAAGGAATACTATTATTCATTGATTGTCCTATCCATCCCAAATGTTCTTTTTGATACAGAAAAAGAATATATATTATTCATTAATATAAAGTCAACAATTCAAATACAAAATATTATTTTTTATATTATCGTCCAATACAACATATAATAAAAATAAATTCATCCAATTTTTACCTATAAGCACAGCTTTTAGTTTTCACTATTAACAGAGATTTTTACCCTAAATTATGATAATAAAGGCACAAAGGGCAGTCGACGACCCGCACCATATATAATTGTGCCCGAAAGCTTCGAAGAGAGTTCTATCTCGTGTCGCTCAACTTCCGACGTTCGCCGCCGCGTGCTCCGGCTATCGAGGGTTTGAGGTATGGCCTGAACCCTTCTTTTTGCCAAAGAAAACGGTATTTCCGTGCCTTGCGAATTAAGCAAATTAAGGCACCAAGTATGAGTTTGTTGTTTTTTTTTTTTTTTTTTTTTTTTTTTTCGAGCACGATGATTTTGTTGTAAAGCTGTGGGTTTTGTGGTTCTTTTTCATCAAGGAGATTTTGAAGCAACTGCTTGTCTATTTACGTTACGGGAATTCGATTGATGGTTATTGTAAGGGCTTCACATCCGAATACCTAATTTTTTATGTTGCCGTCGTTACCTATGCAGTGATTGGATAAACTTCCATCATGTCTTGGTGCACCATCGAGTCGGATCCTGGTAAGTTTTCATATTGTATTTTTACTATGTTAAATAACAGCATTCATTAGTTTCTGGATTGAAATGGAATGGCTTATGCGCCTTGCAGAAAAATGTTTACACCTTTTTTTTTTTGTTTGTTATATGCAGCTTAGAGGATTAATTTGGGTGTTGAGCATTGTATTCTTTACTTGTATATATGACACGATAATCATGATATATTTTTTGCCTTGAATGTGTGTTGAGTTTAAAGAGGCTGTTCTTATGCATTGGAAAGCCATTCCTTTGCTTTTTTGGTGTGCCACCATCGATAGCAGGGTTTAGAGTCTGGAATAGAAGGGAGACCTGTGACATATTAGATTTTTATTTGCTTTGAGGTAGGTAGGAACTATACTCTAGATGGGGGTGAATCTTATATGTTGGTTGAAAATTGCTCGGTAATTCATTAATGGTGAGTTTGCCAGGGGGGATACTATTCTTTATGCTTGGGTGCATAAGCTGGGTTTGCTGGCTTTATTGTGATTTTCTTCATTTCATTATGGTTGCGATTGATTTATGTTTGATTATTTACTTGTTGTAAATCAATATCTCAATCTTGGCAATTTTAATATGGATGCATAAGTTATGCCCCTCCAGGTCCTCACAGAGCACTAGCATTTCCTATCCGAAGCCTTTAAACTGATGTGTTTGACTGGCTTCAAAGCCTATGCAAGTTTGTAATTCAAGCAACTAAACAATAACTGTATGATAGACACAAATCTTTAGCTGCTATTGTTGATATTCAGCGTCAACTGGAACATGGTTATTAAAACATCTAGGGCCCTGCTACTATATTGGAACTTTAGATTATGAATTGTCACTAGAATGCTGATGACATAGTTCTTGGTGCTGTTAAACCATCCGTATTAAAAAAAGAAAAAAGAAAGGGAGGAATTTGTATTGTCACTGTTTTAATTCCAGGCATTCTCTATTTTGTTCTTTCTCTTCTTACTATTTGTTCTTTCTCTTCCTACTATTTGTTCTATGGACAAGATTCCACTTTTTTAACAATGACAGTTTGAGAACTGTTTGTGCATGGCCTTTTTTTCTTTTTGTCTAAAACATTCCCAAGAAGTGAACTGCTCAGCTAAATGGGATATGTTTAGCTCCCGTAGGTGCTTAGGAAACCACTCATAACAATTACAAAAGCCCAAACTACTTGATGTGTAAAGCTATTCAAATACAAGGGCTCTTATAATACAAAGCTACAAACCATTTCAGAACATAATTCCCAAACTATGAGAACAAAATATGCTCCTTTTTCATTAATTTATGCATTTTTCCTAACTTTACTTACCCTGCGTTAACTTTCCTCATTAGTTTTTACATAAGATCAATTCCAGACTCTAGAGTCATGGATTCTCCTCATTGTGTTTCAGCACATATTTATGTTGGGCAGAAATTAACTGACTGAGGCAATATTTTGGGCACTATAGAATTAAGCTCTTATAATTACAGCTATTTTAGTTCTGTTTGGTCAATTCTACAGTACATTGTTATTTTCAAACGTGGCCGGAGAAAATATGGTGCAAAAAAAATATATTTAAAAATTAATATATCAAATGAAGGTCTTCTGAGAAAACATGAACAATTTCAGTTACTGATCGGATTGGAAGGATATATATATATATCATCATATAATGTTAATTATCCTACAATTGTTATATTTTTCAATATAATCCTCTAAACTATTTTGAGATGATCCCATCGACCAAAGTAAACATACCCTAAAGAAATTTTGAAATGTGTGGCAATATTCTATCTGGTATTTTATTTCTCAATCCATCCAAAGTTACATCATTCATGGTGGATTCTTGCACTGCAGGTGTTTTTACTGAACTTATACAACAAATGCAAGTTAAAGGGGCTCAGGTACTGTTTTGCCTGTATGAAATTGTTCTCTTCCATAATTTAGTATGCAGTCTCTTCCGTAACTAATCTTCTTGTCTCTAGTTATGGGTTCCAATAAAGAGCCTTTCTTGCTGAATCCTTCTAGTTTTGTCATTTTGCATATATTGGTGATTTGATGTGCTATTGGAGAGAAAATTAAGTGGAAAAGTAATTCTCTGACAAGAAGTTGGTTGCACTACCATCTTTAGCAGTTTAAAATTTATAAATTGCATACATGTCAAGGGTATTGATTAGTAAAAACACAGCTGTGTACTGCATGATAACTGTACCAATTTTTAGCCTTGTGATTGTATCCCTGTTATCAATTTGATTTAAGCATAAGTATTATATATGAAATTTCACAAATATAGTAATATGTTTTTATCATTTTGCAGCATCTATTAAACTTCATGTTACTGAAATTTTGGCTTATGCTATTGCTGCTGATATCCTTGTGTAACAATGATGTCTTAACTCTTGCTTTAGCTCACTGGCATATACATCCACCCCACACCCCCCTCCCCCCCCCAACCCAATTTTGGTTTCTAGGTTTCTGAAAATATAACACTGGAGATATATAGCTCGGCATTTATAAAGATGTTCATGCATGCTAGTGTCCTTGTAAAGGGTTGATTTGTCGAATGAAATAGCACCAGGTAACATATCCTATCATCAAACAGCAAGAAGTTAGAGGTGGATACACATGGAGCATGTGTATGCCATTCTGTTTTATTGGGGAATCGAACATTCATGCATCTATATTCCATCATAAATGCTACTGTTGATTCGTTAATTTACATTTGGCATTCCTGCATGGTGGCATGGTTGTTTCGGATATGCATATATAATGTCTAATTATCATTATTATACACAAATTTCTACATTACATTGAAATAAGTTTCAATGGGCCAAGGATTGGGAGAGGAGGTAATCCTATTGATGTGTCTACCGGAAATGCTGATATTCACTTGTGACATCTGTACGAGGTTTTGCTTGTTTATTTAGGTTTTCTAATTCAGGGTTACAATTTGATTGTTAAATTGTGTCTTCTGACTTCCAAATTTCCTTTATAAATTGGTTTTCCCAAGGGTCTGGTTCTTATTTTGTTCGCTGTCTTCGATCAGGTTGAGGAGCTGTATTCATTAGATCTCGAAGCTCTCGATAATTTAAGGTAAACTGATTCATCCCCACACTACAATGTTGGATTAGTGATGTCCCTTTCTCTTCATACTTCATTTTATATTCCATCGCTAATTTGCAGGCCAATATACGGGCTAATATTCCTCTTCAAATGGCGTCCTGGTGAGAAAGATGACCGTGCTGTTATAAAGGATCCAAATCCAAACTTGTTTTTCGCCAGCCAGGTTAATATCCGTACCCAAATTCATTTCTGGAATGAGAACGAGTCTGAACTGATTTTATTGTACCTCATAGGTGATAAACAATGCCTGTGCAACCCAAGCAATCTTGTCGATTCTGCTGAACAGTCCCGACCTAGATATTGGGCCAGAGTTATCAGCGCTGAAAGATTTCACCAGAAACTTCCCGCCCGAGCTTAAAGGTCTAGCCATCAACAACAGCGACGCAATCCGCACAGCGCACAACAGTTTCGCCAGACCCGAACCCTTTGTACCAGAAGAGCAACGTTCGGCTGGGAAGGACGACGATGTATATCACTTCATAAGCTATTTACCTGTCGATGGTGTCCTTTATGAACTCGATGGACTCAAGGAGGGCCCCATAAGCCTTGGGCCGTGCCCTTTCGGGCAAAGCGAGGCTGAATGGCTACGCCTAGTGCAACCAGTGATTCAAGAACGAATCGAGAGATACTCCCAAAACGAGATAAGGTTCAATCTGATGGCGGTCATCAGGAACCGAAAGGAAATCTACACGGCCGAGCTGAAAGAACTCCAGAGGAAGAGGGAGCGGATACTGCAGCAGCTTGCTGCGATGCAATCCGAGCGAATGGTTGATGCGAGTAATGTCGATGCGATGAACACAACCCTCTCGGAAATAAATGCTGGGATCGAAGCCGCCACTGAGAAGATTCTAATGGAGGAGGAGAAGTTCAAGAAATGGAGGACCGAAAATATTCGCCGCAAGCACAACTACATTCCCTTCTTGTTCAACTTTCTGAAGATGCTGGCGGAGAAGAAGCAACTCAGACCTCTCATCGAGAAGGCGAAGCAAAAAGCCGCGAAATCGTAAGTAAGTTCCCATCCATATTCTACTGAAGCGACGCTTACTTATGCCGTGATTTAAATTAGCTTTTTGAAGATACTTCCGCTATGCTGTTTTTGACTTGTCGCGCATATTTCTATATCTATTTTGAACGCTTTCGCAGAAGCTTTTTTTTTTTTTTTTGTAGATTTGTTGAATTAGAGTATCCGTTTTCATGCTGAGAATTCGAAGTTCATAAATCATATTTGCCCGATCGACAGGCAAATAATATCGGTAGAGTTGGATTTGAGTTACCATTTAATGTGCTTATTATTACAGATCTTGTCGAGTCGATAGCTAGAAACATTGCCGGCATGTTTGCATTAGTTTAAATATTTACAGAATCGGCTCGGGTGGCACGTTGTGGCCATAGCTTAGTACCCGCCCTGTATAAATGCGTTGAGGCGGTTCAGCTCGTCGCGATGCTCGCTCACAACTGCGCGAACTACGTCGCCTATGGACACCATGCCGATCATTCCACTTTCGTTGATTACGGGAATGTGCCTGATGCGGTTATCTGTCGATTACGGAGAAAGATAAAATCTTACGACAATATTTTCCTACATTTCTCGACTTACTACGTTTGTAAAGAGGAAACTATTACCCGTCATCAGTTGCATTGCCGTAAGCACCCGAGTATCCGGTGTCACCGTGATAAGCTTGTTCTGGAATCAATTTGTCGATCACAAGAGTTTAATAAATGAATCATCTGTAGCTGATGTTTCGATTAACATGAAAGATACACACCTCTTCGGTCATGATGTCCCCGACTTTTGTCGACTTTGATGATCTTCCTTGCACGATTATTTTCCGGAGGTAATCTACACGACAACGATAAGCCAAATGACACTCACGCCTAAGAACTTAGAACAACTTTAGATTATTCGAAAAAAAAATCAGGGGTTTGTTTGTTTGTGAATTTTATGATATAAATAGAGGTTGATGTGATGTTTAATATAATATAAAAAAAAAGTAATTGTTTGATATGATTTTTTGGAGGGAAAAAAAGAATAAAAACCTGTGCTACAACTCATAAAAAAACACAACCTAGATTATTCGACATCAATAAACCAAATGACAATCACGCCTAAAAACTTAGAACCACCTTAGATTATTCGAAAAAGAAACCTTAGATTCTTCGAAAGAGCGATTTGTTTGAGATACAGGGGCGCAATCTACCTCTTTCTGTGATGATTCCGGCAATAGATTTTTGCTCCCCGGGTTTGACGACCACCAGAGCTCCGACATTATGCTGTGTCATCTGCGCAAATCAATATCGTAAAAAGCCTCAAGCTAAACGGCCCAAATCGAGTTCAAATTGGGAGCAAGTCGAGAGCATTCATATATATATATATATATTGTTAGATGATGTAAATGACCGAATCACCTAAAAGCTTAAACTGTTAGGATACGTATCATTTAATTATTTATCTACAAACGAGAATCAACCAATATATATATATATATATGTATACCGATTTGACAGCTTCATAGACGGTGTCATCAGTCGTGCACCAAAGCCACGACCCATCTGCATTTTTCCCCTTGGACGCCAAAATATCCGAAATCGTGGTGCTTTCAAAGCCGTGCTCTTCCATGTGCGCGGCCGGGGTTGATGATTCTCGACGGATCAGCATAAGAGATTGGCGAGGTGAAGGCACCACCAAGCGCACGTGGCGTAGCACCGAGTTCTTCACCACGTTGCCTTGAGATAAGATCGACTGGATTCCTCCTTGCATTGTGTCTTAATTCAAACAAGATACACATATCATTAAGCTTCAAAAAATTCATCGAAACTTACATTCTTTTTATAAACCATGTTCCCAACTCGGACATCATTTTTCTGATTCAAATTGAATCATTCATGTAGCATTGTAGTAGTTGGAACATTCCCCTGACTAAAACAATCACGTCCAATATTTATTTTTTATTTAAAATATTGTACTCAGTGTATTTTTTTTATTAAAAAACGAGCAAATCTAGATATTTCTTTTTTCTTTATAAAAAAAAGGGATTACATAGTTACGAATATGTCACATTCTAGGTAGCCGAGATTGGCCTAGTTTTGAAAAGAAAATGTACAACATTCTATCCAACATAGTCATTTCCAAAAACTACTAGAATGTCCTAAGATCAACCAACACTACCATCACAAGATATGCAATAGAAAAATTATAACTGTTTACATATACTTTTCCAAGTTTTGATACTTTTCATCGACAATAACTAATTTTTTTTCAAGAAACCATAACATTTACTCTCACAAAAATTACAGCATACACTCACTTATTTACCATTTTTAATATTTTTCCAAAACTCTAAAAACCCTGTCTATGAAGTGATGATTCTGCTTCAATATTGAAGATCTTGGGACAGGGAATTTTGTCCAACAGGCTTTTTTTTTTTTATTGTACTGTAGTAACATTAATTAATTACTACTTAATAAGAAATTACACAAGGGTAAAATAAATAACAAAACCAACAGATCAGACAGCCTCAAACTCAGGTAGTTTAATTTCATCCTAAAAATTCAAAGTAGAATTAGATAAAAAAACGTATATAATTCTTGAAATCCCTAAAAGTCTTTCTTCAAGTATCAAAATCCAAACTTCACTCACAAACAAAGATAGATATATATGCCCATACATATATATATATTTAATCTCCCACAAAGCAATACACTCTTTACTTGATGGAAAAAAAAGTTGAAAATTTTGTCCTTTACACAAATTATATTATAATTAATTGGCATCAGTTTCTGGAATCAAACGCTAAAAATGGATCAATCTGCAAACAATTCAAAGATCTCTTTCCTTATTACAGAGAAGATAAAAGATTATTACAAGGGTTGCAGGTTACCAGATTCAGAGGGAAGAGAATCCCTTCTGGAAGACTCAGTTCAGTTGGGAGAGAGAGAGAGAGAAAGTAAGAGAGAGAGAGAAAGAGAGAATAATGTATGGCTTTTGCTAATCTAACCCTTATAATGGCTGAGGGAGGATAGGATAAAATAAATAAATCAAGAGGTATGTATGTCTGTATGTATATGTATGTATGTATGTCTGGTCGCGACTCTTCATTAATCATTCTTTCCTTTCTTCTTCAATCTGACAGCCCCACCGACGGCTCGGATTTTCCGTTACTAAGGTTATTAGTTATGTCTTGTCTTATAATTTTATTTAGTAATTTTATTTTATTAAATATTTTGAATTATGTTTACTTTCCCATCAGAGCATCTCTAACCATGTTCTATTTATAGTATTTCAACACCATTTTTGCTGCGATGGTGCTCCAATCCAACGCCATTTCATGCTCCAAAACGCCATTTATTTATTTTTTAATTTTTTTATTATTTAAAATTATAAATTTAATTTTTAAATTTAATTTTTATTTTTTAAATTTTATTTTAAATTATAAAAATAAAATGTTGTTTAAAATAATAGGAAAAATTGAATATTTGAAGAATAATAGTGAAAAGTTGAGTTACGATTGGAATAAAATTACTGTAGCAACTACATATTTGGAATTAAAACTGGATAAATGGAAATGATGGGCTGGCCTCAGTTGAACATAAGAATGTAAAGGTCTTTACTATGTGGGATTTCTATTTTGATTTTGAGTTGGAATTTGAATAGTAAAAATTTTGAATTGGATTAGTTGTACGATGTTATAATAAATAGGCGTTAGATATAATATTTTGAATATAAAATATGATATAAAAAATAAAAAATAAGTATTTGATTTGATGTTTTTAGAAAAAAAAAAGATTATATTTATAGATCAATTAACTTCTAATCCAACTTATTCGAATTTTAAAAATTATTTATGTTTATAGATTGATTGTAAGTATTATACTTTTAATCTTATTTAACAACTTTAAATTTATTTATTTAGGTTGATTGAGAATTATATCATTTTTAATTGATTTAATTTTAACACTATATAATATTTATAGTTTTAATAATTTATATTTTAAAAGTAAATAAATTTTGATATGATAGCATTTTCATATATATAAAATTTTATTTCCTCTTATGTATATACATAAAATCTTATATGGACAAATATATTACGAAGATGAATAAAAAGATAGTAATTTATAAATTAGTTGATATTTCAAATAATATTAAATATGCAGATAAATAATTTGTTAGCATATTATTCCTTTGTATATAATAGAAAATTAATATATATTTGTAAATCAATAGCATATCGTAGTAATGTATCTAATAAATATCATTGAATATAAATTTTAATTGTTTTTACGAATTATATTTACAATTAAAAATAATAAATTGTCAATTATGCTTTTATTTAATTTTCTAAATTTTTAATTAAATGATATAAATAAGTAACAAATTGTCAAATTTATATTTGTTTGTTTTATTTGTAGGAATCTATTTTTATTGTTCATTTAGAATAAATACTTTTTATTGGTTTGAAAGCTAACAATTTATAAAAGGTACTTTGAGTTGGGATGGAGGAAATACTGTTTATAAATTTTAACTTACAACTAAAGAAGAAATTGATATAAGTATATCGAAATATACTCCCTCTATCTGAGAAAATTATGTAACTTTGATTGGGTACGAAAAATAAGAAATAATGATATTTTAATATTATAATAAAAATGGATAAAAAAGTAAAATATGAGTATTACATGAAATTTACATAGGGATTGATAAATAGGTAATGAGGTAAATAGAAAAAGTATAACAAATTGATTATTATTCTCACCGTCTATCAAATTTACTGTTATTTTTCTTTTAATCCATATGTTAAATTTAATCAATTACTAATTTCGGCAAAAATCATTGAGTGTTCTTTCTATAATAAAACCAATTTTCCAAAAACACATTTTTTTCAAAAAATAACTGTTAAGTTACGGAAAATGGTGCCTAGGGTTTCGTTCCACTGGCCCATTAGGACAAGATGGGCCGGCAGAACTAAATTAGGTATAGCAAGGCCTGGCGGTGCAATTCGGCGAGGCTGGCATTAAGGTATGATGGGCCAATCGGTCGTTCGTTTAGGCTGAATGGTTGAAGGGCCAGGAAGCACCAACTGAATGGTTAGGGTATCTGAAGTTCGGAGAAGCGTACTCTTTGAGGTAATCTATTCAGGTTATGGGAGGTTCGGGAGATAACCACCAGGGGTAACTGGTTGGGGTATCCGAATAACGAGGAAACGCTCTCTTTGAAATAACCGATGCAGGTTATGCGAGGTTCAGGAGATAACCGCCAGGCGGTTACTCTGTAACTAGGTAACTGAATTCAACCATTCGGAACCGGTGCGGGTGAACGGATAAAAAAGAGGCCGGATGTGGAGAAAAAAGAAAAAAGACAACAAAAAATAATCCATAAAAAAGCGCATATGCTAGTTTCCTTTTAACGTTTTCTTTTATGTTTTCTATTTAGATTTCGAAATTCTGTTCTAGTAACTCTAGTGCTTAGGGATTCGTATATGATCCCAAGTCAACCCATCAAATTCAAAGGTCTATTATCGTTTCTTTTGAATTTTACTTTGTTTTTGGATTTCTCAAGCTAACAATAATATATTACACACAAATTCAATATTTCTATATTACTTACACAATTTACCTCACATTAAAAAAAAAAAAAAAAGATCACTTCAAATTATTTCACTAGACAAAGAACAACTCCAAGATCAGAAGATGTAAATTCCCACAACACATACGGGTTGTTTGTTGAAGGATCGGACTGTGAATGCACGGTGACAACAAGAACAAAAAATACATAACAATTATTAACCAATTCCCTCGTCAACGACCTACATCTGAAAAGTTCCAATCCAGACTAGATTCACTATCAAAGCAGTTGAAACATAAGGTTTCATAGATACAATTAGAGTTACAATTCTCAAGAAATCGCTCCCTATTTCTTGAAGATACCCCACTCCTAATTCTTTCTCCTCATTATCACCAATTTAATGAATTAGTGTATCTCTATTTCTATCAACAAAATACAAATTATCTCATCATTATTCAAGGAATTACATTCAGATTTTTTTATATCTAATGTCTCTCATCTCACTTCTCGATTTTAAGATCAATCTAAATCTAAAACATGATAATATTCAATCTAATAAACTCAATCAAGAATGAAATCTTTTTCTTTGCTATCTCTTCCCACCTCTACTAAGTTTTTTACAATTGAGTTTTTGCTATTCAATCACATAGGGAGCAACAATTCTATCAATCTCGATCATTTCTTCCTAACTATTTATTGGATTGATCAATTTTGGATCATGTTTTTGTTTGATTGGCTCAAGTCAATTGTGTCGCATCTGTCCATCAGTATTTGTTAGTTAATTGAATAATTTGCAAACAATATCAATCAAAACCAAATACAAATTGCAACCCATTTTTCAACAATATTTTTATTTTACTTTTTTATCTACCTTAACTAATATTATTATTATTTTTTAATATTCGTCCAAACAAATCAACATAATTTTACATGATAGATAGTGTATTTCTTTTCAATGAAGAGTTTAAAATCACATATGTACTCCCCCGTCATAAAAAAAAAAAAAAATGTTTTCATTTGACCTGGCACATGTTCTAAAAAGAATAGGTAAAAATAAAAATATTTTTTTAAAGACATAAAAAATAATAAAATTGATATTTTTTTATTAAAAAAAAACAAAAATAAATTGAATGACAAAAAAAAACAAAAAAAAAAAATTGATGAAAAAAAGTATATTATAAGAATATTAAAATAAAAAGATTCCATCATCGAGATGGACGGGGCAAGTATGGGATGATGGGGACCATCCAACTAGGTTTGTTTCTATGTTTTCATTATTACAATGAAAAAAAGTAAATAAATAAAATCAAATTTAATTGCTGAATCGAATTAAATTTTTTTATTAATCGAGTTATTTTTATTCCAGTATAAATTCTATATATTTGATATTTGTTTAGTTCGATTTGATTTCGATTTTTGACTTTTTTTTTTCAGTTAATTGAAGCGAACCCAATATATTTATATTATTATATATTAAATTTTATATTAATAATTATATTAAATTCAATTTCGAATATTTGCAATATTCTTATTTATTTGGAATTTTAGTTAATTGTTTTGTATTTTTTTTAATTTATATTCAATTTGAATTATTTGCAACTACTGCAAATATTTTTTGTTAACAAATTTTTTTAAAATTTGAATACATTTCACGGTTTCGAATATCGGACATTTGTTCGCTTTGGTTCAAAAATAAAATACTTGCATATTTGCAAATATCCGAATGTATCCACCCCCACCCCTACCCCTAATTACATTATTTATTTATTCCAAAATGATACTTTTATAAATATATATATTATAGTATGTATAATGATATATTTGTAATTTTATTAAAAATTAAGAATTTATTTCAGTATTAGTGTATAATTACTTTTACTAAATTGAAAATTAGATACTTTTAAATATAACGGACAAAAATAGTAAAAAAAAATTATTTTAAATTAAAACCAAAGAATTTTATTTTTTACAAATATTAAATAAAATTATTAATTTTTGTATCCATAGTTATTTATATTATATTATAATTATTATTTTAATTAAAATTTTTAATATTCAAAACCTCGAAACCAAATTCAAAATCTATAAACAAACACATCTGATATTTTGATGTAGTATATAAAGAAATAATAATATATTATCCATTAATAATAAATTATTGATATTTTTATTCTTGAAAGTATACAAAAATGAATATTTTATAAAAATGTAAAATAATTTGATGCATAGATATAATTAATTTTACTAAAATTAACAACAAATACTCCCTCCATCCGCTTACAAAGTTTACATGTTTCTATTTTGGGACGTCCAATTATAAAATTTATATTTTATTAAATATCCTACTTTTTTCCATAAATACCCTTACTTTTACATCACATCCTTATTTTTACACAAAAAAGTAAAGACAAAAATGTCATTACACTACTTTTAACTACTCACTATAATTAAAATACTATTATTTCTTAAACACCGCGTCAAAAATAAATATAACTCTTCTAAATGGACGGAGGGGTATCTTTTAGTTAAAAAAAAAAAAAAAAAAAAAAAAAATACATTGAATTGAAATAGAAGTAACACTTCACATAAAATATAGTCTCTGTCGTCACAATGACAAAAGTATGTAACCCGCGTGCTGTAATGTGCTAATTCGGGAATATACACTTCCACCCACATATGTATTCTATATTAATTTCAGTCCCCATCATATGATCTGCCCATCAAAAATATTTTGTCCACTTGCAATTCTTTAGCTGTGGAATTTGTACATCTATCTTCATATGATTCTTTTCAACAATAATTTTACATTATATATATATATATTTTTAATTTAAAATTTTGCATAAATATTAGGCTGTTTGTTACTATGTATTTTTCAGTGTAAATATATATATATATACATTAGTGGTCACGCTGTGCTATGCACAACTTATAAAATATTATTATTGTATAATACAAAAAATTATAAATTTAAATTAATATAATTAATTAATTTAATTAAAAAAATTGCAACCTCTTGCATTGATTACAATGATGGAAGTCATTTTATTTTTAAATTTTAATTTGTGGGATCCACACTCATAAAATTTAAAAAAAAATGAAAAAAAAAATGCAACTTTTGTCATTGATTAAAAAGATGAAAGTCATTTTAATTGGTGGGATCATATTCATAAAAAAATAATAATAAAAAAGAAAAAATCAATAAGCCAATATGTGACAACACACTTTCAAGCCTAAATATTATATATTAGATATTATATTAGATTAGATATTTAATTTAAAATTTTCAATATATATTAGGCTGTTTGTTACTATACTTAACAGCAACATATCATAGTTATATGAAAATAGTTCATCAAACACAAGATATATTAATATAATAGAAATCCATATATATATATATACCAACATCACATCATAATAATTCATATAGCACATTATGATTGATCTTAATACAAAATTAGCACATACTACTATTAATCTTAGCACAAAAGATATGTCAACGCACGTGTAAATTATAAACTAACAATATATTATAACAATTTATATACCACGTGCCATTAGAGTGGACAAAAACAAACACAACCCAAAAATCCAATCTAATCCCGATACAAAAAATAAAAAATAAAAATAAAAATTTGAACCTAAAATAGTCAACTCAAAACAAATGAAGATATTTAAAAATTTTAAAATATAATACTCCCTCCGTCCACCTCTAAAAATCACATTTACCTTTTGCATCATTTATATTTACATTAAAAATATCCTTATATTTATATAATTTTTTATTCAAATATAATTTATTAGTATTATAATACACCAGTACAAGTATTTTTGTAATTTTTTCTTGATTTATACTATATTTTGATATAATAATTAATATTCAAAAATCAACATACAAAAATTAAATGAAACCATTAGAGCCGACATAAATACTATAATAGTGTAGATCCTACCTTGTGTATGGTAAGTCATGGGTTCAATTTTTATAGTTACCCCCACAATATTTTTAATTAGATTGTTTTAGAATTAAAAAGAACAAAAGGCTGGCCCGGCCCAACACAGTTTGAACCGGACAGTGCCATCGGCTGGACTCCCAGGCCAAATATAAAACCGGGCCGGGCCGAAATTGCCACTCCTACCTGCCGTATCAATTCAAGCTATGTCATAATAGGCTATATTTCATTTGGTGACGGCACAATGGAACTGTAACAATTCCCAAACTACAACAATGATCACAAACTTTAACCAATTACCTGACCATCGAACTCATGAAAGATCTTATGTTGTCATAGCAATGCAAGATCTACTTAAGGATCTATGCACAAATATGTGTACGAGCAATAGTGAAAGGATTAGGAAGAACCTTTGTCAGACTTAACAGTCTCATGTACAGCCGAGAAGTCGAGGTCGCCGAGTCCCAAGCTTCGCGCTTTCTTGAAGGCCTGAATTTCAAAGAACAACCGCGAAAGATCCGCTCAAAATATTTACGAGTATCTGTACTTTGCCAGGATGCCTAACACCTAACAATGTGTTCGATTCTTACCTCATTCGAAGCAGCTGCGACAGGCATAGGCACCGAGTTTTCATCCCCGAGGGCAAGAGCCAGCTTCATGTCCTTTTGCTGGTGTTTCAAGGGGAAGGCAGGGGAATACTTACCCTGTACCATCGAGGGTCCCTTCAGTTTGAACATCGGATTTGCAATCGCGCCGAGATCCTATGATCGGGCAAGATTATAATACTAAGAATAAGATGTCAGAACAAGTTTTGAGGTTTTGATGAACAATTGTCCTCACCAGTACATCCAGAAGGGTGTCTTGATTCAGCCCACTTTTATCTGCCAATACGAGCCCCTCCGAAAATGCGTTCATCATGCTGCAATGTAGAACCGGCGCATAAATTATCGAGACTTTCAGAAAATTGTATGATATGTAATTAATAATGTATTTTTCTATCGATTTGAACTTTTAGGTGATATGGTTTTTAGGTTCTAGAACACGACATCTATGTTGAGAGGAGGAAGCAGGATAATCACCTGCCCATAATCATGTTAACGACAAGCTTCATTTTTGCGCCATTCCCAACTTCCCCAAGGAAGAAGGATTTCTTCCCCATTACGTCGAAAGCAGGCTTTACTGCTTCATACAGTGCCTGAATTTTTCGAACAAATGACGGAGGTATAAACTAATGGCAAAATTATCCATAATTTTATGTGGTTTCAAAATTTAGTATAAATTTTGTCTGTATTTTAAAAATTGCATAACGCTCCCTTGTACTTTAAAAAGCATTGCATGAAACCCGGCCAAGAAAAAACATATAGATGAGAAATCATTTTCCCACCACACAAAAAATGTAAAGAGAGATTTCCTGCAACGTCTTTTAAAGTATAAGAGAGCGCCATGCAATTTTTAAAGTACAATATGGATTTACATTGACTTTCGAAATCACAGGGAGTTATGGACAACCGAGAAAATTTATGCAAGTTATCTAAATTAAAGCATCATTTTTAAGCAGATGTTCGACCTTTTCTCCAGCAGCAAGGATCACCAGCTGGCCATCCTCGGCTGGCTTTTTGCTACCTGACACCGGGGCTTCAAGGAAAGAACCGCCCTTCGCTGTGATTGCCTGAAACCATTACACAAAATATACATACAAGCTTTTCATTACACAGATTGTGCCTTTATTGTTAGTGGATACGAGCAGTTCAAAACCCGAACCTTGCAGATCTGCGAAGAAGTCTCTGCATCAACAGTTGACATGTCAACATAACCTTTGCCGGAGCCAATTTGCTCCAGAACACCATCTTTGTCGAAAACAACCTATTTGTGCAGAATTTTAAACCCCCATCACTCGAACTAAAAGCATATTTAATACCGGTAAAGGAACACCATAGCCTTACCGATAAAGCGGCAGCAGGATCAGACAACATTGCAATTGTATACTTGCATTTCTTGATTACATCAGCAGGGGATTCTCCGACAGTAGCCCCGTGCTCAACGAGCTCATCACACTGCAAAATGAAGAATAATCTCATGTAAAGCAACTGCACTGGAGTGAACTATCTGAGAATACAGATACAAAGATCAAATGGATTTTATTTGTCGAAAACACAGACACAGTGATTTCAAAAGGCTTGAATACATTAGATTCCTTCATCCACAGCTTACTTAAACTTCCATAATTTGTGGCAATCAATTTGATCGAAAGCATCCAAAGAAATGGCTATCCTGGTAAGTTTTTTCACCTCTTTCAAACCCGACAAAATCCTTTACATCAAGCATATAATTCTTCAAGAATAACTATAACTCAATGTATACATTTTAGATTCATTCATTAACATAACTTCCAATATATATGGACTCAAATTCAACTCTTACCATATATCATTTCCAATCAGTGAATCGTCATACTGTTCTCATGGATAAATATTATCCAAGTAGCTACAGACAGTTCATATTATTTACCTGAATCATTAATTTCACAAATTCTCAAAACAACTAAAAATACAGAAAAACACTTCCTACAATTTTGAAATACGAGAACAGAGCAGGAAATCACAAGCAGAGGTTAGCTAAATCCCACCATTACTATCTATGCCTAAACAGTCCGTTCCTAACTCTTAGCACAACGACAAACAACAGCTTTCTTCAGCTACTCAACAAGCTCTATTTGCAGCCGTTCTGACGTGATCATATTAAAACGTACCGCGACAACCAAACAACAAGTGAAATGCATTCATCAAATCAAAAAACGCGAAGAAAGTACCCTGGATCGTGTGCGGTTCCAGACAGTAACTTTAAAGCCATGGCGAAGCAAGTTCATAGACATAGCCTTCCCCATTATTCCCAACCCCAAAAATCCGATTTCCTCCATTTCTCCTCCTGAAGCTTCAAGGATTTGGACCAATGGAGGCTCTGAAAAAGCAAAATCAATCAAAGATTATCTGCTGCCGGCGCGATCCCAACAGAAGCGATCAAACCCTAGAGTTCGATAAAACGACGAATATCAAATGGATTTTCATATACTGTTCTGTGTTGCATTACAATGACGTTTTTAACCTTTTACGCTTGCTGCATTCTGATTGGTCGATAACTATATGGTGGGGCCCGTCTTTGTCACGTCATCATTTTTCTCCACTGTTGTTGGAGAAGGGAATTACATGTTGTGCACGGGTGCACGGAAAATCATGCACAGGCCAATGACTATGAGGTTCAAGTATCAAGGGTTTATTTCTGTATAAATAAAATACTCCATCTCTGTCCCTTGTAATTTAAATATGTCTTTGTTGGAGGGCTTGGATTTTGGATCTGGATTTAAATAGTAAAAATTTTGAATTTGAATAGTTGTACGATGTGATATAAATAATAATTGATATGATGTTTTGAATGTAAAATTGATTTTTAATATAATATAAAAATAAAAAATAAATGTTTGATTCGATGGTTTTGGAGGAAAATTTTTGTGGGAATAGTAAAAATCTCACAAATTCCCTCAAACAAACACTTGTGTTACTGTAAAGACGACAATTGTTAAAGTATGAGTAATAATTAATTAAAAAGTGTATTAATAAAAATAATTATTGTATAGTAAAAATAATTATAAATTAAAATTAAGATAACAGCTGAGATTAAAAAAATTATATAATAATATAAAATTTATAATGTGATTAAAATGTATAATTATATTTAAAAAAAATAAAAAGACAAGTGAGACAGACCAAAATTGAAAATAGAGAAAAATTATATTGGACGGAATGAGTAAAATTTTAACAATTTTTTTTTTTCAAAAAAATACTCCATCCGTACCAAAAAAGATGTCTGGGTGTGAGTGGACACCAAAATTAAGAAATAATAATATTTAATTAAAAATAAGTAAAAATTAGAATATAAATATCTAAAATACTCTTGTTTTTTTTTTTTAGGTTTTAAAAAATGAGTTAGAGTAATAATTATGAATAATTTTAAAAAGTAGAGATAATATTGTTGTAAAATGGGAACCGTAGTTACTAAATAATGAAACATAGACAATTATTTTGGAACAAAAAAATAGAAAAATAAAACAACTCTTTTGGGAGGAATATATTATACATATTCATTATTTTTATATTATTTATACAATTATCTGTATTTTATATCAAAATTTTGTAATTAGATCAAAACACAAAACAAACCCACCTTAATATTTTTTAATTAGATAAATTGCATAATATTTATCTATTTTATTTATTACAATTCTCTTTTTTGTTATATCAAAATATATACTCTATCTGTTTAGTAAATTTCTCATTTGACTTTTACACAATATTAGTATTTTATAAATATATAGTGTAATAAGTAATATAATATTTATTTTACTTTTGAAAAATAATGTAAGAAATAAAAAGTAGAGTTATTTTAGTATTTTGAGTTACATTTTTTGACAACAATAAAAAAAATTTATTTTGACAGACTAAAATGACAAATGAAAATTTTATTATTAGACAAAAGGAGTATAAAATACCATTTTCATTTAAATTTGATGTTGATTGTAAATATGAGTTTAATTCTACAAGTATATATGTAATGGATAACCCGATTGTGTGAATGTAGACTTGTGATCGTTAAGTTATAAGTTCAAGTTATTGACTATAATTAAAATTTTCCGTAACATTATGTAGTTTTGATAGAATATGTAGAATTAAAAAAAAAAAAAAGAATAATTTACTATTAAAATAGTGTTAAAAAAAGTGAAGTTTCTATATTATAAAAAATTAATAAAAAATACTCCCTCCGTCCTAAATACGAGAATTCAAGTAAAGTATAATTTGTAAGTAATTAAAAATTGTATTAGTAAAAATAATTATCTATTAAGATTAAGATAATTGAGTAGTTTAATTAAGATTAAAAAAATTATAAATTTGAAATTTTAAAATAAGTGTATAATCAATTTTCAAAAAAAAAAAGACAAATTATATGGAACGGACGAAAATAAAAAATATGGATAAATTATGTGGGACGGATAAAGTAATACTCCCTCCGTCCCATAACAAAGTATCTATTTTTCTATTTTTGTCCGTCCCATAACAAAGTATCAATTTCTTTTTTTTAAGTACCTGTACTTTCTACCTACCATTACAAATACCCTTGCAACTTACAATATATTACACAAATGCCATTACCTTTATACCACACATACTAATAAGGTTATTTTAGTCATTTCTATTTTATTTCTACTATATCTCAATATAATACTAATATTTCTAAAACTACGTGCAAAAAACAAATGAATACTTAATTTCGGGACGGAGGAAGTAAGATAAATAAAAATAACAAATTAATTACAGTACTACTTATTAAAATAAGTACAATAAAATTATTCAGTACTATAAACCTGATTTTACTATTTCAATGTTTTTTTTTAAAAAAAAAAAATATTAAATCAAAACACATATTTTTTATTTATTTTATTTAAAAAAAATCTAATTTTACATTTAAAACGTAAACTTCACATATACATATTTATACAATATCAACTAATTATTTCAATTCAAAATTTTACTATTCATAATTAAAATAAAAATTCTGACAAGTAAACATACACTGTATAGGGTGTGTTTTTTTTGGTTGAGTTTGAGAAAATTTGATTTGAATTTGGTATTAAAACTATGTTTGATGAGATATTTTGTGAGAGAAAAAAATATATTTTTTTCAAAAAATGCTTAATTCAAATAGTAAAATTTGAGATTTTTTTTTTTTTTTTGTAAAGAACATATTTTTATTGGGATAGAGGAATAATAAATAAAACATTAATGTATTTTGATGTATTTAAGGTTAGTACTATGCAATTTTAAAAAGCATGGTAGGTTTGCACTTGAATGTTTTCAGCTCAGCGGGAAAATTACAACGGTCTCCATTCTTCCTCTCGGATATCGCCGTGCCGGGCGGCCGTTCGCCGTCGCCGGCAGCCGCATCCACCATGAAGAGAAGCAGGAAAGAGAACTCCAGGAAGAAAGAGACGGCGGAGGTTGTCGACATAGAGGATGTAAGTTTCGGCAAAAAGGAAATTCAAAAAATTAGGGATTCTTTGTTGGGGTGGTACGACGAGAATCGGAGGGATTTACCTTGGAGGAGAATCAGTAGTGGGAGTAGAGATGTCAGCGCCGAAGAGAGAGAGAGGAGGGCATACGCTGTGTGGCTATCGGAGGTGATGCTTCAGCAAACTAGGGTTCAAACAGTCATTGACTATTTCAATCGGTGGATGGAAAAATGGCCAACAATTCATCATCTTGCTCGTGCTTCGATCGAGGTATGGAATTCCCCCCATGTTCGAGTTCGGATTGCTTCAAATTTTGGTGTGATTGATTCATTTTGATATTTCTTGTGTTGCGCGAGCAGGAAGTGAATGAAATGTGGGCAGGCTTGGGTTACTACAGACGGGCCCGATTCTTGCTTGAGGTTAGTATACATTTGGATTTTGGTCATTTATTCCTTTGATGGTAATTGGTAAGCTTGTAGACAAGCAGTTTCCAGTATTAGAAATTAGAATGCACTTTAGGTAAACTTCAAGTTTTGCTTATAATGAAGAATGGATTTTTTTTTTTTTTTTTTTAAAAAAATCTTTTCATGTAAGGTTTGAGAATGGAAGAGAAGAAACTCTAGAATGGTTTATAAAAAGAATTACTGGGTCACTAATATTGTGATACAACTGTGTTATGGACAGGTGCTTTGTAAGTTCTTTCTTAATTGCAGTCGATGCTTAAGTCTGTCATTAGTTAAAATTACTGAGAGTAATGAGCACCTCTAAGAACATACTGAGATATTGTTTAACTTGTGCTCGCATCTTTACGGGACAAATGGTTTTAACAAGCAGGGTATTCACAATGTTTTAATGCAATTTTTTCTCCTTTTTTCACATGTTTGCGTCTATTTATGTATAAATTAGCTGTATTATTTTCCGGGTAACATATTTTGGAAGTTTGGAAATTGTAAAGTAATGTAAATTTTCTCCTAATCTAGTGCACTAATTTTATGAAAGCCTAGTTGAGGACATGAGTCGATAGGAGAATCATCACTTGTTTTACATGATTTGGTAGCTTAAGGACAAGTGAGGAGTTTTACTTCTTCCTGTCTAGATATTGAATAAAACGTTTGCAGGGAGCTAAAATGATTGTTGAAAGTGGGGGTGAGTTTCCGGAAACGGCTTCTTCTCTGCAGACAATACAAGGGATTGGAAACTATACTGCTGGAGCAATTGCATCTATTGCATTTGATGAGGTTAGTGGTCCACATAATTTCTCTATCATAATCTCAGTTGCTTTTGTAGTTTAATAATGGAAGCATGCTATTTAGGTTGTGCCAGTGGTCGATGGAAATGTTATCCGAGTGATTGCCAGGTTAAAGGCTATATCTTCCAATCCCAAAAATTCAACAACTGTGAAGAATATATGGTAAGGAAATGGTTACATCTTATTGTCTTGCTGATATTTCGAAGTGAAAGTAGCTGCTTTAGTTTGTTAGTTGTTTTTATCTCACAAGAACGGACGGCCTCTAACTCACATTAACAAAATTGGCTGAAGTTGCAAATATATGTTAGAAGTTATGTCTCCTGGGGAATTTTCTCTAGTGTAGTTATATAAATTATTAGGATCAATTGCATAAGACACCCCTAGTTTTACAAAAATGCTCAAAACACATTGTGTTTTATTTATTATATAAAATCCTTTTATGTTAGCGTGAAATATGGATAGAATACTCTTTTTGTCCAAAAAGAGAGACTAGGAATCACACGCTTACTATCCAGATAACCTTGTATTGAATAAAAATGAACACTGTGATATTTATAATATAACCTTCTAATGATAAAAAATTAAATAAAATAGACAATGCTGGCAGTTTTTTCCTACAATCTTATCTAAGAAATTAGGTGGATTTTTTATGGTACCTTTTAAGAATCACATGTTTATTGTACACATTACTTTATATTGCATAAGAATCAATATTGTGAAATTTTTTAGTTTTAAAAATAGCTATTTATTTATAAAAAGAAATAAAATAGATGATGTTGATGCCTTGATGGCTTATTATTTCCATCTTATTCTAAAAAAAATAGGGCACATGTTTATTTTTGAAAACTATCTTTATAATAGACTTGTAATTTTGAGTTGTTGTTAATTGGACAGAAAAGGTATTCTATGCAGACTTTACTCTCACGCAAGAGATTTTATGCAATAAATAAAATACAGAGTATTCTATGCATCATTTTAAATAAATTTTATACAATAAATAAAATACCGAGTATTCTATACATTTTAAATAAAACACATAATGTGACCCTTGAGATTGTATAGTTAAAGTTTGTGATTACGAAATTGTTCTGTATCTACGGTAATAAAGATGGATATGTATTTGCATTTACACTTATGTCACAAGGACGTACTATCAAAAAATTGTCAGTTTATGTTTTTTTTATTTACATTCATATATGTATCTATATTTTTGTTTTTTACAAGGAGATTAGCAACACAATTAGTTGATCATTTGAGGCCTGGGGATTTCAATCAGTCTCTCATGGAACTTGGTGCAACCGTATGTACGCCATCAGCTCCCAGTTGCACAACCTGTCCCTTATCTCAGTTCTGTGAAGCCCTCTCTCTCTCCAGAAGTGACGAATCAATTCGAGTTACAGATTATCCAATGAAGGTTGCCAAGGCCAAAAAAAGAAATGATTTCTCTGCAGTTAGCGTGGTGGAAATAACCGGGACATCATCTCAATGCGACAGCAAATATTTACTTGTAAAGAGACCGGACACAGGGTTGCTTGCTGGACTCTGGGAATTCCCGTCTGTTCTACTGGAGGGAGAAGCTGACTTGGCTTCAAGGAGAGAGGCAGTCGATAGTTTTTTGAAACAGGCATTTGGTCTAGACATTGAAAAGAATTGCGAAGTAGTTTCGAGAGAAGAAGTGGGAGTATATGTTCATGTATTCAGTCACATCCGTCTCAAAATGTTCGTAGAGTTACTGATTCTGCAACCATCAGGTAAGCTTAAAACAAATTAAGATACAGATTCTGTATTCTTCATGGATTAACATGAATTAGAGGGTGTCTGACTTTGGTTTTTATGGTGGGAAAGGTTTTCTGGATATGAAGCAACCAGATGAAAGTATGATGTGGAAGTTTGTAGATAGCACAGCCATGGCTACTTTAGGTTTAACATCTGGTGTAAGGAAGGTAAATCTCTCTCTCTCTCTCTCTATATATATATATATATATCTCATTAGTATTTATTATCAATTACTACCTCCGTCCTACTCTAAAGATCTCATTTACGTTTTGCGTGTTGATTTTTGAATATTAATTATTATATCAAGATGTAGTACAAGAAAAAATTGCAAAAATACTTTCATTAGTATCTTGTAATACTAATATAAAAACATTTGTACAAAAAATTATACAAATATAAAAATATTTTTAACGTTAAGTATAATGACACAAAAGGTAAATGTGACCATTAGAGCCGGACGAAAAGAGTATTATATAAGTGTGTTGTGTTAACATGTATTTTATGAATAATGTCATAAACAATCAGTCCATATAATGCAATGTACTACCTGTCAGTTAATAAGAATTACATTTAATTTTTGGTCGGATATTAAGAAATATTATATTTTAATGATAGTTTATAGTATTTTAAATTAAATGACAAATTTGCCCTTTTCATTTATTTGTATTGGAATGATATTTGTGTCAATAATGTGATTGAAAGGGTATTTGTAATGAATATGAGATAGATAGTTACTAAATAAAGAAATATATCTTTTGTAAGTGAATATTCAAAAATAGAAAGCGTAAAGTATTATATTACTATAAACTATGCTATGTAGTCTCCATTGTTCCGACATATGTCTCTGTGAAATGTGATGTATAGATTATTGTAATTTTTTTTAAAAAGAAATTATATGTTGTATTTGTATTATATTACTATACACTATGTATTGTTTGGGTATTTGTTACTTACTTTGGTGATGATGTTATGCAGGCATACAACATGACCCAAAAATTCAGGCAGAGTGGTCAGCAAGTCCCTACAAAAACAAAAAAGCCAAAAAGACAACAAAGAACATGATGCACTCTGATTTCTTAAAGTTAAGCAGTTTTGTTAATGTGAGGTCATGTGTTGAACCCTTCTTTATTTTTTATTTTTTTGGCTAAATTGCACAAAATCTACTCGTGATTTTATAAAATTGCACGAAATTCTTTGTACTTTTAAAATTGCGTCAAACTCTCTCGTGATTTCATAAACTTTGCGTCTAACTCCCTCAGTGGTTTTTATTTAACGGTATTTAACTTAAATGCGCTCAAATTGCCGAATAAATTTTAGAATTTCAATTTATAAACTCCTAAAATAAATATATATATATTTTTATATTTACCCTAAAAAAATAGTAAATATACTAAAAAATAGTTATTTTTCTTAGGTTTTAAGAGTTTATTTTTATTATTTTTTTAGGCTAAATATATAAAAAATAAATATATTTGTAATTCTAGGTGTTTAGAAATTGAAATTTTAAAATTTATTTGCAGTTTGAGCGTATTTAGGTCAAATTCCCTTAAATAAAAGACCGCTGACGGGTTATACGCAAAGTTTATGAAACCACAAAGGAGTTTGACGCAGTTTTAGAAGTACGGAGGATTTGGTGCAATTTTATGAAACCACAAGAGGATTTTGTGCAATTTAGCCTCATTTTTTTAACATTTATTTTTTAATTTAATACTGATTTGAACAAGGGCATGTTTGATTGGATATAATGCAATATTTTGAATGAAAATATTCCTTGGAGTAATTTTTTCAGGAGAAAAAATAAATTGTGCATTGAATGTTGTAGTTTAAATACGTACTAATGAAATTATTAAGAAAGTGAATATGATTAATACACTTGTAGAAAATGTAGGCTATTTAGTGAAATTATTAGAAATGACTTTTGGTATAGACAATGATTTCATTGGAGAGAAATAAAATTGAGTAGAGAATGAAAATTAATTCTTTTGTTCGGTAAAACAGAGAATTCAGTAAAGAAAATGCAGCTGTATTAATGAATCAAATAAGAATAATTAATTAACCCGATAAAAAAGAAAAAAATTTTAACGAATGAAAAATATTTTTGGTGATTTTTTTTAAATTATAAATTATATACGATATTTTTTAAGATTATATTTTAGTACAGTATCTTAAAAAATAGTAAAAATTAATACTTTAATAATAAATTAAATTTGATTTTTGTAAAATTAAAATAATATATCTTAAAAAAATATATAAAGAAGTAAATAGTAAAAAAAGATAAAAAATTAAATAATCTAATTTGATTTATTTGACTCAAATAAACAAGGAAAATAAGATCATTTTTTTCTAACTTTATTTATTTGATAGATCATCAGAATTTATTCATTTTTTTTTTTGTTATTTAGTTTTAATGTTTATTTTTTAAGTAGAAAATTTTATTAGAAAATATATTTTCAAATATTCTTTTAGTCCAACAAAATTATATAATTATTATTTTTATTTATTCACAATCTTATTATTCTTGTTTCAATCAATAATAACTAATTTTTCAATCATACGAAAGTGTCATTATTATTAACAAACTATAAATATATACTCCCTTCGTTCTATTTTCTATTTTCGTCTGTCCCACTTGTCCTTTCTATTTTTGAAAATATAATTATATACTTTAATCGCATTTTAAATTTTAAATTTTATAATTTTTTTAGTTTTAATTAAACTATTTATTTATTTTAATCTTAATTTATAATTATTTTTACTAAATAATAATTATTTTTACTAATATATTTTTTAATTATTTACTAATTATATTTTATCTAAATTTCTGTATCTATAGGAATAGTCCATAGAGGGAGTATTTTTTTCTTAAAAAAACATGACAGAAAATTTGAAAAATACTGTATAAAGTAGATAGACGACGAAAAAGAGAGTCGTATAAATAAGAGCGCTGGCGGTATAAATTCATCGTGATTTTTGAGAACGAACAGAGGGAAGAACAACTCGTGAAGATTCCGGTGAAAAATAAATGGAGGGAGACGTGGAGGATGACGCCAACGCCCGGCGGACTCACCGGAGTCCTCTGAAAGCCCTACCTAATAACCCTAGATGGAAGCAAAAGGCATGTACTAACTATTATATCCTTTGCTTGGAGATTTCATTTGTTTAATTACTGTTTATGTATGTCGAGAAAATTTGGTGTTATGTTGGTGGTTGTAGTTACGGGAGAATTGCTTCAGAAGAACTCGCGAGAATCGTTCTCGCTTGCTGTGGAAATTTAGGTTACCCGGAGCTGAGGACCAATCTGCGAGTCATGAGGTTAACTTCCTTGTATCTTTATTTATTGTTTTTTAATTACAGTAATTGGCAATTATTGTGTTGTTTGTGTATGCGGAATGGAAGGAAGCAAGGATGTGCAGGACACAGATGATTGTAGAAATCCTTTCTGAATGAATGTTGATTTTGTTATTTTTGTACTTTATTGGAGTTTGAGGGATTTCTCTGCTATTTGCCAGTTTTTTGAATGGATTGTGCTGTGCTTTCCATCACATTTTTTTTTTTTTTTTTTTCTGATGTTAGTTAATTCATTAATAAGGTGGAAATGTTTTATAGCCACTTAAGATTAAGATACAATTTACAGAACTGAGATTAACTGATGAGCAGAATGTGTAAGAAGACTAGGAGAGGAGGGTAGAGTGTTTATCTCTTTTTGAAAGAGGAACTATTTGAAGAATTTATATATATATATGATTTGTAGGAATAGAAGCTTCTGTAGTTAATTGTGTTTTGTTTCTATTGGACTTATTATTTTGTATAATTTTTTTCTTGTACATTGCGTTAATATGAACAGTGATCTTTTCTTTTGGTAGGAAGATGTTAAATCAGCTCTCAGTGGCATATTTTCGGAAGAGCTAAAAAAAATGAAAGGATCATCTTTTGATGGAAGTGCAGCTCCAATGTCTAAAAGTGTTGATGACGACATGATTTGGGAATATGATGGTCCTCACACAGCTTGTCCGAGTGACTGTGAAGAAATATTATTAGAAATGCAGAGAATATTTTATGAGGAGCTTAGGGATGAGGAAACTAGAAAGGGTATGATATAATTAATTTTGATTGATTAAGTAACCTTGTTGTGTGTAGGTAACAGTAAAGAAGTTGTGGCTTTTACAGTGAAAAGATCGTTGAGTTAATGGTAGTTAGATGATCTTGTTAGCATTTTCTTATATTTGATGGTGCTAACAAAGTGCAATCGAGTAAAATTTCCTTATGATATCCACTGGATGACCTAATCTTCAGAAGTTGCAGGGAAAAAAAAAAAAACCCTTTTAGAAAGAAATTTAAAAATTAATGGAAACTTGCCATGGAACTCCCCTTAAAACTGATCCATATGTTTCTTTGTGATGTATAATTCTAGATGCTTTATATTGTTATTTTCCCCTTTCTTTGGATGCATTATTTGTGTTACATGTCCATTGATCTCATGTTCATTTTCAACCCCTTGCAGAGAATTTTATTAGAACATGGGAGGATGAGGAAGATGAATACCTATCTCGTGCCGTATATGAGCACATGCATCTCAATGGTGATAAGGTGTGATGCCATTTCTAATTCTCCTAATGTAATTTATTGGGAAAAGTTCGATCTAAATGCAGATTTTTATAAGGATCTGCAATATTTCCCATCATGTGTATTTTTCTCATACAAATTTGTTGTCACATTGTGGATTATGGACCATGAAATGTTTTCATCCTGCCTTCTTAAGTAAAACTTATTAAATTCTCTTTAATTACCATGTAGGTTGCTGAGGTGGTATGGTGCCCCATCTGTAAACATGGAGAATTATATGAAAATAGTTGTGATATTTATTGCACCCGATGCCATCTTAGACTAGAAAGAGGTGACGAGGTATTTGCTCTCTCTCTCTCTCTAGCCGTTTTAAATAATGCAACGGCAGCTTTTTCGTTCGCAAAGAATAAAATAGAACCACAGCATATCTAATCGCATTTGAATATTTGCTGCATCTAATTATAAGGATGTGTCTAATTGTGGTTTGAAATGTTTTGGATTTCATATCTTTTATAAAAAAGAAATTATGGATGTGATGCTTTGAGTGGAAATAAGTTTTCGATTTGAAGTTTTGAATCGAAAATAGGTGTTGGATATGATGTAAGTAATCGATTAGATATTTTAGGTTGAAAATATGTGTATTGCATATGATGTTTATAAAAGGAAAAAAATCCATATTCAAAGCAAATCCTTGTAGAAGTGACAACTGTTGCCTTTTTCCGATTTGAGTTTCTTTGAGAAAGAAGTTTTCGAAATTGCAATTTCTTATCATCTTAATGTAGCAATATCTAACAGATGATATTAATAATGCCGAACCATATATTGTTGGTTACATTGGCTAACTTATTTCTTCATTTTCATGTATAATTCGGCTGTCAATTGTGTTCATATGTTCTTAGATATACAGCCGAGTTGTGCATATATCTCTATTTAGGATTAGGCGCAAGATTTCTCAAGTTCTTGGTTAATTAATGATTCATATATGGAGAAAACTGGATAGTAGATACTAATTTTGTCGATTTTACCGGTGCCAGGTTGATTTGAACCTTTTACGGCTGAGGCTGGCTGAGGCTCACACAGAGCATCTCGATCGAGGGTGCAGGTTGAAACCCGAGTTCTGCCTCGAGACTAAATTCGATCTGTCTGCATTGTACATCAAATGTCAAGGCTGCAATACCCTCGAGATTGTGATATAACCTGACACCCCTGCTGTTGGCGGCCATTGCAGATAATGCGACTTTTGCCTACGGGTACCTAACAAACAACTACTACTTTTGTGCCTTTTGCTGTGATGGACCAATTCTTTCGAGGAACTTTTTGTTTATCTTGTCCGTGTTGGTTATATATGTATATAGGGATTTGGTATATAAATATCGAAGAAATATATATGCTTTAGACTAAGAATAGGAAGGCGACAAGCCGCTTAGGTGTTTTTCCGTGCTTTGTTATCTTCACCTTCAAAGTATTTTATTGGCAAATACAAGGACATTTACGGAGCAAATTATACACATATAAAGATATTTTTAACGTTAATTTAAAGAATATTTTGATATTAATGTTTAATATATTTTTTTTAAAATAAAAAAGTGATACTTTTGAATGCGACAGAGAAAATGATAGGGATCAACATCAAGAATCTTAGAATAAGCTTCATTCGATAAAAATAACAAATGCAATACATTCAATCCACTCCAGTAGATCTAAAATTCCCAACTTTATTTATCAAAGGAAAAAATCAATTTGATGGTTTATACACAAGTTGATTTAAATGTACATAACATACTACGGAAATCACTCGTATACCCAACAAAAAAAGAATGCATATAGTCACCGTATCAATGCATACGGTTGGTTGACAACAAACACTTTGAGACCAAAAATGATGCACACAATCTGTGTCACTGAAAAGAGAGAATTCGATCACTAACCTTTGCGCACTGTGAATTGGCGATAATTAAAGCTTCACCGTCATGTCATGTCATGTCATCTCATGTCATGTAGCGCCCACCTCGACACCTTGCAATTCAATCACCCGGAGATGCAATGGTGAAGAAATCTGAAGGCGTTGAACAGTTCAACAATGGCAACGAGCGTGTAAGTAGCACACCAAACAGCAGCCGCGAAAAACAAGGTGAGCGCGCCCCTGCGCCGGTCCATGAAGCAGCACCACCGAAAAAATGCATCATTGCACCATTCTCAATACCTAATTCCAAACTTGGGATGGTAACAACTTAAAATTAGGGATGGCGATTATGGTCGGTTTAGATAAAACTTTTCTAACCTTTAACACTATTCATCAACAATAACTTTTTCAAAGAAAACATCACAACAAAAAGATCTCCCGTGGGTTTCTTTACCACCAAACCCAAATTTTAATTATTTGGATTCTGCTTTTTCCGAAAAAAAAATATATTTTTTCTTCTCACAGAACATCATATCATATATTATTTTAATACCAAATCTAAACAAAAATTTCTTAAACCTATCACAAGAAAATATCACATAAAATAGTTAACTTCTTACTATTTTGAAAATCTTTCAAAACTCCAAAGCTTTAATCGAAAGGGGATAAATTTTGGTTCCAAAGAGAAAAAAGGAAACAAAAAAAGAAAATCACGATGAAAAATGTAAAATAAAAGATAAGTATAACAAAAGTTATGGCTCTGATTGTTTGTAGGATTTTACCTACAATTTTGCTATATATAAAAATCTCCCCTAAAAAACAAATCAAACTTATGTATTTCATTTTTTATATTATAATAAAAATAAATTTTTTGTTCAAAACGTTACATTAGTATCTATTTATATAAGATCAAGACTCTGTTTGCTTTTGCACAATTCATCAAAACTTTTAAATTTAAATAACACCTATGTTTAATTTCAGGGAAAAAAATCATTTTTGGTCCCAATATAACCAAAATTCATCAATTTTGGTTCCTATATAAAAATTTTATCAATTTTGGTTCAAATATAATCAAAACTCATCATTTTTGTCCAAATATAACCAAAACTCATCATTTTTTGTCTCAATATAAAATTTTTATCAATTTTAGTCCCAATATAACCAAAACTCATAATTTTTTGTCCCCATATAATCAAACTTTATCTTTTTTGGTCCCACTGTTAACAAACCGACGGAAAATGCTGACGTGAAAAGAAATCAAACTTTATATTTATATTTGAAGAAATTGCACAATCTTGCAAGTCCACGTCAGTATTTTTCGTCGGTTTGTTGACGGTAAGACAAAAAAAGATAAAGTTTGATTATATTGGGACAAAAAATGATGAGTTGTAGTTATATTGGGACTAAAATTGATAAAAATTTTATATTGGGACAAAAAATGATGAGTTTTGGTTATATTGGAACAAAAAATGATGAATTTTGGTTATATTGGGACCACAGTTGATAAGATTTTTATATTGAGACCAAAATTGATGAATTTTGGTTATATTGGGACCGAGAATGATTTTTTTCCCTTAATTTCAAATATTATATAGAAAACACATTTATATTTAATACATTATATTTAACACCTATTTACATTACATCGAAAAACCTACTTGTTATTAACTCTTTGAATAGTTATTTTATAAGGTAGTTTGAATATGTGAATTTTCAATTTTGTTTTTGGAGGTTAACAAATCTAATAACCACAGAGAAGGGATAAGACATCAAATCCAACCAAAGTCCAAAAATTAACAAAGATAAGGGAACACAGACAATTTTTTCCCCGAGAATTTCATCCTGTTATATCTATTTTATAGCTTAATCGATCCTAAATGTTTTCTACAATCTTCTTTCTTCATTTACAGAATTAATTGATATGCCTTTGAATTAAGATTGTAATAATTTCTTCAGAATTAATCGTATTTAGGTTGCAACAATTGCAATTTCTTCCAACAGGCGCCGCAAGAACACGCGAAAACCCTAATAAAATTAAGATTTTACAAAGAAAAAAGAAGAAATAAATCAACAAAAAGAATAAAAGTTCGATGCGGATTCAAACCGATGCTCAAGATATAAACCAACAAACAAAACATAAAATAAAACAGATCATCATTCAAGACCGATTCCTTCAACGAATTCAAAGTGCAAAGTGTAGAAAAGTTAGAGGAGAATAAAGAACATACCTGGTGGGTAAGCGGAAACCACGCTGAGGGAAGTGTATTCCTATTCCGTTTTGAATTTTTTTTTTTTTAGTAATTTTGTACTGAGAAGCCATTCTTCGTTCCCCTGTATTATTATTATTATCTTTTAGTTATTTATTTATTTGGTTTTACTAAATTGACAAAATCCACCCACTGTGTTTCGTGAAATTGCACTAAATTTTTAATACTTCTAAAAAATTTCATAAACTTTACATTTAATCCCTTTAGTGGTAATTATTTAACGGATATTCGTTCAAATTGCGAATAAATTTTAGAAAATCAATTTATAAACCCCTAAAATTACAAATATATTTATTTTTTATATTTACACTAAAAAATATACTTAAAAAAAATAGTTATTTTTTTCCGACTTTAATAATTTTTTTTTTTTTTAGGCTAAATATATAAAAAATAAATATATTTGTAGTTGAAGTGTTTAGACTTGCGTATAGTATAAATTATTGTGAAAGTATGATTTATTTATTTATTTATAATATTTTTTGTGAGATAATTTTAGAGTAAACTAGCGAGAAAATCCATAACGAAAAATATTATTAGTTATTTCAAAATATTATTATAGAAAATTTTATTAATTTTATGTTTATTTTCAAATATTTTAATAAATTTAATAATAATAAATTTTTTATAAAAATAATAATAATTAAATAAATAATAGCAATTTTTTTAAAGAAAAATATTATCATTTAAATGAATTAAATAAATAATTTTACAAACTTCAAATACATATAATATAAATTATGATTTACATTGTATATTTGAAATAAATATCAATATTTAACTACTACATTTTATTCGTTTATTACAATTGCCACCACATTTATTAGATTATCTCACATTGTTATCATTATTAATTACTAACTAAATTTTAAAAAATATTCAAACTACCTTTTTATTATTATTATTATTTTTTTTATCACTTTATCAAAATATTTATTTTTCACAATCTTTGTGCTGACCCTAATAAATTATTTTTACCAGAGAAAAATAGTATTTAATTTTTAAGTAAGTGTGACTCCACCAAATATTATAAACTATCAGATTATACTTAATTTGCGATTACATCAAATTATAATAAGGGCACAAAAGTATTTACACATAAAAATACTTATTCTTCTGTCCCAAAATTATAATATGGATTGTTTTTTTTGCATAAAATTTAAGAAATATTGATATAATAAATAAAAAATACAGGTAAAAAGTTTTTTTACCTTTGTGAGTGTATTAGTGTAAAAAGTAGTCACAATTGTGTAATAATAATGAAAAAGTAAGGCTAGTTTTATAGTGATATGATTATTTATGAAAATAAAACTTTTGAGACAGACAAAAATATAGTAAATAAGACTGTTGTATTGGGATTGAAGAAGTAATTAGCTACTTATCTGTACACCAAATTTGTATTTGTTTTTTTTGTTTGTCCGAAAAATATGAACTTTTTATTTATACACACTTATATCATTCAACAACCTCTATATATATATATCACCAACATCTATATACTTAATTTATTTATTCTCTCACTTTATTAACTTACTCATATATTTTTTAAAATATTTTTGTCAGACAAAAAGAATATTATTTAAATATAATATTTTTTAAACTCGATGCCAAAATAAATATAAACATTTGCATTAAAAATTATTTCTCTATTTTTTATGAACCAATTTATTTTGATTATGTGTATACATATATTATTTATTTATATTTTATAAAATTCTTTACAAAATAACATTTACATTGAATATATACTTTACTAAAATTTAAATCATTCAAATAATTTACATTTATTTTTTAATTTATATATATATATATATTAAATCATAATTCAAATTATAATCAAATAACATCTCACTACTGAACATTAACTACACTTCCCAACTACCAACCTAACATTTTTACTTGGACATTATTTGCATCAATAAATTGTCATAAAAGGCTACTTACACCCACTTGTTCTTTATTATTTTTTTACTTAATTTGTGGATGTCATGAGAACAAATCGATCGAGTTATTAATGTTAGCTTGTCTTCTTCTTCTTCTTCTTCCAAATTTGGGAGCCCAATCGATTGAAATGTGACGAACTGTCGTTATTTACTAAATGATAGCAAAAGTTTGGCCATCTTCAATTGTCTTCTTCATTTATTTTTATGTAAAAACTTATTAATATCATACTTTTACGTTATTTATGTTAGTTTGGTTCTGGTTTAAAATTGATTTAAAATGAATTATTTGATTTGAATTTTTATTTAAATAGTATTTTGATACAATATTTTGTGAGAGAAAATATGATATATATATATTTTTTTACTATTAATTAATCATGGTTTCAAAATAATTGAAATCACAACCAAACACATACTTTATGTTCTTTTGTGGGTTTTATTCCAAAATTTACTTTTCAATTATTTTTTCCTTCAAACTTATCAGATCAAACAATTATTTTTTATTTTTTATTTTATTATATACTACAAATTTATTTATATTTAATATATATTTTTATCACACCAAACAATTATTCATATTCAACTTTTTACTATTAAAAATTCAAATTCAAATCCAAAAACCCAACATCATTGGCTATTGCATATCAGCATATGTCCTAACAAAGAAATTTCGACACCGGTTAATATAATAAAAAAAATGCATAATAAATAATACATATACTTTTATCCACTTAAAAAATAACATTTCAATACAAAATATTATATATTTCCTCTGTCCACAAACTAATGTCTTACTTTCTTATTTGGGACGTCAAATAATTATTGTCCTATTTTCTTTTTTAAACACAAATTTTACATTTTTAACCTTCATTCATTTATTACTTTTAATTTCTACCATACAATTATAGGCAAATTTGTCGATTCATAACAAAAAGACAATCACCTAAAAAAATCCGTGCAAATATACTGTAGGACAATAGAAATTGGACGGAGGGAGTATTTTTTTATATTAATTTTCTGTACCTAATATAAAAATATGTCAAACTCAATATACAAAACAAACACACCCTAGCTACAAATATATATGCTCAGCTAAATTTGAGATCCAAAAAAGAGTTCAAAAAAATGGATTCCAATCTCTCATTATCCTTCATTATTATCTCTTCCTTCTTCATATTTCTGGCAATGTGTTTTAGAGTAATTACCCGACCCATACCCGACCCGAATAAAAATCATCCTCCGGGGCCGACGAAGCTGCCGGTGATCGGGAACTTGCACCAGCTGGCGACAAGTTCGAAACTGCCACACCGATTGTTGAGTGACTTGGCCAGAAAATATGGACCGGTGATGCACTTGCAGCTCGGCGAAGTTAGCACCGTCGTGATTTCTTCGCCGGAAGCCGCCAAAGAAATCATGAAGACACAAGAACTCAACTTTTTCAACAGGCCGTTAACCATTGCGACCGATATTGTACTTTACAACCACTCGGATTTGGTAATGTCGCCATACGGTGAATACTGGAGACAAATGCGCAAGTTCTTCACCGTGGAGCTTTTGAGCGCGAGACGAGTCCAATCATTCCGTGCTTTAAGAGAAAAAGAGTTTACGAATCTGTGTAAATGGATCGCGTCTAGAGAAGGTTTGTCGATCAACTTGACAGAGAAGATCAGCTTCACTACTTGTGATATTGTACTTCAAGCGTCGCTTGGGAAAAAGACCGACGAGCTAAGAAAATTCAACAAGATAGCCAATGAGAGCGCCGAGCTTGGCATTGGATTCAATCTCGCGGATTTCTATCCTTCTATCAGTTTGTTTCGACAATTCAATGCGATAAAAGGCAAGGTAGAGAGGCTGCACAAAAAGGCGGACAGGATACTCGAAAAGGTTATCAATGAACACCGAGAAAAAAAGAATGAGTTTAAACAACACCACGACTTCGCCGACGATCTTCTGAAGTTTAATAATTCGGGAAACCAAATAAAACTGACCGACACCAATATAAAAGCCGTCTTACTGGTTTGTCGCCAAGCTTCTGAGTTCATACTTACTCTATTTGATTTTTTATCGAATCCTTCAAATTTTCTAATTATTGTGCATATAGGATGTGTTTATCGCGGGAATTGAAACATCCTCGATGACTACGGATTGGATTATGGTGGAAATGCTACGGCGCCCGAGTGTCTATAAAAAGGCGCAAGACGAGGTAAGAATGGTTTTCAAGGAAAAGGGATTTGTCGATGAGTCTTGTTTCGACAAGTTAAAGTATTTGAAGTTAGTCGTAAAAGAGTCTCTAAGGCTCCATACGCCGCTACCCATAATGTTTCCGAGAGAAAGTACGGAGCAATGTGAAATCTTCGGATACAAAGTAGCTCCGAAAACTCAAGTTTTGGTAAATGCGTGGGCGATTGGAAGAGATCCCGAGTACTGGAAAGAACCAGATAGTTTTATCCCGGAGAGATTTCTTGATAATCCAGTCGATTACAAGGTGAACAATTTTGAATACCTTCCCTTCGGCGCGGGAAGAAGGATTTGCCCGGGAATTTCATTTGGCCTCGCTAATGTCGAGCTTGCTTTGGCGATGTTTCTCTACCACTTCGATTGGGCTTTGCCCAATGGAATGAAACCTGAAGATATGGACATGACCGAGGCGTCGGGCGTTACGTTGAAAAGGAAAGAACCATTGTATGTTATTCCGAGAGTGAAGATACCTTTGCCTGTAAAACAAGATTGATTCATCTGATCATCTTCGAGCAACAATCACTTACTAAATGTACGTATGCATATATATATATATATATTTATATATATTTCGACAAGGAATTTGTGGTCTGATTGTTGTGTTAAATTACATCTTAGATTTCTGTAAAAATAACATGTGTACGTCTTGTTCTTAATGGATTTGATGTTCTTGTAATGAAACATACATGTACGTGTGTTTCTTTTGATATATTGATAAGTGGTATATATGATAATATTTTGCTATATTTTGGGCAATTTTTTGATGCGAAATTTTGTATATAAGCTCATAATTGTGTGTTTTTGAGTTGTCCACTAGCCATTGCGGAGTTGACAAATTTTGGGCATATTGTGTGATCACGTAAGTACATATACATAATATGTGAAATGTGGAATTTACAAAAAGCTCTCTGAGGTAAATTGACAATATAAAGAATATTTGGAATTTAATTGCAAAGGAGATCTTGAGATGGAGAATAAGAGACACGATTTGCAATTGAAGAGGGGGAGAGGAAGGGACTACCACGTTCTACCACGACATCATTTTCTTGAAGGGGAGAAGGGAGAAAGGAGAACACGACAGAGAGAACTTGGAGGAGGATTGCAGACGACTTTTGGGGGCGTTCTTCTTCTATTCTATTCTAGTATTGTTCTTCCTTATCTATTTCTAAAGAATTGAAGACATAATGAACTTTTTCAATTGTTTTGTGTTTTCAATTTCTATAAATTCCAAGTAATTTCATTTCTAGGAATTGATGTTCAGGATTGAATTTTTTCGAGACCTGATTTTGGTTGAATTTGATGTTTATTGATATTGGGTAATTCTAATTATTCTAATTTACGAGTTTAGAAATCTTAAATTGATTATTGCGTACGTGTCGATTTGAGATTTCGTAACTAAATTGGAGATTGACACTCGTAATTGTGTAATTTTCGAATTGGTGTAGCAACCTAGAGGAAGAATTCTCTAGGGAAGAATTAGAATGAATTTTAAATAAATCCGCATAGGACTTTTGTTAAATTGAATTGGGTCTTTCTAGTACTTAAAACTGTCGAATCAGTAAAACTACGGTCGTACTTAAGATTATGAAAATAGCTAACGGTTGTACCTTAGCTATCGACAAAGCTAGGAAAGATTGGTTGTGAACACATATAGATCAATTATAGCCAATTTATCCAACTAGTAAATGAATTATTTTTAGTCGATAAACAAAATTTATATCCCGAACAGAAAATTTATGCCTAGTTTAATTATTTTTTGGTATACCGTCTTGCATTTTATTTTATTTAATTGAGTGAATTTATTTTTCTCAAAATTAGTGTGATAAATCAAACCCCCCTTATATATATTAGTATAATTATATTTAACCGAGTGTTCTAATCATTTATGTTCCATGCGGAGACGATCCTACTCACTGAACTACTCTATTTTGCAATTTTTTTTTGTGGTGTAGAAACTAATACTTTATTTTGCAATTGTGTGATACAATTACATATATAAAAACGCAATAGCCTGCAAACTAGATCACTTAAGAAGTTCTGAGTGATAGACTCGATCAACGGTTAATAAGAATATGTATGTATATCTTTTAAAGATTCATATTCGAGTTTGGAAACAAATTGTTACCTAATTTTTACTAAATAGAATTACAAAATAAAGAATTAATTTAATAAAAAAATAAGGTTATTTAAGAAATTTCATCCTTTTCATTTAGTATAATTTTAGAATTAAGCGCATTTACAACTAACGTTAGCTTTGAATCCAAATATTGTTTTAGTACATACTTTGAAATTTTATGCAATATCACATGTCTCGTATGCTCGTCGGGCGTAGGTAACTGAATAAGACAACCAGCTGTATCTCGAGTTGGAACTGCATTATTTGTTATTAATATATATAGTAAAATACAATTGTGAGTTATATGTGCACATTTGTTAACATCTATTTAATCCATATAATCTATATTCAGTATCGAGGTATAACATTCTTTCCGACTTATCTCCATGAACTCCGGGTAAATCTTTGAATATTGTGAATCATTCCGTCTATTTATTGAATAGTTATCTCGAAGTTATATTTTTAGATATAGATTCAGTATCGAGGTATAACATTCTTTCCGACTTATCTCCATGAACTCCGGGTAAATCTTTGAATTTTGTGAATCATTTCGTCTATTTATTGAATCTCGAAGTTATATTTTTAGATATTTAAGGAGAGATGTATCACATTATTGTAGTATATATATCTCAAAAAATCTCTCCTTTTTCTTAATTTCTCCCAACACAGTAGCGAAGGCGCTGAAAACTTCATTGGACGAGTGGTGGATTTAGAAATTCTTTTTACAGGTGACAATAAATAATTTAAAAATAAAATATATTAAAAATTAATATTAATATTACAAAAATAAATTATTATTGATAATATGCAAAATAATATTAGTAAAATATTATTAAAATATCATTTTTTATAGATTTATATGGGTAAATTATTTAACACCCGTTGTGTTTTAGTAAAAATACACAAAATGGTTTATTTATTACGTGAAATTCCCTTATGTTAATGTAAAGTTTGCACGAAACACTTTTGTTGTTTTGATATTTGGTTTTAAATAAAAACCTAAATTTGGCAACTCTTAACAAATAAAAGATATCTTAAATAATATTTTTAATAAAATAAATAAATAAATAATTGGTTAATCCTTCATTTTTATAGTTTTTTGAGATAAATTGTTATCTACTTTTTACAAAAAATTATAAAAATAAATAATCGATCAATTATTTATTTATTTATTTTATTAAAAAAATTATTTAAAATATTTTACGTTTTTTATTGGTATAAAACTTGCATAATTTAAGTCTTTATTTAAAATCAAACATTAGTTTTGGACAAGAAGAGTATTTCGTGCAAACTTTACATTAACACAACGGGTTTCACTCAATAAATAAAACACGAAAAGTTTTATGCATTTTTACTAGAAGGATGTTATATAATTTACCCTATTTATATTTTAAAATATAGATTTGTTATTTTAATTGGATTAGATTTTAATTATTTGGATAAAAATGGTATTTTAAATTTCAAATGTTAAAGTCCACTAATAATTGAGGGCATTAAAATTGTTTAGTGGTAGAAAACCTACGGTGTATTCGTTTGGGATTGGATTTTAAATACATTATTCATTCAATTTTTTTTTTCTCTCAAAAATATTAAATCAAACATCTATTTTTTATTTTTTATATTATACTAAAAATCAATTTTACATTCAAAATATCACATCGACATTATACAACTATTCAAATTCAAAATTTTACTATTCAAATTTAACTCAAAATTCAAACCTCCAAACAAACACACCCTTAATAAATCATAAAAATATTCTTGTGGGGAGATAAAATCACCGGTGGCACATGCCACCACTCTTCTACACCTCCATCCGCCCCTGCCGATGGTGATGGTGTTCGTCGGCCGGAATTGACTCGGGACAGGGAACACAATGGTGGTAGCATTGATAATATGTAACCCTGAAAATCTACAAAATATAACAAAAAAGTGACAAACAATCCAGACGAATTCGATATGTTAGCTGTGGCTAGTTAGGATACGAGAATGAATTCTATATTTCATTTGTAAAAATTTGTACATATTTATACAATTATGTAAATTACCTAATAAATTTATTAGAATACTATAAATCTCTTAAAAAAAAAATAATTATTGCAATAATTATAAGATGATATACGTCAACAATATGAAAGAAGAAAATTAAGAGAGTACAAAAATAAAGGCAACCATAATTAAACAGGACTACCTTGTTGACTTAATTTTCCTTAATATGGAGGGCATTTTGGTAACTTCATATATGGAGAATCGTGGATAAGGATTTGAAAGTGGGTAAGAAAGTTGCAGCCGCCACCTTCCTCATCATGTGCGCAGTTTTCGTAAAATGACGATCTACGAATATCTAACCGTCGAATCGTCCTCAAATTTATTTAGAATGTTTGCTACTCATATTTCTACATTCAGAACGGTGGAGATTGGAATCGGAACATCACAAGTTTAGATATAGACACGAAGAGCTCTGTTCCTTCTCAGATTCTGTCGGACCAGTTTCAGTGTTGATATCAAATAAGAAGATCTAACCGTTGGATCATACTGGAATTCGAGTATGTTATTGGGGACATCGTGGAGTAAATTATGAACAGTGAAGATCGTGATCAGACATTTGGATTATCGAGTATTTTGGTCTGAACACAAAGGTGCTGTTTATTCACACAATGGGATAATTCATACTTGGATAGCGTCTTTGACGAGTATTTGTCCCATCACACACATATATATATATATATAAGTCAGATAGAAATGTAATTAAGTAATGAACACAAAAACAAAACAAGCTCTTAACACATTAACAACTTCATATGACAATCAAGTAAATGAAATCCTCGAGACAAATCATCTCATACGTAACGATTTCTTTTAGCACAATCAAAGCACAACAAGTAGCTACATTTTGTGCATTCAAATGCTATCCCGTCTTCCTCTCGACCTCGAATGATATCCTCGCATCTGTTACACACATAGTTGTAGCTGGTAAGTATTTGAATAGAAGTAAGCGGACAATTGTGCCCTTCCACACGAATTGTTCTTCCAAATATAATCATCGAGTATTCGCCAACACGAGGAAGGCACCTCATGTGAAAATAGGTACCACATTCTTCGCAACCATAGAACCAACGTTCTCTATCCATGTCCTTTTCGCAAATCTCACAGAAGTCTCGATCTTCATTTATAACAGATGGAAATTTCGAAAAGGATAGCTTCACCGGATGCCTGTCTAATTTGTGCGAAACACTTTCCGGGAAAAGGGCACAAAGGGCATGTATTTCAAAATTCGAACATGTGCAACATCGATAAAACAACTGCTGTACAATGTTTTCGTTGCAGCAGTGGCAAGCGCGACCAATAGTCGAAGAGGAAGTGTAGAACAAGAAAAGAATGTGAGACTTTCCATGCCCTTGGTAGGATATTGTTTTCGGCAAAAGTGTACAACACACATCCAAGTAGATCTCACATATCTCGCACTTATAGAAGAATCCATTACAGTATCGAAAACAACCTCTGCACCAATTGCGAAAGAAGAAACCTCTTTCAAGATTTGGTCGGAGAATAAGAGATTTATCTTTGCAACCTTCAGATGTATGCATTATCGAAAATTGATACTGTGAAGGTAGCCTAACGCAACAACTGTGAAGGTAGAAATCTTCGCACTGAGAACAAGTATAGAATGATCGAGATATGAGCTGAGTGCATGCTCCGCAAGAATAAGATCGAGAAGAACCAACTTCACCATCACCATCACCAAATTTTTCATGAAAGATCAAATCATGGCTGTGAATGTTTTGGTCTTTGAATATTTTCTTATCTTTTTCAGTACTAATTCCATTGTCGCTCATATCATTTTTCCCTTCCAAGAAGCATTGTATTAAGCTCGTATGCTCATTAGGCATCGGCAAATGAGTAAGTCCACCAGCTGTATCTCGAGTTGGTACTACATAATAAGTTGTTATTAATATATACTTCATTCGTTCGCCACATTTATGCTCTCATTTATATTTTACAAAGAAAGTGAATATAAATTTGACAGACCAGAGAGAGTATATATATATCATAAAAGAAAATTGTGAGTTATAAAATTATTATTGAGAGTTTTCGTAGATAAATAATTGTTGGATGTCATGTTTTTGTAAAAAACTTAACATGTAGAATGTATTTAATATTGCTAAAGAATAAGTGAATAATTAAATGACAGGAAAAAAAAATAGCCATGAAAATAACATTGGGTTTGTTTTCTTTTTGTTTCAAGAAATGAAAATACTATTCAACTCATACGATTTTCAATAAAGAAAAAGGATACTATTTAAATCAAAATGCATATAAAAAAAAATGCAAATTCAAACTAAAACGAGACAAATCATAAATGATTGATGTAGAAAAACAAAGAAAATGAGCCAATCTATAATTAATTGAGTTACCTTGGTGAAAATGGGTCGGGTCGGAAGTTGCACACTTGATGTGAATGTTGTAGTTGCATTTTGTGCAAATATATATTCCCGAATTGATAGCGGATAATTCTTTCTCACAAATAGAGCATATATGGGACTTTTTAAACTCAAGGAACTCCATGGAAGTGTCATAATTAATACAGAGAGGATGCTGCTCATGGTTCTTATGCAGAATGATATTTGGAAGTAAAGCACAATCATGATGCAAATAAAAATTGCAAAGATCGCAGCAATAGAAGTCTCCCTCGTGCTCAAATCCGCAAGCCCCACAAAGGAACTTACTTGTTCTACTTCGAAAGAAGATCAATTCATGTCTGTGGCTTCTATGTACAACTTTGATTGTTGTGGCACACCGCATATCTAGAATGAATTCGCAATCCTTCTCGGGGCATTGGTAGAAGAAGCCATCGTAGTACATCCTACTACAATTTTCGCACGAATTTGAAACATGCTTGTATAAGACAAGCTTTTTCACGTGCAAAGAATGCCCGATTAAAGTGGGAGGGGCTTCATTGCAACATTTGTGAATTAGGATTCGAGCACCCTCATTGTCCTCCTTAGAAACATAAGGAGTTGAGAAGATAGGAAGCTTACAAAGATCGCATAATTTTGTATTTTCTTCATCGGGATCAAGATTATTTTCTTCGATACCTTCGCTCAAATGGGGTTTAGCTATGGGGATCTCATACCATGTAGGGATAAAGGCATCACTAAACATACGTTGAGTCATTGTAGAACACAATATTGGTAAGAATATATGAAAGAAGAGTGTATATATATTTGTGTTTGCATAGATGTATACAATGGTCTCTATATAGAGTAATTGTCTTATAGCTGAAGTTTTCTATAAAGGTTCGACAAATAAATATTGTGTATTTCATAGTGGGACATGAGCATATGATATATTTAGGGTAAAGTATATGTCTTTAAATTAGCATTCATCGAATTATAGTTCAATTATAATTTTTTTAAAAAGATAATTGGTTAAAGTTTTTATAGATATAATATTATTAGAGTGCAATTTTATTCCATGTAACACTTATTAGGCTTCGTGTAGATATATGTTTTGAAATTTTGAAAAAAAAAAATTGAGAATAGTAACAAAATTGAATGTGGGGGTGTATTTGATGTAATTTATTATTAAAAAAATAAAATTATATTTATGAATAGTATAAAAAATTTCTATGTAGCCAGAGCCTTTTCACTATTGTTAAGTCCATTAATTAAGAACTAAAAATGACATATATTACAATATAAAGTTGAACTAATTTGATGGATAGGATGTTATTTTCAAATATAGAAACCAAGTCTGTATTCTTTTGGATTGTGATTTTTGTTTTTTACTTTACAACTATCACGATATTTTTAGAAAAAATATATTATTTTTTTGATAAAATATTATAAGAAAATCATTATTCAATTAAAAAAAAAAAAGTCAAACCCAAAAGAACACACCCAAAAATTCATATTATATCATAGTAATTAGTACCATTCTTAATTTATTTTAAAGAAAGTTTTATACTATTCTATATTTTACCTTAACACAAAAATGTATATTAGAATAGATTTCGTTTCATTTAAAAATGATAATGTCAATTTCTAATTAAAGGGAAATAATAAAGAAAAAGAGAAAGAGAAGGAGTAATTTTATTGTGTTTTTTGGTCAAAACATAAACTAAAGGAAAAAAAAAAATCACTAAAGCAAATCTAAAGCAAGTAATAATTGGATATAATAAAATAATAATAATAAATAAATAAATAAATAAATAAATTGGCTTACTCTAAAAGACAGAATTTTATAATTAAATAGAACAAAAATAAAAAGTAAAAGAAAAAAAAAGAAAAAGGAAATTAAACTGGAAAATTATGAAAAATACTTTAGTGATTTCTTTTTTCTTTAGTTTAAGTTTTGACAAAAAAATAAAAATAAAAATAAAAAACAAAATAAAACAAAACAAAAAAAACCCGTCATCTTTCTCTTTATTATTTCTCTTTAATTAGAAAAGGAAATTACTATTTTGAATGACACGAAGCCTATTCTAATATACATTTTTGTGTTAAATATAGTACTTCCTCCGTCTCATAACTAGATATTCATTTATTTTTTGTACGGAGTTTTAGAAATATTAGTATTATATTGGGACGTAGTAGGAATAAAGTAGAAATGACTAAAATAACCTTATTAGTATGTGTGATATAAAGGTAATGCTAATATATTATAAGTTGTAATTTGTAATGTTAGGTAGATAGTACAGTTACTAAAAAATAAATGAATATTTTATCATGGAACGGACTAAAATGGAAAAATAGATACTTTGTTATGGGACTGAGGGGTATATAAGATTTTCCTTTAAAAAAAACTAAAAATGGTACTAATAACTATGATAATATGAATTTTTGGGACATGGATCGACTCATATGCTGATCATCGCTATAACATATGTTGATCTAGGAAAATCAGCAATATATTGACTTGGCCGAATCAGCACAAGGTCTGCAGCCGAATTTTTGAATTTAGAAACAAATTTAGGGTGTGTTTTTTTAGAATCAACGTATGTTTACATACTGAATTATAAGATAACATATGTTTAATTATAATATAATATATATTGTATTATAAATATGCTGATTTATGCTTATAAATATTAACGATCACCCTTATAACATGTTGATCCAGTCAAATAGCATCATTCTGACTTCACCGGATCCGTTGATCCCAGCCCTAAAGACATATACTTTACCCTAAAATATATTATATGCTCATATCCCAATATTAAGTACACAATATTTATTTATGGGACCTTTATAGAAAACTTCAAGTAGAAGACAATTACCTATATGAAAACTTCAACTATAAGACAATTACTCTATGCATATTTAATCTCTTAAACTTTCTACAAAAAAAAACATCACAACTTAGTTTGCTACAAAACATTATATTCAATAATTATTTCACTTAATAAAAGACCATAAAGATCATACAGACAATTTGCACTAGATGTCCTGATTCATTAGAAGTAAAATACATCATGTATCATATATATTAAATAGTTATGTGGAGAAAATTGTAAAAAATATTCAAGATATATACTCCATTTATCACTTTTTGATCCTATATATATCATGGCAAAATATATCATATTTGCAAAAGTAGCTATTTCATTCCTTTGGCTACGCATGATCGCACATGGTGTGAATGTCACTCGCGGCCAAAGGACAAAAATAGCGACTTTTGCAAACATATAAGATATATTTTGTCAGCGAGATAAATACAAAATAAAAGTGATAACAATGTATACCTGTAAAGATAAAAAAATTATTCAAAGACGAAAAAATTCACAGCCATGATTTTATCTTTAATGAAAATATTGGCGGTGGAGAAGATGGTTCTTCTCGATCTTATTCTTGCCAGGCATGCACTCAGCCCATTTCTCGATCATTCCATACTTGTTCTCTCCAATCTATTCGCTAAAATACAATTTGGTGATATATACAACCTTGACCAAACACAAATATCCCAAATAACTTCAAAATTTTTTTAGGCATTTGTACAACCCAAAATATACAACATTGAATGAGTTTTTATGAAGTGGTGAGCACTCAAACACTTTTTTATTTTAAAAATATTTTTCTCTCCAATCTATTCGTTAAAAGACAAATTGGTGATATATACAACCTTGACCAAACACAAACATCCCAAATAATTTCAAATATTTTTAAGCCATTTGTACAACCCAAAATACTACATTGAATGAGTTTTTAATGCGATTAGACTAACTTTGATATGCTTTAAAACTTTCCTATTCAATTTACAAAATACCAAAATATTGGGATATGAAGCCTGATTATATCCTAAAATTTAAGGATATGATTTGGATATTATATTTTAGATTTTAGAGATATGATTTGAATATTATTGTCAAAGGATTATACTATAAATATCCATGTATTCTCACTTTTAACATGTGTGAATTCCTGGCTTTGCAGCGCCCCCAGACGTAGATCATCGTGATCGAATTGGGTTACCAAATTCTTATGTTCTTGATTGTCTCATCTTGATTTCCTGGGAATTTCCGTAACACAAAATTTATTCTATCTTTGTTATATTGTTGTTGCAGCGTATTCAATATGCCAAAATTAGTTTTTCAACACTGTAAAAACTGCAAAAAAAATCGAACAAATCCATCGATACAGAAAAAATTAAAAATTAAAAAACTACAAAAAAAAAAAAAAAAACAAAAAAAACTAGTAGACAGTTCTATAAAAACTAAAGAAAAATAAAACTTACAAACAAATATAAGACTGCAAATAAACTAAACAAAAATTTGCAAAAGTTTAGAAAAAAAAATGAAATCCATCAATACAATACAAGTTGGAATTTTTTTTGTAAAGTTCAAAGAATTCAGCAATTTTACATGCATACTAATTAAAATTGATCCTCGAAAAGAGTTGGAGCTTATATCGCTTAATATTGCAAAATTCTCCTACTAATGTGCTTAATCATGAATCGGGAGTCATCCTCGCAAAATAGTATAAGCTCTTCTCAATATCCTTAAAATATACTCTCTCCGTTTAGGATTTTATGTTTATTTTGTTAATTGGTTACGAAATTAAGGAATAATATTTTCTCCGTCCTATAAATTATATAGGTTTGAATGGTCACGGAAACTAAAAATAATCATATTTTAATATTAAAATGAGGTAGCTAAAAAATAAAGTGGGCACATTATGGTATATTTATTAAAAATTGATAGAAGAAATGGTATGATAAGTGAAAAAATAATGATAAATTAATTATTATTTGTTAAATATGCATAAGTAATAGTAAAATAATTTTAGTAGACAAAAGAAGTATGGAAGTAGAACAAGTAAAAAATTAAAAAATATATTATGAAAAAATTATTTAAAACTTAATACAAAAGTAATTAGATAAACACAAAAAATGTGTAACTAAGTAGTTTCGGTAAAAAGTAAAAGAAGTTATTATTTGTTGTACGGTAATATTAAAATTACCGGAAGATTATTTTGTAGGTAAATACTATAAGTTTCGATATTCCCTCCGGCCCCACAATAAGAGAATTATTTGTTTTTTGTACGTATATTTTTTAATATTAGTATTATACTGATTTATAATAAAAAAAAAAAAATATTCTTCTTACTATAATATAATACTCTCTCCGTCCTACTATAATTGATACTATTTCCATTTTTGTTTGTCCCGTAACACTTGACATCTTTATATTTTTGGTAAAAATTATTATATAAAAATATATTTAACAAATATAAATCAACTGAATTAACTACATAACATACAACACCATAAATGACATGGGATCTACTCAAAATTCCTTTATTTATATCTCTCATAAAAAAAAAACATAAATATTTTTATCTATATTTAAAATTACACATCTTTTATAAAATTGATTTATGTTAATTATAAACAAACAAAAATATTTTTTTTATTTACTTATATTATAAAAAATTTTATTCTCTACAAAATGATATCCATATTGCATATATTTTTTAATTGCTATATAACTTTTAAATATTTAAATATATATTTTAATTTTTTTAATCATATATATTAAATTTATTTTAAAATTATAAATATTAATTACATAAAAAAATAATATCATAATATCGTAATTCATTATTATTAACTAAAAATATCATAATATCGTAATTCATTATTATTAACTAAAACATTATTACCTTAAATACCATGTCCCTTGAAGGGTTCAATTCTGGTGGGACGGAGAGAGTATAAAAGTAATGACAATATATTGAAAGTTAAAATGATATTTATTAGGTTAGACGGTACAATTACTAAATTATAAAATAATATCATTATTTTGTAAATGACAAAACGATTTCATTTCAGTATCATTATAAACAATATCTTTAAAAAATGAAGGTTAATAGCTAAGGCGGAGTAATTGAATATAATATATTATGGTAAACTTTTTTTTAGTTCTTTACCTCCACTTCATTATTATTTTAGTTTGTTGCAAATTACTTTTATAAGTGAAAAATTTTCGTTGTTTTAGTCTTTCGGCGCTGAAAACGCCTAATAGTCCGTCAGGTGAACCGACACCTAGCGGACACGTAGATTTTATTTTATTCTTTTAATTTATTTTAAATTTTATTTGTTTTTTTTAAATTTTTTATTTAGCTTAATTAAATAAAATTAAATAAAATAAAAAACTAAAATAAAATCCACTTATCCAACCAGCCACGCCGGCGTTCTAAACAACAAATAAAACTGAATTTGGGGACTAAAATTATAAGGGTTGAGTCTCAATATATATATATTTATATTTATATGAGAGCAATAGTCAATCTCACTGTCCAATTTTTCGTCTGAGATTCTTCATCCATTGATTTGCTTCAATACAAGAAATTGCAGACCTATGAGGGCCCTCCGGGATCATCCTTCTCTGGTGGTTAAGATTAAGAAACCAGGAGGCGATTTTGAGTATTGCAAGCGCCACCAAAAACATCGCGTCTAATGTGTTCGACAAAATGCCTCTGAGAGAGATAAAGGATGTTGTGCTGACTTTGTCAAGCCTCTTGTTTCCGTGGTCACGAACCTTCTGCGAATTTCTCTACTTGACTTGCAACTTGACTCTGTTAATTCACCATCATTTATTGATTGAAGCAATGCAGTTTGATTGTTGGAGATGCAATGAGGATTCAGACCTTAGTTTTGTATGTTGTGTTGGTTGGATTTCTTGACTGCTCAATTTCGACTCCAGAAGATGATGATGATGATGGTAAGAGGATTATCAACATTGGTCTGATTGCAGACATGGAATCATCGAGCTGGGAGGGGAAGGTCGTAAGTAGCTTCATTTCCATGGCTTTGGGGGACTTTTACAACCTCAATGGAGGGTTCAGAACTAGGATTGCTCTTCATGTCAGAGATTCTAAGGGGGATTCTCTGCAATCTGTTGCTGCTGGTGAGTTCTTGATTTATTGCACCCGTATTATTTTTCCAAGTTTTGTTACAGTAAAAATGCACAAAACACCTGTTTTATTTATTGTTTGAAATTCACTTGTGTTAATATAAAATTTGTACGAAACACCCTTTTTTCTTGTCCAAAAATTGATGTTCGATTCTAATATAAAGACTTAAATTGCACAAATTTTATACAAATAGAAAACTTAAAATATCTTAAATAATTTTTTTAATAAAATAAATAAAATCGTTTATTTTTATAGTTTTTATTAAAATCAAATACCTATTTGTCTCAAAAAAAAAAAAAAAAAAACTATAAAATGAAGGATTAATCAATTATTTATTTATTTTATTCAAAAAAAATTATTTAAAATATTTTACGTTTTTATTTGTATAAAACTTGCCTAATTTTTAGGTCTTTATATAAAACCGAACATCAATTTTGGACAAAATGGTGTTTCGTGCAAACTTTACATTAATACGAGGGGGTTTTACGCAATAAATTAAACAAAGTGTTGTATAATTTTGGATCAATGGAGTTGAATGTTTCATAATGTTGCTCATTTCTTTCAGTACAAATGCTGTTACATAGTGGTCAATTCTTACTTGATTCATTATTTGACTTCCAATTATGAGTTGGTTCTTGAATTTGGAAGTATATTCATTATATTGAACTACATATTTAGGATGTTCACTATAGGATTACAATTTCCCGGTTACATAGAGACATTTTTTAAACTTCTTGTACTATAATCAACAGTAATTTTTTTCAATTTAAAAAATTCAAATCAAATATTATCTTCGTCCTATAGTTTTTTGCATGTTGGTCTTTGAATACTAATTATTATATCAATAAGCAGCATAAATCAAGAGAAAAATGACAAAAATACCTCTATTGCTTTTATAATACAAATACAATTATATTTGTTGAATAAATTATACAAATATAAATATATTTTTAATACCAAGTACAATGAGACAAAAACAAATTATGCTGGTTTTATGGGACGGAGGTAGTTTCCTCTTGTAAAACATTATATCAAATATTTTTTTAATTTTATCGAATATTGAACTTTTTACTATTACTAAAATTTTCCAAAACATCCTAACCTTCTGTCTGAATGGATTGGATCATTTGAAATGATTATTCCTATTTGAAATAGCCCTGATCTAGAATATAGTTAATTATACATTAGTCACTAATAGAGGACAAAAGTGGAGTTTCAAAATAACACCTTAATGACAATAGTAAACAGACCCATCATGCCCTTGATATATTCCTCATTGTGAAACCCAAAGGGTGTGTTTGTTTGTGGGTGTTAGTTTTTGGGTTTAGTAAAAAATTGAATTTGAACAGTTGTTTGATGTGATATAAATAGAAGTTGATGTGATGTTTTGAATATAAAATAAATTTGTAGTATAATATAAAAAAAAAGTAATTGTTTAATTTGATATTTTCGAGAAAAAAATGAATAAAAAAACTTGTGGTAAAACTCGCAAAAGAACACGTCCTCTTTATGTTTTCCTGATGATGCAGCCCTTGATCTTTTGGAGAATGTTGAAGTCCAAGCAATCATAATACCTCAAATTTCAAGTGAAGAGTTGTTTCTATCGATGCTGGGGGACAAATTTAAAGTCCCACTCTTATCGTTTTCTTCATTGCCATCGTCCCATCATCAACATCATCCCTATTTTATTCAAGTCAGTGAAGATGAGATCAATCAGTTCCATGGCATTGCTTCCTTTATTAAACACTTCAAATGGAAAAGCTTCGTGTATTTGTACGAGGATACCGCTGATGCAAGACTATCCCAAACATATATAGATAACATATTCCAGGAGGATAACTTGGAGATTAAGTATCGAGCAGCCATTTCTCTTCAGGCCACAGATGATCAAATCAGGAATGAGCTTCATATGCTAACAGCAATCAATGCTTCTATTTTTGTGGTGCATTTTTCGCCCTCATTGGCTTCCCGGGTATTTGTAAATGCGAAGTTATTAGGGATGATGAACGAGGGATCTGCGTGGATCTTGACTAGTAAGGCCATGAATTTCTGGGAACCTCAGGATTCTTCATTCTGCGAGTCGATGCTAGGAGTAGTTGGTTTCAGAACTTATGTTCCAGAGTCGATTAAGCTCCAAAATTTAACTTCAAGATGGAGAATGGATTTTCAACAGATTATTGAATCTAACTTGACAATAAGGGAGCTGAATATAGTCGGTCTATGGGCATACGATGCCGCTTGGGCTCTAGCAGAGGCAGTTGAAAATGCAGTACCACAAACCTCTGAACATCATGTTAATGTTTCGACAACAAAACAGTTGGATTTTTCTAGAATAAGAGTTTCAAATAGTGGTCGATCCATCTTGAGTGCGATCATGAGCAGAAAATTTACCGGATTAGCTGGTGAGTTTCGGCTTAAATATCAGAAATTAGTCCAAGATAAGTATGAAATACTAAATGTTCTATGCAAAGCCGAGAGACAGGTAGGTTTCTGGACGTCTACTTATGGTCTCACTAAGAGTTTATCTTCTCACGACAATTTATCCTCTAACACTCTTGAAACTATCTTTTGGCCGGGGCTTTCATCCACAGCTCCACAAACTTCGTCGATCCATATGAATAGAAAAAGCTTTAAAGTTGGGATCCCATCGAAAGGGAGGTTCTATGAATTGATACACACAGAGTATGATCCAGAAAGTAATGCATTTACTTATAGGGGATTTTGTATGGACGTGTTCGAAGCAGCTCTTGACAGATTGCCTGATAAGATATCCCCTGAATATGTTCCGTTTGACAATAGTAGCTACACTGACCTCGTACATCAGGTCTATCTTGGGGTAAATTTCTCTTCTAGCCGTTTGAATATGTTTAGCTTGAAAAAAAAAAAAAAAAGAAAAATAATAGAATTCTACGTATCTGCTGGAGTTAACATTGCTATTTGTCGTCTAGACTTGATATGTTATGCAATTCAAATTGGTCGAAACAAATGGAATACAAATTGGCAATTATCATGCACGTTTATCCTTTATTTTTGCTTCTTTTTTTGTTTTATCTCCAAGTGACTTAGATTGATACTCGATTCATTGTTGGTGTAGACTTATGATGCTGCCGGGGGGGACTTAACTATACTTTCGAATAGGTCTATGTATGTCGACTTCACGGTGCCTTATACAGAACTAGGCTTGGGAGTCATGGTAAAACTCGACAATGACCCTTGGTTTTTCTTGAAGCCACTCAGTATGGAGCTTTGGATAGCGAGTGCTTGCTCTTTTGTTCTGACGGGGTTCATTATCTGGCTTATCGAGCACCGTATTAATGAAGAGTTTCAAGGTTCTATTGCGCAGCAAATCGGGGCTGCATTGTGGTTTGCTGTCTCAACTCTTGTTTATGCTCACGGTAAGTGTTAAATAACTGTCTCACCTAAAAATTTAAATTTAAAATTATACATATCATTTATATATTATAGATACACGCATTATTTATTTATATATTATGAAGTTAACTAATACGCAAGGTGGATTTACAGACGACTCGACTCTGATACCATGTTGCATGATCATCGCAATTAAAAGTTTAAATTTAAAGAAATACGTATCATTTATTTATTTATATATTATAGAATCAACCAAGACTAAGCTTTTTTTTCGATCCCCACTAAGTGAAATTGAATTTATGTTTTGAAAACGAACATTTGTTGTATGAATCTTTTAAACTCTGTTTTCGCAGGAGAAAGATTGCATAGTAATGTCTCCAGATTCGTTGTTGGTGTGTGGCTTTTCGTTGTCCTGATACTTACGTCGAGCTATGTTGCGAATTTGAGTTCGCTGTTGACAGTTTCACAATTTAAGTTATCGAAAAGTCAGTATATCGGCTACACAGGCACTCCTTTTTTGCGAGGCTTGATTGTTAGAGACAATACAATTTTCAGCAAAGACAGGTTCAACCCATATGAGTATCCTGAGCAATTTTACGAGGCTCTAAGGAAAGGAGGTAAAAATGGCGGAGTGGACGCGATAATTGAAGAAGTTCCTTATATAAAAACACTTGTCGCAAGGTATCCTCGCGAGTTTGCCATGGTTAAAACCTCGCTCCAAACAAGTGGATTCGGCTTTGTAAGTAATTAATCTTTCCATCGAGCTCGCCTCCTAGTTTCAAAAGTTTTTATCAATTCTAACATTAATTTACAAACAATGCAAGGCTTTCCCTAAAGGATCGCCGCTGGTTCATGAGATGTCGAGAGCAATATCTCAGCTTAGAGAAGAAGGAAAGCTTCTTGAAATGGAGAACAAATGGCTTAAAAGCCAGTCGTCGATGTTTTCTCAGGACAGCGATTCGCCTGAGATGAGCCCTCTCAACGTACATCAGTTTTTCGGGCTGTTTCTCATGAATGGTACGTCTGAACTCTTTGCCGTAGTCGTATTTATCAGCTTCTTGCTCCGCGAAAAACTGTCGACGGGCTTTCGCTTTCTGAAAACCTTGGCTGGAGGAAAATTGTTATACACTTTGAGGTATTTGTATTTCAAGATGAACACCATTGCTGCTAATGTTCACCCTTGATCAAATGTTTGTATATATTTCTGCATGTGTTGTATGTATATGTAGAATTTCATGTGTTATCTACTTTAAATAAATTCAAGTATAATGAACACCCTAATCCACGATAGAAAATATATTTATTCCGCCCAATTTCTATTGTTCTAAAGTATATTTGAATTTTTTGTTAAAAAAATAAAAAAATATAAGACAATAATTATTGTATCGTCCCAAATAGAAAAAAAATAGAATATTAGTTTGTGAACAGGGAAGTAGGATATTAGTTTGTGGAGAGAGAATATGTAAATATAATTTACTCAAAAATTTAAATTACAACCATCCAACAATTCTTTTCAAGAATAATCCTTTATTACCCATTTTCGATCCAAGTTCAGACAACAAATTTTCTGTTCTTCATTATGTAAGAGCTAGTCTGACTATTTTTAATGTACCTTAAATCCAGCTTGTCAGCTTTAAGTAAGAATACAGGATCGTCGATTTCAACTAACCTGTCTTTGCCTTTCCCTTAGCCTTGGCTCTCGTCTGAACGGGGGCGGACTCCTGGTAAGCGGCGCAGATCTTTTTCCAGCAGCGGACAGTGATGATCGAGGGTATCAAAACCCACCATCCATTCGCAAAAACGTAGTATGCATAGTAATAAAATGCGCTGGCAGCGAAGTTATCGCCATCCAATAAAGATGTTACGAAATACACAATTGTGCCGTAGAGCTGCCCCAAGGAGATGGCCACTTGGAGTATGTGTTCATATGGCTTCTTCGTCGCAATGGCGTACCTGAGAAATGCGATTTCGAAATTTTACTATTTTGAACTCTGCATTTTCCGAAAAAATATAAAATTTTTCCTCGCATAAATATCTCATCAAACATTATTTATATACAAAACTCAAACTAAATCTTCAAAGAAACACAAAGGATCAATCCTTGTTGAAGTGTTTATGGGTGTTATGTGGAAATTTAAAAAAATAGGTAAAGATGCAAAATTTTGATACTTATCATTTTGAGTTTTTAAGAAAACCATATCCGGTATTTCACTCACGCTAACAATCTTAAACCTACGCGTAGAACTTATGGTTACGTTTTGGAAAATGACGAGTGAGATACATTACCACTTCCTAATATAGTCCAAGTAAAGAATCAAAATGATAAGAAACGACACTTAGAAACCAAATATATGTTTCTATCAATAAAACAAAAATGTATATATAAACACACAACGATGAGATGAATGAAATCTTGAAATTGTGCATGCGGAGTTATAGAGATTACATACGCTGCGAGGAGACACGCCGGGCCCTCCAAAACGGCTGTAATTCCTTCAACAGCAACTACAGCAGAGTCTCGACCTGCATATCTTGAGTCACCTTTGCTGTATTCTTTCCCTGGGGAGTTTAGTTTTCGCCAATTTGGTTAAAATAAATAAAACTTTTCTTTGAATTGATGAAAGGTTGTGTCGAGAACTCACAAACATCCGCAAGGTAATGGGGAGTTGTCTTCTTGTAGAATTGGGGAGAAAAGACAAAGTATCCTTCGAGAACCATGTGAGTTAGGCCGGTAAATACCCACCAGCACATTAGTAGGCGATCACCTTTCGAGATCTTACGACATCGGCCTATCTTAACAAAAATGATGGACAAATTATAATCCTTCACGACATCATCCTAAGTGAAATGTCTGACCCATTAAACAAATTAACGTGCATATAAACAATATATATATATATATATATATTCAACTGTTGTGCATTCAAACTTGAATTTGTGATCTTAATAAAATTTTATCCTACCATATATAAAAGTGACTCAATTATTCTTAGCCAAGCTTTGGGCTAATCAAAATGGAAGAAAAGGTTAGAGGCAGACCTGATAATATCCACATAATGGAGACGACTAGCAATGAAGCAGCACCATAGATTCCGACAATTGTGTCTTGGGGAAGAAACGGAGGCATATAACCAGGCAATTTCATGTCTCTTGGGACATAAGGGTGATCATGTTCGTGTGTAGCCATTTCCCAACAATCTGCAATTGTAAAAAGACGAAGAGGTACAGAAATTAATGCTGCAATTATCTCTATTATACAACTTCCTCACGAGCATTTGACTGTTCACACATACAATCAAATTAGCACATGTAATCGGAGATCTCGACAAAAATATCAATTACATTTCACAAACAGGAAGTGGCACGTAATACTATCCAATTAAAGAGAATCCTCAATTCCCTCTCTCAACTAACAATGACTCTCATTTCCATCATCCTTCCCCAAAAATGCCGAATCTCCTAAATTTTCTTGTTCTTTTTTTTAATTCGCCCACAAAATGCACCTTTAATATATATTTTTCATACTCATGCTTCGACCATAAAATTAACAATTACAATACTACATTTTTTTTAGCCATATTCCAAATTCTATATAAAGTATAAACCAATGAACGGTTCTTCAAATTGATATAAGGTTCAATCTACCGAGGAAGAGTGAGATTCAGCAACATTTAAAAAGTTTAACCTAGCCATGGAAGCCATTATCAATTGAAAATTTCAAAACAAAAAAATATCCACAAATGCAATATCTTTCAGATCGTCAAACTTGAAAGGGATCTAAGAAGCCATCTACGTTGGTCTCTTAAAATTTCACCTTTATTATATGCCAAAAAATTAGAATCTCTCCAACAAACCACCAAAAATTAAAAATTAAAAGTTCTAAGCCATGGCTACACCAGATCCATTAGACATACATTTTCAAAATCGTCAATACTGAACAAATCGCAGCGATTGTTTTCGAAATCATCAACACCAACGAGAAACCACAAAACAAACATACCTGAGGAGACAGCAGAAACGCGGAAACCAGATTTGGATTTGGCTAAGCGTACTGACTGATAGTGAAGTGATAGTGAAGATGAAGATGAAAGAAGGAGACGCAAAAATCAAGAAAAAGAAGACAATAAATAAATAGCCTAAAATCTAAATATTCATAAATATTATTAAAAAAATTGAAATATTATATTAACGAAAAATTAATAAAATAGGTAGAAAATATTATAGAAAATACAGGAACATTGATTATTATCCATTAGCTTTTTAATATAAATTTTTGTATATATCATATTTTTTTATTATAAATTTTTAATGATTTTTTTAAAAAAGTTACTTTTATAACTATGTTTATAATAAAATCAATTTATTTATTTTTATAATATTATTAAATTTAAATACATTTTTAATTAAAATATAAATAAAAAATATAACTTTTTTTTTTTTTAATTTTTTTCTAATTTAGATTATTTACAAATTAACTAAGGACTCTCCCCTATTTATACAATTTCATCCTAAAATAGACGGTCTAAATCGATTTAATCCTACATCTACAATTACCCTCAGGAATATTTTAGGACTTTTACAGAATATTCTACATTATTTTATATACAAATTTCTAATTCCACAATGTTCTACGATTATTTTAGTAAAAATTTACAAAACAGTTTATATTTTATTTATTGTGTGATTCTAAATAAATACTTAAATTACATAAATTTTATACAAATAAAAAACATAAAATATGTTAAATAATTTTTTGAATAAAATAAATAAATAATTAATTAATTAATTAATATTTTTTTTTAGTTTTTTTGAACAAATTTTTATCTGATTTTTACAAATACTATAAAAATAAATTATTTTATTAATTATTTATTTTATTCAAAAAATTATTTAACATATTTTATGTTTTTTCTTATATATATATAAAACTTGTGTAATTTAGGTACATTAGTTTTGGACAAAAATGATTGTTTTGTACAAATTTTATATTGACAAAGGAGTTTCACGCAATAAATAAAATAGAATGTTTTGTATATTTTTATTAAAATACAAAATTCATTTTAGTAAATCGAAACCGGTTTTGTTCCTTGAATCCTTCTGATCGTAAACTGGCCGGTTCAGATTATTTTTTTTGGTTAAAATAGATTTGAAAAATTAATAAAAAGAAATAATGAAATACTTAGAGAATATATAAAATATAGGAACATTTATTTATTTATTTATTTTGGATAACATGAGAATCCGGAGCCGTTATCCGAAAGTGCGTGCTGGATAAATCTCGGCTGAACCTAATACCCTGTAAAACAGGCCCGACGGCAGTATAGAAACATTTATTATTTCCATTAGTGTATGAGTTACTAGGGAGGGTATGATATTTTTAAAAATAAAATACATATTAATATTAATAAAAGTAATAATTTTTATCTGTTAATTTTTATTATTATTATTATATTAAAAATAAAAATAAAAATTGACTATTATTATTATTTATTCACCACTTATGACGGATGGAAAGACTAATTCTTAATAATAAATAAAAAAAAAAAAAAAAAAGAAAGAAAGAACAAAAAAGAAGATGGTTTGTTTGTTTTGGTTATTATTACTTCTCAATTTAATAGATATAATATTTTTTCCGTTCCAATTTAAAACATTTTTTTTTTTATTTTTTGTCTTTTCACTTCAAAGTATTTTTTTTTTAAAAAAATAATCATATACTAAAATTAAAATATTTAAATTTTATTTAAATTATACTCCCTCCGTCCGGCTAGAAAGTATACATGTTTGTAAACATTTCATTAAATACCTTGTTTTTTTCCACAAATACCCCTACTTTACATCACATCATTCCTTTTGCATCAAAAAGCAAGGGTAAAAATATCATTACACTACTTTTAACTGCCTACTATAATTAAAATACTATTATTTCTTAAACACACCGCACCAAAAGTAATTGTATACTTTTCTTGTGGACGGAGGGAGTATATTTATATATAAAGTCAAACGACAAAAATGTCATTTATTTTTGTAATTTTTATAAAAATCAAATAACAATTTGTTTTCAAAAATTAATTATTTATTTATTTTATAAAAAAAATTATTTAAAATATTTTATATTTTTCATTTGTATTAAATTTGCATAATTTAGGACTTATAATCAAATATAAATTTTCGACGCTAAAATAGCACCGTGCTGCTATCTATTCTGTAGTCTATCTGAACCTTTCATCGATGTTATTAGCAAAATGCTAATTTTTCAAATTCAGTACCGTAAGTAAGTGAAAAAAACAACTCTAAAAAGTTCAATTATTAATCAAATAAAGAATCATAAATATAGTTGAAGCACCAAATCAAGAATGTTCATTACAACTTGAATTGCATTCAAAATGTAAATAAATTACAGCATAAGATTCTCCTGTCCTAAAATCTTCTATCTCTATGAATACACCAAAATATAAACAAATTCAGAGTCACATATATAAATTGAAACAGCAACAGGAACAAATATATACATACAGAAAAATGTTGTATCTATGGAGGAACATTAGCAGCAATGTTGTTGTTCATCCTGGGATACAAAAACCTCAGAATGAATTCCAATATTCCTCTAGACAAGGTTGTCAGATTGCGAAAGGCCGTCGACAGTCTTTCGCGGAGCAAAAACATGAAAAACAATAGCACAGCAATGAGCTCAGACGTACCGTTTATGAGAAACAGCCCGGCGAATTGATGTATGTTGAGAGGCTTTAGTTTAGGCGGATCATTGTCGTCAGAAAACAACGGCAATTGGCCTTTGAACCATTTCCTCTCCATTTCAAGAAGCATTCCTTCTTCTCTGAGCTGAGATATCGCCTTCGACATCTCACTAACCAGCCGTGATCCTTTAGGGAATGCCTGTGGAATTTTCATTTTTTTTTTTTCGAAGTTAAAAGTTGGTTTAATAGACATTGAAAAAGCTAAGGAATGCTCGATGGAAGGATACTCACAAAGCCGAATCCGCTAGTTCGCTGCGAGGATTTGACCATGGCGAACTCACGTGGATACCTTGCAACAAGCGATCTTATATAAGGAACTTCCTCTATTATCGCATCCACGCCGCCTTTCTTACTTCCTTTTCTTAGAGCCTCGTAAAACTGGTCGGGATATTTATACAGGTTGAGCCTGTTGTCGCTGAAAATGGTATTGTCTTTAATGATCAACCCTTGCAAGAAAGGAGTGCCTGAGTAGCCAATGTACTCAGTTTTCGACAACTTAAATTGAGCCACTGTCAACAACGAACTCAAATTCGCGATGTAGCTGGAGGTAAGTATTAAGACAACGAAAAGCCACACGCCCACGACAAATCTGGAGACATTACCTTGCAATCTTTCTCCTGCAAAAATAGAGAGAGTTTAAACAATTCATATTGTTAGATGACGTAAATGACTGTCTCACCTAAAAACTTAAGCTATTAAGGATACACAACATTTATTTATTTATCTACAAGCAGGAGTCAACCAACACGATTCGAACTCAAAACTTAAGGTTCTGATACCATGTTAGGTGAGACCGTCATTTATGTCATCACACATATAAATGTTGGGTTTCAAAACATAATTCCACTACGTGGAGGCCGACAAAAAAAAAAGAAGCTTACTGTGAGCATAAACAAGAGTTGAGACAGCAAACCACAATGCAGTGCCGATTTGCTGCACTATAGAACCTTGAAACGCTTCATTAATGCGGTGTTCATTAAGCCAGACGATGAATCCCGTCAGAACAAAAGAACAGGCACTCACTATCCAAAGCTCCATACTGAGTGGCTTCAAGAAAAACCAAGGATCATTGTCGAGTTTCACCATGACTCCTAAGCCTAAGTCTGTATAAGGCACCGTGAAGTCGACATACGTAGATCTATTCGAAAGTATAGTTATGTCCCCCCCGGCAGCGTCATAAGTCTATGCCAACAATGAATCAAGTATCAAGTTAAGTTGTTACTAGAAACCGAAAAAGAAACAAAAATAAAGGTGTGTAACAGCATTCATTTCATAGATCATAGCTCCTTATAACTATATTGTGGAAAGAAAAACTAATCTTCAAACATATTCGAAGCTAAACATATTATAACCAGTTTGAAGAGAAACGTACCCCGTCATAGACCTGCCGTACAAGGTCAGTGTAGCTATTATTTCTATTGTCAAATGGAAGATATTCGGGGTATAGCTTATCCGGCAATCTGGCAAGAGCAGTTTCGAACACATCCATACAAAATCCGGTGAACTTTACTGCATTACCTTGCTCATCATACTCTGTGTGTATCAATTCATGGAACCTCCCTCTTGATGGGATCCCGACTTTAAAGCTTTTTCTACTCGTCTGGATCGATGAATTTTGTGGAGCTGTGGATGAGAGCCCCGGCCAGACAATAGTTTCAAGAATGTTAGAGGATACATTGTCATGTGAAGATATATTCTTAGTGAGACCATAAGTAGACGTCCAGAAACCTACTTGTCTCTCGACTTCGCATAGAACATTTAGTATTTCATACTTATCTTGGACTAATTTCTGATATTTAAGCCGAAACTCACCTGCTAATCCGACAAATTTGCTGTTCATGAGTGCAGTCACAATGGATGGACCGATATTTGAAACTTTTATTCGACCAAACTGTTGTGTATCTAAAACATCAACTTGATCTTTAGAGGGTTGGACTACTGCATTTTCGACTGCCTCTGCCAGGGCCCAAGCAGCATCATACGCCCATAAAGCAATTATATTCGGCTCCCTAATTGTGAAATTAGATGCAATAATCTGTTGAAAATCTTTTCTCCATCTTGAAGTAAAATTTTGGAGCTTACTCGAATCAGGAATATAAGTCCTGAAACCAACTACTCCTTCCATTGACTCACAAAATGAAGAACTCTGAGGTTCCCATAAATTCATGGCCTTACTAGTCAAGATCCACGCATATCCCTCGTTCATCATCCCTAATATCTTTGCATTTACAAATACCTTTGATGCCAACGGGGGCGACAAATGCACCACAAAAATAGAAGAATTGATAGATGTTAGCTTATGAAGCTCATTCCTGATTTGATCATCTGTGGCCTGAAGAGAAATGGCTGCTCGATACACAATATCCAAGTTATCCTCCTGGAATATGTTATCTATATATGTTTGGGATAGTCTTGCATCAGCGGTATCCTCGTACAAATACACAAAGTTTTTCCATTTGAATTGTTTTATAAAGGAAGCAATGCCATGGAACTGATTGATCTCATCTTCAGCAACTTGAATAAAATACGGATGCTGCTGAATATGAGACGATGGCAGTGAAGAAAATGATAACAGTGGGACTTTGACTTTGTCGCCCAGTGTGGATAGAAACAACTCTTCACTTGAAATTTGAGGTATTATGATAGCTTGGACTTTGACATTCTCCAAAAGATCAAGAGCTGCATCTGAAATTATAAATAAATTCAGAATGAGAAATATCTTAAAAGGTTTGTAGGTTGTGTTTACTAAAAGTAAACATCTTTTTCATCATAAGATTACTTAATCATTTGGTAAATTGCATAATATTCATCTGTTTAATATTTAAATGCACAAAATACATATGTTTCATTTATTGCGTCCAAAATTGATGTTGGTTGTAAACACACGCTTAATTGCCCGAGTGTTCGAAAAATAAAGGGTGCAATGTCTAATAGCCTTCTTTGAATCAAATAAAAATTGATCAACCTTTCATTTCACAGTTTGTAAAAATTAGGTCACAGTTTGTCTTCAAATTCATCTCCAAGAATGAAATGTCGATCAATTCTTTATTTATTTATTTTATTCAAATATTGTGTAACATTTAGCATAATTAGGAGGGCGCTTACAATCTTAGTCAGCTTTTGATCATAGGAGTATTTTGTGCATAGTTTAATTGCAATAAATGAAACACATAGTATTTTGTACATTTATAATAAAATACAAGCGAGGTGAGTCTTATGCAATTTAGCCTAATAATTTCAAAGAATCATAAGCATTACAATCCTACAGCAAACATGCCCAAAATATATACACCAAAATATCAAAACCTTCCAAATTCAAGAACTAACTGGTATGCCTTACTTCCTCAACTCATGATTTAAAACAAAATAATGAAAAAGTATAAATTCACCACTAACAACAAATGTACTGAAAACAAAGAACAAAATTGAGAAACATTCAACTCCATTGATCCAAGTTATAATTATCCTCTTTAGCTATCAAAGAAAATTTAGAAAAACAATATTGTGCCATATATAATTAAAAAGCTCACCAGCAGCAACAGATTGCAGAGAATCTCCCTTAGAATCTCTGACATGAAGAACAATCCTGGTTCTGTACCCTCCATTGAGGTTGTAAAAGTCCCCCAAAGACATGGAAATGGAGCTACGTACGACCTTCCCCTCCCAGCTGGATGATTCCATGTCAGAAACCAGACCAATGTTGATAATTCTCTTACTATCATCATCCGAAGTCGAAACTTCGAATTCAAGAAATCCAATCAACAGAGCATACAACACTAAGGCCCAAATCCTCATTAGTTCTCCAACATTCCAGCTTCATCGCTTCAATCAATAAATAACGCGGAATCAACAGCCCTAATTTGCAGGTCAACTCCATAAATTTGCAGCGAAGTCGTGACCACGACAAGCAGAAGCTTGACAAAGTCAATACAGCAGCATCCTGTCTCTTAGGCATTTCGTCAAACATATTGCACGCCACATTGCCCATGGCTCTTGTATACTCAAAATCACCTATTGCGTTCTTAGTCGCCAAAGCAGACAGGATCTCGGAGGGCCCTCGGAGGGCTGCAATTTCTTGAAGCAAATAAATGGAAGAAGAATCTCCTACGTATCGACGTCTAGAAAAATTGAAAAAGTCTGCGTTTTATCGTCCTTCGATTTGGCGTTTTTCTGTGGCGTATTTTATTTATTTAATTTTTATATTACTAAAACTGTCCCGTCTTTTTCATGTGTACGTATTGTTTGTTTTACATAAATATATTTATATATTTATTGGAATGTTTGTTTTGGTTTTATATGAATTTGATATTTAATTTGAGGTTTTGTATCCAATATTTGATCTAATATTTTTTAAAAAAAAAAATATATACTACTTTTTTATATACTAATAATTAAACTTCAAATATTAACATGCAGAAAATAATATAATAAATCCGAATTCTTCGCTCAATCTGCAAAACAAATTGAATTTGAAAAATATAAATTTTGAATAATTTTACGAATAAAACATATGATATAATTCTGAATTCTAAATGCAATAATTTCTAATCTCATAAGAAAATATGTTAACTAAACAACCTCTCAGAGAAGAATATACTACAAGTCGAATGTAAGATCAACTATGATATAACTTGTATGTGAGCCCGGAGACAAGAATAGAGTAAAATTAGTACTTCATCCGTCCGTTATATAGGTTTGATTGGACACAAATATTTAAAAATAATGATATTTTACTATTAAAATGAAGTGATAAAAGTAAAGTAATAAAGTAAAAGATAGCGACAAATTAATTATTATTTATTAAAATAAAAGTAATAAAATTATGAATAGATTAATAAACGACTAAAGAAAAAACAATAACATAATCTTGATTACCGAGAGAGTATTATTTAAAAAAATGCTTACGAAAACTGAGTCTATGATATGATAATATATTTTATTTTTATTTAATTTTAAAAATATGGTTGATAATGTAGATTAGTTTCAACCTAATAAATAATACTTCCTCCATTTATGAGGTTATTAAATGGTACTTGCAATTTTTTTTCCCAAATTCACTGCAATATTTTCAAATTTAGAAATAATTAATAATATTTTTATACATAATATACACTTCACTTTATCTCATCACATTACTCAAATAAAAAAAATAATCATTTCTCTTTCCAATCACATCACTTAATATCCAAATTATCTCAAATTACTGTACTTAATACTCCCCACCTAAATTCTAGTGCCAAATACAAATGTTGCAGGGTGTTTGAGACGGAGAGAGTATAAATTAGTCAACTATTAATAATAAATTATAATATTATTTTATTATTTTTTATTATAGTAGAATTAATATTGTATGAATTAATATGCTATTAAAAAAACTAAAAATATGTATATATATATATTTTTAACATTATCTTTCAATAAAATACATATAATATGAATATTATTTTAGTATATAATAAATTTGATATAATACAAAAAAAATACATAAATAAATATTTATTTATTTCTAATTAACTTAACTTTATTTTATAAAAAAAATGAAAAGTTTTATATGTAAAGGAGGAACTAATAACAATAAAAATACATCACTCAAACTGGAGTTTTTTTTTTTTTTTTAATTTTTTTTATGACGTGGGAATCCGCCGCTGCTAGTTTTTGTAAATAAACGAGTTGAACTCTACAAATACATATTCTTCACCTCATTCGGACTCATGTCAATCAAACAAAAAGCGCACAGTAAAATTATGGCGATGAATAACAAAGACCAAGAAATTCGACGGCGAAAAAGATCGAAGATCATTTACGCGAGTCGTGGCGATATTGTATGAACAAAGTACCAACCTTTTGCATCAAATACTTCTTCCTCTCTTCACTATCCCGGCAACAAGATTTCCCAATTCTTCGCCGCAATCCTCTTGCACATGGTGCCCAGCCTGCGCGCAAAATATCAAATCCCGGTGACTAACCACGAGAATATTTAGTGCATTGAGCTTATATGAATACATATATATATATATATAGATGTATGATATACGGTAATCAGCACCATGCGATTTTTTTCCAATCAATACAATAACTTCTCTCGTATACTTCTCCAACATACCAAATCAACACTTTATAAATAAATACAGTACATAGTTTCAATTAACACGACGCAAGCTATCCTTTAAGGAATGACCTGGCGGGAGTTTACCCAGAGCGAACTCGAAGAAGAGTTTGATTTTTCACCGAGTAGTAGGATAAAGGAAATTGAAAAAAATGGACTAAGATTAAATATTTAAAAAAAAAATTCAACAAAATTCCATAAAATCTAATATTTTTTACTAAAAAAAGTAAATAAATAAATAATAGAAATGCAAATAAACAAAATCACAAAAAAATATTATTTTTTCCACTAAGAAATAAAATAAAAAATGTAAAAGGGGGGTAAAAAAAGACATTTGTATTATGCTAAATGATGTATTATTCGTTATTATATACTCCATCCCTCCACAAACTAATATTTTATTTTCCTATATGGAAAGTCAAAACTATTGTCCTCTTTCGTTTCTTTTTTTTAATATACAAAATTTACTCTTTTGTGTTTCTTTTATTTACTCTTTTACAAAAAATTAATCCTCTTAAAAAGTATGAGGGAGTAATTTACTGTCAGCACTGCGTTAGAATTTTTTAATTCGATGTAATAGTTGTCGCCGTATATATATATATGTGGATTTACCGTAGGAAGTGTGATAAGTCGAAGCTTTGATTCTCTACAGAACTCCTCGACGCCATCAAAGCTCATCCACCGGTCCCTCAGCCCCCATCCGATCACTGTCTGAACTTTCCAACTCTCGTTTCTAAGTGTTCGGCGCATTTCTTCAACGTTAGCCTGACACTCGCACAAAAAAAAAAAAAAAAAAAAAAAACAGAGCTTCATATGTTTCCAAATTTTACGGCGTGTAAAATGTTTTTAATTCACGATACAAAACTGCACCTTTAACTCCTTTTTCATGGATCGACTGATAGCATTCAGCGCAAAGCCAGCAGCCCCCGACGTTAGGTATGGCCTTCTGTACACCATTGCGACTTCTTCCTTTATCTTGTAAGGGCCACAGCTCGTCAGGACTTTGTCGCTAGCCCGCAACGGATCCTGGATTTGAAAATTTCACCACTAAGAAAAGGGTCGGAAAAAAGAATCAATCATAAGTTACATTTTTCCATGATCGAACCTGAGAAAATATTTCGCCAAGTAAAAAGTTGCTGAATGCAGCGAGGGATGACGGCAAAGCGGCATGTTTGTCTGTCAGCTTTAGAAAACGAAAGATTCGAAGAACAGCAGTAGGTGTTTTAGAGAATCGTAAGTATTACCCAGAAAACAAGACATAATTTTTCAGCTGATCTCACAGGAGGATTTAGAAGAACGAGATTATCGAGTTTTTCTTGATTATCTTTGGCGTATTTGACCACAACCGGCGAAAAGTATCCCTAAAAGACACAATATGAATTGAGTTATAACATTCACAATTCGAATTCGAACTATGTTCAAGTTTACGAATAATTCGACAGGTGAAATTTATACCTGGACAACGATTGAAACTTTCTTATCTTTTGATAATTTATCGATCAAAGCTTTTAGGGACTCGACGTAGTCTGAAATCACTCATTCGCCATTTAATATAGGATCGAAAAAGCATTGAGGGTTTATACAGTTAACATTCTTAAGAGGCTCGTACCTTTCAATGTGTAGTCGAAGCCATATTTCGGCTGAGGTTTATCTGAAAATCCGAATCCTGAAGTAGCAGAAGTTTCTGGAACAATGTGAGTTTCGAAAACGACAATCAAGGATAAAAAAGGATGAGAAAACACAATGAAAGCAATACACTCACCGAGCCAATCGAAAGCAATAGCTCGATTATCTTTAGAGAGAATAGGCAGAACATTGCGATACGAATATGCCTGTAAACCAAGAAACATTTTTTTTGTTTTTAAATCAAGATCAAAAATTTGGAACTTTAAGATTCATTCAACAAGTACAGGATCAAATTGCAAGTTAATGTAACAGAAGCTCGACATTCCCCGGATTCTCAATTCACAACGGCGCTGATCGACTAACCTGTGATGGAAAACCATGAATAAGAACAACTGGCGAATCGCCTGCTCGTCCACTCTCAACACAAAACCATCTATTGAACAAAATGAGCACGTTTCAATTCGTAATCCCTGCAAATAATCCGAACTCAATATCTGCACGATATTATCGATTATAAGACCCGTCCAATGCTTGTAATAAACATAAAACCTAATGAACTTGCAAAAAAAAAAAAAAACTCAAACAAGAACAATGTACCTGAACAGATCGGTAGAGACCTGCGACGAGCCGGCCATTGCAAGCCCGAAAATCGGATCCTTTGCCCTCTCTCCGGAGCCACCAACAGGGTGTGCTTCCACCTGAAACAGCAGCAGCCATTGAACATGTTGGGGAATTTTCAGAGGATCGTTAAAAAACCTTGGATAAACAATTGGATTACACAATGAATGATGAGTCTAAAACTTCATTCAAATTTCAAATTTCTGCAACCATTTGAGGGTTTACACCCGAGGTTCGATGAAAATTGATGCCCGATAGGATACCATTGATGACCTAGGGACCTCCAGCTCTAAATGCGTCGTTAATTATATATTATACAGTCAGTCGAAGTAAGCAATGCTTTTAGAACACACAGATTTGCATCGTTAATTATATATATATATATATTATCTAGTGTTCGAAGTAAGCAATGATTTAAGAACATACAAATTTGCCTTGCTTGAACCATTCATCAGCTGGACTTGGTTCATCTGAGTATTTCCCTGTACAGAGCACAACCTATAAACATCCTTCCTTGCAATGGAAAAAGAGGTAAATGATCAACGAAAGAAATCTCTTACCTCCACTGAATGAAAATCCATCTCCAATCGAAACCGGAGCATCCAACAAGTAATCCTGCAAAGCCCTATCGATCAACTTATTCGAGCGATGAAAAATTCAAATACTGTAATGCAATCGCACCTCGTTGGAATCGTTGCTTGCTCCGCAAATGGGGAGGAAATTTCCGTTTCTGCAGGGAGTTCGACGATTTGAGAGGAATGGCTCATGTTTCGGGAATGGCAACGAAGCAGTTGAATAGCAAACTGCCATGGAAATGACAGGGAAGCTGTATCTCTCTTCGCTGAAGCCTTTCAAGTGAGGAAATGGGGCCGACAATTGAATTGGGTTTTCTATAACAGGGATAAGATTTTTCTGGTTCCCAATTTGTCACATAAATTGCAAGAACGGCTTTGGAATTTGGTATTTTCCTTGACCTCTCTAATCGAGTTCTCGAGGTAGACGATGAAGCTGTTTAGTGATTTGGGCCTGACCCATTTATCATTCGGGCCTGAGCTTCGGTCCAAATCAGATCGCCCTTCAATAGCGGATGAGCTGCGCTTCGTTGGGGACGAATCTATGGTGGTTTGAGGGGTTTCTGCTCAGAGTTCGGATTCGAAGCCCAAGGAAATGCGAAGATGGTGCTACGGCAGATACTGAAAGCTCCGCCATATGGTTTGCTGAGCTCCTCGTCTAATGGCTGCTGCAATGGCTTCGCAGCCTTCAGTTCCAAGTTCCCGAACTCGCTTATGCTTCCTGGTACCTGTTTCTTTACTGATTGTGGCGTCGGAGCTTCAGAATGAAGTGATCTAAATGTATTTTGTGCTTGGAAAATCTCAATTGGGTTTTTCATTAGTTACAATTAGGGTTTTGTAGCTGATAGAAATTCGAATTAGGGATTCAGTGTTAGCGCTCATGTTTCATTTTTTTGGTCTCTATTTCTGTGAATTTAACTGTATCTGTTAATTGTGTCAGCGATTTGGAACTGTAATTCCGGCCGTCGGCCGGCGAGGTGTTTTGGGGCTTCCGGTTCTGGGAAGGTCAAATTACAGAGAAAGTAATTGCAGCTTACTTTCACCCCGCATTTGATCTTTTTATGACATTGTATGGAATTGAAGATTTCTCGACATATTCCATTTAATTGGATTGATTTTTTCGAGTTTTCAGGAAAAGGAGGCTAGATGAAGTTTGTCTCGAAAGATATCGTGAATATAGTCGAACATTCGTGCAGTCGTGGATCATGCAGGGTAGGAGCTCCAGCTTTAACTGTTGTGTTGATCGGTTTTGTTGTATCCGTATTCGGATATTTCATTGCATGCTATATAAACATCTCTTTATAGTTCCGTTGAAATTTTGTCGATCAATTTTCATACTTGAGCTGTAGCTAAATGTTCATTGCTGCCTGTATCTATGGAGATATCGATAAATGTAGTTTATACTTCCGATCCATATTTACTCGTTGGAAACTGAATTTATAATTTTAATGAAGCTAAACAACGTGTTATGCGACATGGGATGGCTTTGAATCTGATATCTGCCACGACGTTTAAAATACGTAATGGTTTCATTCATGCTTGTCGATTTTAAAGATTGTTCGACAAAAATAGGTAGTAGTGGTCTTACATGTTTTGAGGTTGGAACTCGCTGGTTTGCAGTTTTATGTTGTGCCTTTTGTGTGGATTTCTTACACATATGCTTCCTTACAAAATCCATTTCGGCATTTTACATTTTTTGCTTCAGGAAAAGTATTTGTCGATGGAAAAGTGGTTAACAAATGTGGGACTCCGGTTTCTGACCAGTCTGTTGTCGAAATCAAAGCTGAAGTACCTAAATATGTATGTAGGTGATTACTCTGTCTAAACAGCTTACTGATCGTATCTCAATTTTTTTCCTCCTATGTTAGTCTCTGTCAATCATCGCTCTCATTGTTATGTGGAGAATGTGATATTTTGCGCCTGCGGAAATTTATTGCAGAGCAGGACACAAGTTAGAGGCCGCTTTGGAACAACTAGAGATTGACGTCGCAGGAAAAGTGGCTCTTGATTCTGGACTCTCGACAGGAGGATTTACGGATTGTTTGCTTCAATATGGTGCTTCCTTTGTGTACGGTGTTGATGTTGGTTACGGACAGGTAAAACTTCATTTCAAATGTTTTTGGTGTAGAGATTATTCGCCAAAATTTTCCAGCATTTTAGTTACAAGATCTCAAATTTTTATTTTTATTTTTTTTTTCTGTAGGAAAATTGCTTATAGTCCATCGATGGTTTGAAAAGTTTGCACTAAACTCATTTATGATTTAGAAATTGCGCAAGACTCTCTTATGTTTTAAAAAACAATACACAGAAATTTTTAAATGTTGCGTAAGGTTCTTTTGTATTTTTGAAAATATTGTACAAAACTCACTAAAAAAATAATTATGTGCAATATCTTCGAAAACACAGAAAATCGTGCAGTTTTTAAATCGTGAAGGAGACGAGTGAAGAGTCCTGACTTTTCAAGCCACAAATGGATTATAAATTGTTTTTTTCCTTTTTCTTCTCTTGTTAGTCTAAGATTCTTGTTTTCTCTTAGGTGGCTGAGAAAATACGCCGAGATGATCGTGTGAGTGTTATTGAACGAACGAACTTAAGATATCTTTCTGAACTACCGCAGAAGGTTGATCTTGTTACGTTGGACCTTTCCTTTATTTCCATTCTTACGGTAATAAACACTTTTAATTTCGTCATTTATAGTTTTTTTCTCTCATCCTGCATTTTAAGTATCAATTCTTATCTTTGTCGCCCTTTGAATACACAGGTTATGCCCGCCGTTGTCAATTTGATGAAGAATGAAGCGATGCTTGTTACTCTAATAAAACCACAGTTCGAGGCACGTAAATCACAAGTACGTAGAGTCCCCATCTTTCTTGTTTTAATTATTTCGATATGCTGAGTTCCTATTACATGCTGTCGTCGTTGTGATTTGGATATAACAATGGCGATGAACATTCTAGGCCTTCCCTAGATTGATTTAAAACATTACGTCAAAAATTTGTTTAAATGAAAGTTTCAGCATAAGCATGAAAAATATATTCAAGCGGACGACTTGTATAAACCCTTTAACTACGGTTTTAACTGTTTTCATGAACTGAGAATTACACCGTTTAATGGCTATATCTACAACATTTCGATTTGGTTTATATCTCAGGTAGGAGGCGGTGGGATTGTGAGAGATACTTTAGTACATCAGGAGGTAATCAATAGTTTGCCCGCTCTTAAATTAAATTGATTCATTCGCCGTGCTTTGTCCCAAATGCTTCGATCAAGTATGAGTTCGATAAAAAAATTTTGCCGTAGAATTATAATTTTGTCATACATGAAGTTCGCGCCAATCCTAATTTCTACTACTGCTGATCCGATAAATCAGGTCCCCCCCCCCCTTTTTATGTGTGTACTATAGATCAACTTATTCCCGATTTCCTTCCTAGTTCTTGATCATCCTTGTTTATTACATTCGGCGCTTGACAATGCAGGTTCTTGAAAGGATAATTCACGGTGTGCAAGGTTTTGGGTTTCAGTGTCAAGGTTGGATCGACTCTCCTTTGAAGGGTGCCGATGGAAACAAAGAGTTCTTGGCATGTTTCGTCTGTACCGGAACCAAAGGCGTCGATCCCTCGGCCGGGAAAGAGATTACGAATTTGTACCGGGTTAAGAAATGCATTCAACCGGAAACATGAGTATATATACTTTCATCCTCACCAGAGTTTTTGATACTATTTATCTATAGTAATGTTTTTGTGGAAAAATATATACTCCGTCCGTCCGGCTCTATGGTCTCGTTTACTTTTTGCATCATCTTACTTAATATTGAAAATATCCTTATATTTATATAATTTTTTGCACAAATATCGTTATAATACTCTAATATAACTATTTTTGTAATTTTTTTTAATTTGTACGTATTTTTATATAATAATTAATATTTAAATATCAATATGTAAAAAATAAATGAAATATATATGACATCCAATAATTATTTTTTTTTCATAAAATACTACATTAAATACTTATTTTTTATTGTTTTTAAGTTTTTGTGTGTCTGCAATTTTTGAACTGTGAAATGAACAAAATCATTCGTGAACTTGGGCTTGGTTTGTGGTTTTGTTCGATTTGGTTTAAGGTCGTTTGCAAATGTAAATAAGTCTAATTGAATAACATGAGTAGACTCGTTTTTGTTGATGAAGGATCTCAAGTTATGTTCGTGGGTATATGTTAACAATGACTTATTTGTAATAGTAAATAAATGAAATATATTAAAATAAATAAAACATTATACTACTTCTGTCCCTCCATTTTGTTTGTCCGTAACAATTGACACATTTCTATTTTTTTGGTAAAAATTATTAAACCAAAATATATTTAATAAATATAAATCAACTCAATTAACTACGTAACATACAATATTGAAGTATGAAGTAGGACCATTCAAAACCTTTTTATTTTTACCTCTCTCCTAAAAAAAATAAATATTTTTTATATATTTAAAACTATACATCTTTTATAAAATTGATTTATGTTAATTATAAATAAACTAAAATATTTTTTTATTTACTTGTATTATAGAAGATTTTATTCTCTACAAGATGATATACATATTCATATATTTTTTAATTGCTATATAATTTTTAAATTTTTAAACATATATTTTAAGTTTTTTTAATCATATATATTAAATTTTCTTTAAAACTATAAATATTATTAATTATACAAAAAATAATATAATAATATCATAACTAATTATTATTAACTAATTAAATATTTTCACCTTAAATATCGTGTACCTAATCAAATGGTTATATTCCGATGAGACGGAGGGAGTATGTATTTATTTTATTTTATTTTTTAAAAAATATTGTATTTATCCAAATTAGCTCTAATGAGCATAATCAATCGAATATAAACATGAGTTCGAACAACAAAATTGTTCAACGAATTAAATTCAAACAATACAATTGAACTCGAATACTTAACGAACCAATATAAATTTTTGTTTCTAGATATTAACAAATGAATATAAACATTTAAAATTCTGTTCGATTCGATCCGTTAATAATTTTGATAGTCAAAATGTTTCCGTATGGACTACGCCAAAATGCCCTTGCTACTATCTGTGTGAATATGTTTGGAGACCGTTTATTTTTTTAATATATATATATATTTTTTTATGACGTGGGAATCTGCAGCCGCTACCCGAAAGTGCGCACTGGATAAACATCGGCCGAGCCAATACCTTGCAAACCAGACCCGGCGAAATTATTTATTTTTTTTTTTTAATATTAGTTAGATAAATAGTGGTCAAATTTTATATATAATTGAATCGTAACTTCATTGAATGAAAGCCGATTGAAAATTTGTTCAATTGCAGGCTGATTTAAATTAATTATATCTAAGTTTGAACAATTGCCGGCCTATGAAAATTGAATAAGCTTACAAAAATAGGTACTTTCGCTAGCAATATACACTCCCTTTTGCTTAATAAAATGCTTTTATTGTTTAATATAAAGTTATTAAAATATTTATTTAATATAGCTCTTATAATTTAATACTTCCTCCGTCCCATCGAAGAAGAGCCCTTTTATTAGGTATACCGTATTTTAGGTATTGTAGGTTATTAAATTATTAATAATAAGTTATGATAATATTTTATTACTCCCCCCGTCCCAGATACTATGTCCACGTTGCCTGTTTCTGTCAGTCTCACATACCATATCACTTTTCTTTTTTGGAAAATGATTACACGCTTTAATCTCATTTTAAATTTTTAAATTTTAATTAAACTAATTAGTTATCTTAATCTTAATTTATAATTATTTATATTATAGGATAATTATTTTCACTAATACATTCTTAATTATCTACTAATTACATCCCTCCTAAAATACCGTGTCTACAGTGTAGCAGACACAGTATCTGGGACGGAGGGAGTATTTTTTTTATATGTATAGTGTTGTTGGTATTTTAAATATTTTTAGAATTATATCTCAATAAAATATATGTAATATGAATATCATTTTATAAATAATAATATTTTATATAATACAAATGAATAAAAAAAATATTTATTTATTTATCATTACCGTAAATTAGTTTTATAAAAAAAATGAGGAGTTTTAAAAGTAAATAAAAATATTTGTTAATTGAGGTGAGTGATAGAAATAAAAGAGGTTTTGAGTGGGTCTTACATGTAAGATGTTAGAAGTTTAATTAAATTGATTTATATTTGTTAAGTATGTTTAAAATTGATAAATTTACAAAAAAAAAAAAAAAAAAAAAAATGAAAAGGGGTCATCCTTTATCGGACGTACCAAAAAGGAAATGAGGTCATTTGTGGTGAGACCGAGATAATATTTCTCATTTACATAATAATTGATACATTTTTATTTTAAATAGAATATATTGAATTAAAATATATTTAATAAATATAAATCAACTTAATATAATATTTAATATCATATGTTCACTCAAAATCACTTTATTTTCATATCACTCTTAAAAAATATATATATTTTTATTTACATTTAAAACTGTATCCATTTTATAAAATTAATTTGCGTTAATTATAAATACAAATATTTTTTTTATTTATATATGAAAATTTTTATCTGATATTCAAATTGCATATATTTTTCTAAATTTTATATAATTTTTAAAATATTTAAATACATATTTTAATTTTTTTAATTATATATATTAAATTTATTTTAAAATTATAAATACTATTAATTACATTAAAAATAATAAAATAATATTACAACTCATTATTATTATTGCTAACTAATTAAAAAATATTAATTTAAATATTGTTTCCTAACGAGAAATATTAATTATCTTGGAATAAATACACTCTTTTTGTTTTTACCAATTTCATCTATATCATTTTAAAGTATTTATTTTCAATTTTAGAAAAAATAATAATACACTAATACCAAAATATCACTAACTTTTACTATAAAATTATAAATATACCATTGCACAAAAATGTCAAAATCTCTCGGACATTTCCACTAACCAATAAAATATTACTCTATCTGTCGTCCAAATCTATTATTATTTTTTTTGTTATCTAAATTTATTCATATTTCATTTTTTAGTAACAAAATACTCTATTCGTCCCACCACAGAGGATCCCTTTTCTTTTTTTATCCGTTCCATTAAATATGACCCATTTCTATTTTTAGTAAATTTATTCATCTTAAACATATTTAAGAAATATAAATCAATTTAATTAAATTTCTAACCTCTTATAAGACCCACTTAAAACCCCTTTATTTCTATATCTCTCCTCAATAAATAAATATTTATATTTATATTTAAAACTTCTTATTTTTAATAAAATTAGTTTTAAGTCAATTATAAATAAACAAATTATTATTTTTATTTATTTATATTATATAAAATTTTATTCTCTAAAAATGATATGCATATTGTATATATTTTATTGATATATAATGCTAAAAATATTTAAAATGCCAACAACACTACTCATGTAAAAATAATAAAATAATATCATAACTTATTATTAATAACTTACTAATCTACAGTACCTAAAATACAGTGTACTTAAGGAAAGGAGTCAAGAGTACTATCTTTTTTCTATTTTTTTCTTTACTAGAAAAACTAAAAAATTTATACTTTTTTCTATTTTTTTTAAAACCCCGTGCCCGATCAAGAAAAAAATATTATTTTTTAACCTCTTATAAAACCGAAAAACCCATTTAAAAGGGATGGAGAGAGTATTTTGTAAAGTTCTATATTTACACTGGTATATAAGATACAAAGGGGGTTCGTTTAAAGAATTTATCCAAAATTGTATTATTTATCCAATTTTTTTTTTTTTAAAATATTAAATCAAATATTTATTTTTTACTTTTTATATTATATTAAAAAAATAATTTAAAAATAAAAATATTGTTTATACATATTTATACGATATAATCCAATTTATTATAATTCAAAATTTTTATTATACAAATTCTTGCTAAAAATCTAAAATCCAATAGGTCGAATAAATACACCAAAAATGTGAAATTAAGGGAGGAGTATATAAATAAAAATTAGAAATACGAGTAAACAAAGAAGAGACACGTGTCAGTGTCATCTTCATCTGATAGTCAAAATCAAATATAAACAGAATTTTGTATATGTACTCGAATTTCAAAAATCTTTTTCTGTTAGCCTACACACACATACAGTAAGGGCTTTGTCTTGTCCGCATAGCGATCCAATTAATGGCGATGGCGACTCATATCGTATGGCGGGTCGGTCAAGTCAATCCCCAAAAGCAGGAGCTGATCAGCAAGCAAGAGCAAAACCACGCAATCTTCATCGTCCATTTGCCTGTGGGAAGAGGATTCAGGAATGCCGCTGCTCCTCTCTTCAGATTTTCCACAATTGAACCCAAAAGTCCACTGCCCTCCCTCTCAGTCAACTATTGATTCATGCCTCCTTCGTTGACTGCATCCTCCTCTCCTCCATTATCGTTGCGATTTTGCAGTAGCGTGTGCCCCTCTCTCGATTCAGCGCCGGAGATTCGAGCTCTCGAAAATTCTGGGTAAAAATTAGGGTTCCTTTTTTCGCTGTCGTTGTTTCAGCTCTTTAGTTGTGGTTATTGAGATTTTTTATGTGATTGGTTGCTTATTTTGGTGCTGATTGTTTGATTTATTTGATTGATTTGTTGAAGGGTTTTGTAGGTTTGTAAATCTGATGAACTGTCTATGGAACTGCTTAAATAGACTTTGCAAGTGATTTCGTGGAGTTCTAAACTGATTGAAAACAGCTGATCTGATACACTTGGGTAATTATTGAATTGAATGTAAATATGCATTTAGGGATGTTTTGGGGTGTGTTTCAGGATGTTTTGGATTTGAAATTTTATTGGAAAACTGGAGTTCAATTCGATATTTTGAATAAAAAATAGATTTTGAATTCTTGTGTGTATGTATATATATGTGCATGTAGGGACGTTTCTTGGGAGTGTTTCAAGACGTTTTGGATTTGAATTTTAATGGAAAACTGGAGTTGGATTCAATATTTTGAATAGAAAATAAATTCGGAATTCTTATATGTATGCATCATTTAGGGATGTTTTTTGGGAGTTTCAAGACGATTTGGATTTGAAATTTCAATTAAAAACTGGAGTTTGATTCGATATTTTGAATCAAAAATAGATTTGAATTCTTGTATGTATGTATTTATGTATTCAGTTTTTGGTATTATTGATTTTGTTTCAGGAAATCTCATCAAAACATGTGGCTTGTTCTGTGCTCAACATCTTGATTTCTGTCGAATTCTTGCATCCATATTCGAGCTATGGCGGGTGCGCTTCCGTCGAACTTTAGATTTTCGCCGTCTCATGTTATCATCCTCATTTGGTTGGTCGTAGCCGCGCCTTGCAGCAACGCCGACCAATTTGATATCGATTGTCTTCAGTCGATTAAAAGGTCATTTCAAGACCCGTTGGATTCCTTATCTTCGTGGAATTTCAGCAACACTACGGAAGGATATATCTGCAAGTTCAATGGGGTCGAGTGCTGGAACGATGGTGAGAACAGGATTATAAATATTAAGCTCTCCGACATGGGACTACGCGGTGAATTCCCACAGGGGATTTCCAATTGTCACTCGATGACTGGTTTGGATCTCTCTCGAAACAATATCACCGGGACGATTCCGAACGACATTTCGAAATTGGTACATTTTCTCACTCTTCTTGATCTCTCCGGCAATCAGTTGACGGGAGAGATCCCTTCGAACATTGCGAATATTTCATTCCTTAATGTCCTACACCTCGACGACAACCAGCTGACGGGTCGTATCCCTCCTGAGATCGGATTGCTTCCTCGAATAACGACGTTCACCGTGACAAGAAACCGGTTGACAGGACCAGTTCCGCACTTCGTGAACCCTAATGCTACTATTCCGGCGTCTAGCTATTCCGACAATGCCGGATTATGTGGTCCTCCTTTGCCTCCTTGTCGAGGTAAGAAAGCTCGTATGTCGACTATCGTCGGAGCTGCTGTCGGTGGATTTGTTGTTGCTGCATTGGCTATTGTTATCGGTTTGTATTATTATTCCCGAAAGGTTTACCGGAAAAAGAAGGAAGAAGATCCTCTCGGGAACAAATGGGCGACGAGCATCAAGGACGCCAAGCGAATCAAGGCAAGATACAATTTTTTTTTTTTTTTTGAATAATTACGGTCAAAATCTTATTTTAAGATCTTTGATTTTCAGCTTTCGATGTTTGAGAATTCGATTTCAAAGATGAGCCTGAGTGATCTCATGAAGGCTACAGACGATTTCAGCAACGTAAATATAATCGGGTCCGGAAGAACCGGGACGATGTACCGGGCGATTCTCGGAGACGGGACGTCTCTAATGGTGAAGAGACTAAAGGACACTAAACATTCGGAGCAAGAATTCGTGTCGGAGATGGCTATCTTAGGTAATATAAAGCATCGTAATTTGGTTCCTCTTTTAGGTTTCTGCGTGGCGAAGAAAGAACGACTCTTGGTCTACAAGTACATCCCGAACGGAACCTTATACGAAAAGCTACACGTGATCGACGACGACGCCAAAACCATGGCATGGCCTCTTCGACTCAAAGTCGCGATCATGGCTGCAAAAGGGTTCGCGTGGCTGCACCACAGTTGCAATCCGCGGATCCTCCATCGAAACATTAGCTCGAGCTGCATTCTACTCGACGACGATTATGAACCGAGGATATCCGACTTCGGACTCGCTCGCCTCATGAACCCTATCGACACGCACCTGAGTACTTTCGTGAACGGCGAATTCGGTGACTTGGGCTACGTCGCGCCCGAATATTCTCGTACTCTCGTCGCAACCCCGAAAGGGGACGTCTACAGCTTCGGCGTCGTGCTATTAGAATTAGTCACGGGGGAGAAACCGACGTTTGTGTCGAAAGCCCTGGAGGGCTTTAAGGGAAATCTTGCGGAGTGGATATCGAAGCTGTCGAGCGACGGAAAGCTTAACGATGCGATCGACGAGTCGTTGGCGGGGAAAGGTTTCGACGGCGAGGTTTACCAGTTTCTTAAAATTGCTTGTAGGTGTGTTTTGTCGGCGCCGAAGGAGAGGCCGAGTATGTTCGAGGTTTACCAGCTGCTTAGGGCAGTCGGGCAGCGGTACGACTTCTCGACGGAGGATGATCTGTTGGTGCTGCCGGAGGACGGCGGGAACGCCGATCGGGTTGTCGAGCTGATAGTCGCTCGGGACGGGTAGGAAAGGTGAAAGGTACGTTCGAGTTTAGTTTTTGTCGATATGTTTTGATGTCTGATCGAATTTGATATGAATTTAGAGAAATACAGTGGAAAAAGTTGGGATTTTTTAGACATTTTAAGTTAGAAGAAACTTTGATGTGCAAATTCAGTGGGTTACATTTACCACTGCATCGTATTTGGTGACCTGAGGCGTCGGGAGTTTGAACCCATGACTTCACGGTCACACGTCCAACACCCACACCATCAGGCTGTCTCTTACAGGACAAGTGTGCTTCTTTTTGATTTGATTGAATTTAGAGGTTTAATTTTTTAAATTATAGTTGATGCAATGGTTTATGAAATATAAAAATAAAAAATTGTATATTTATTTCTTAAAAATGTGAAGTTCAAATAATAAAAAATTAAATATAAACGTAAAAGAAACACTCCCTACTAGTCGGAACCGAGTATCAATGGTGTTCCGGCTAGAATCTTGATCATCCAACAAATTCAATGGTGGCAGCCGGCGGCGGCGGTGATGACAGGACCGGTAGGCCTAAATGAATCAATTCAACACTCCAAATCCGGATTGAGTCGAAAGAAAGGCAAACTATATAGAAATCAATGCACATTAGTTCAACATTTTTTTACATAAAAACATAAAATTTAATTATTATATTATTTAAAAATATTGAAATTCAAAAAATCAAAAGAACACATCCTTAGGTGGCGTTTGGTACAGAGAATGAGAGTAGAGAATGGAATGACAGAAAAATGAGAGTAGAGAATGGAATTGGAGAGAAATAAAATTGAGTAGAGAATTGATAATTAATTATGTTGTTCGGTAAAATAGAAAATTCAATTGAGAAATGTAATACAGTTACATGAATAGATCAAATAAAAATAAATGATTAATTGGATTAAAAAAAAGAGTTTTAACGAATAAAAATTCATGAAAAGTATTTTTGGTGATTTTTTTTTTAAAAATTATAAATTATATACGATGTTTTATATTTTAGTATAATTTCTTAAAAAATCGTAAAACTTAAATACTTTAACAATAAATTAAATTCAATTTTTGTAAAATTAAAATAATATATTAAAAAATATATATAAAAATTAGATACTACAAAAATTTTTTTAAAAATTTTAAAAAAATATATACTCCTATATCATTTCTCTCAATTTCTCTCTCAAAAATAGAGAAATGAAAATAATTTATTTCTCAAGTTAACAAACAAGAGAAATGATACCATTTCCATTTCTCTAAACTCATTTTTTTTTACCAAACACACCCTTATTGTTTTAAAGAGGAAAAATGAATAGTAGATGCTTTAAGGTCTACAGTTTATTTTGATTGTTGGATCTATTTTTAGGATCCAATTTTAAGATGTAATTTGTTCATTTATATATAGTTGATGTAGTTTTTTTTGTAATTGTCATTTTAAATTTAGCAAATACTTTACTTTGCCACTCTCAGAGGTTAAATCATGATTTAATTGGGTCAACAGATTCTTGATATTCATATTTGTTTTTCTTGATTTTGCAACAAAACTTATGCCTAAACATAAGTATTTACATATGTTTTCAACTTAAATTTGGTACTATTTATTAAAAAAATAAATAAATATTTACATTCTATATTTATTATTATCTAAAGCAAAATATTAATTATACATCTATATATATCAAATCAAATACTTATTTTAATCAAATATTTTATTATTCTCAAAAGTTTTTATAAGACTTGCATACTCTTTCAGTTTGAAAATTTTAATCTCACTTTTTTTTTATAAAAAAAAATGCAAAAAAAAAGGGCTAATATTTTCCGGACTAGTATTTTTTGACTTCAAAGTAAATATTCATAATCTATTCATAGTAAATTAGTACAGTGGATGGCCTACATTTTAGAGTTTCTTAATTTCAAAAATAAAAAATGCAATGGTTTCTCCTAAATGGTAAAGGTTTTTTTATTATAATTTAAAATTAACTTGAAATAAAAAGTTTGATTTGACTTTTTGTTTATACAATATTTTAATGTAATATTAATATGTAAAAAATGAATAATATTGTTTTGAATTTGAAAAAAAAAAAAAAAAAACAAATATCCAACTAATTGCATATTTTTGAGCTTTGTTAAATTAAATAAAGTTTACATTTATTTGACTGTATTTTGAAATAATATTAATTTAAATTGAGATATTGATATAATTTTTTATTTAAATAATATTTGGATATATACTATTTTTTTTTAAAATAATATATTTTTATTAATTATGACTAGTGAATAGTATTGATTTCTGTTATGAAAATTGAGAGAATAAGATAAATAAGAATACAATAATTTGGTAACCCAATTCGATCACGATGATTTATGTTGAGGGCGCTGCCAAGTCAGAAATTTTACTATAAAGTACGCACACATGTTATAGTGAAAATACATGGAGCCAATAATATCTAAACCATATTTTTAAATTTTAGAATATAATATCTAAATCATATATCTAGATTGATATAGTCAAACTTCACATCTAACAATTCCCTGATTGCATCTTCCATTTCAACATTATACTTTATCGGTCTTAGGTTGTCTTCCTGAATTGCTCATAAATCGGCTCACTATATTCCCACTGCACGTGCTTTCCACCCCCCAAAGGTATTAAAAGCATTATATTTATGCTTAAGAAAATACACCGATACCTCATTTGTAGCGCTGTCAATGAACGCGGTGTAGTACTGTAAGTCTCCAAGGGTCGATACAGGAGTTGGTCCCCACAAGTTCGTTTGGACCAATTCAAACTTTTTTTTTTTCAAGTCTCTCCCATCTTTTGAGAACGCCACCTTTTGTTGCTTCCTAAAGAATTAGTCATCGCATTCTCCAATATCGACGAACTTGAGACCTGACAATCTTCCTTTTAAAATGAACTCCCTTATCCTCTTCTCGCTCATGTATCCGAGACGAGACTGCTATAAATTTGCGTCATCATTTATGGTCACGGAATTGCTTCCATCTTGCATGCCTTTCGTCATGTAGAGAGTTTCATCTCTTTTCCCTCGGGCCACTACAATGGATTCTTGGGTTACCTTTCATGACTTAGTTTAAAAAATTGTTGAGTAACTACCTCACCCAATTGTCCCACGAAAATCAGATTCCGTTTCAGACTCGAGACATGCCTTATGTCATTCAGTCTCCACTCCCCACTATTCGCTGTTCTGATTTGAACAATCCCTTTACCTACAATTTTCAGTCTCTTATCATCTGCAAGATAGACAATACAAAAATTACCTCCGGTATATGATTCCTGAATCACTGAATGAGTGGAATGACGCTCCTGAGACAAAAAATCTCAATGTATTTTGAGAGATTGTCCTGGGGCTGAGGAGCGTGAATCGTTTTTAGCCAAGAGCTTGACCGGGTGAACCATGACTCCATTGGACTGCTGACGCTCAGAATCAGCACATCGGATATCTCATCCGTTGCGTTTTCCAAACCTTGATCCTTCTCCGATGCCGCATACTGTCGTTTCAAGTGCCTCTTGCAGTTCGAACATACCACCCGACTTGCATCTTCCTTGTCCTTGTTCTTCGGCTTCAACTTTAACCATTATTGATCTTCACCTTTTCCCTTTGCCTCATATTTACCCATATTCTCGGCAATAAGGGCAGATCAAGATCCAAATTCAGTCGAGACATTCTCCGAAAGGGTTAGTCGAACTACACTCATCTTCTTTCTGTCGAACTTCTTGTATTTGGCTTCATCCATGTCTTCGGGTTTCTCCTTCAACGCCGCCTCTCGATCTTTACCCTACAGTAATCTTCTATCTGCATCTTCCAAAAACTGAAGTTCATTTCATCGAATACCTTGACAGCGACGATCACCCATCTTGACTCCCACAAAGAAACACCAAGACTTACCCATATGAGAGCACATCGGATATCTTCTCCGTTGTGTTTGCCGAAACCCTTATCCTTCCCTATCCACCTTGCACCGTCTATCGGGACCCGCTACCTGACCTACCAGAACTGTCGGGCCGACCCAACACCGTCAGGAGACTTTTGACACAAGCCATCTTCGCAAATCACAAGGGATTCCTAAAGTCACAATCAATATCCGATGCCTCCCAGTCTACCCTACCAACAAACCAGACTTGTCATGAAAATTGAGATAATCAAGAAGAAATAAACAAGGCGCTGCCAAACCAATGAACTTTACTATCAAGTATGCAGACACGCATTAAAGTAAGAATACATAGATATTTATAAGCTAAGCTTATACCAATAATATACAAATCATATCTCTAAAATTTAAAATATAATATCTAAATTATATTTGAATCATATCCCTGAATTTTAGAATATAATCATAATTCATATCTCAACAATTTCAAATCAAAATTACAACCAAACACACATAATTTACAAAATATTTCATTAAATCATTATTTAAATTAAAATTCAAAACCAAATCTTAGGTAACCAAACCCTTGCAGATCATGCTTTGGTGGTTACGACTTACGAAAACAATTTTTAATTTTTTTGAGTACAAAAGAATGTGGCAAGTAAAGTGTTTGACAAAATGCCTGAGAGAGAGAGAGAGTGACTTTGTCAAGCTTCTTCTTCATGGCGCCGCCTTCGCTTTATAATTGCTTGCGTTGACTAGCATGCAACTTGGAGATGTTGAATTGAATGCCAATTATATAATATATATATATATATTTATAAATAAATGATTGAAAGAAGAAACAAATCATCCATCACTCTAGCTAGCTATTGGTTGGAGATTTAAATTGTGATGAGGATTGGGGGCTTTATCTTTTTGTATGTGGTGTTGTTTGGATTTCCTGATTGCTTCAGTTCGTATGAGTATGACTGCGTGGGTTCGATGCCTTATGATTTTACCGTTGATGGCAGTAATAATAATAGGATTATCATCAACATTGGTCTGATTGCAGACATGGAATCATCGAGCTGGGAGGGGAAGGTCGTACGGAGCTCCATTTCCATGGCTTTGGGGGACTTTTACAACCTCAATGGAGGGTACAGAACCAGGATTGTTCTTCATGTCAGAGATTCTAAGGGAGATTCTCTGCAATCTGTAACTGCTGGTGAGCTCTTTAATTATATACTACTATCGTCATCGAAACTTATACTCATTTGATTAAACACTAATTTTAAAAAAAATAGATAAGAAACGGAGAATAATTTTTTTGTGACAAAGAAAGAACGTAGACATAAATTTGAATGACAGATGAGTATGTCATATTATTTTTATGATTATTCTTCGATGAAATTTGGAGGTTTATTCGTGTGTTTTGATATTTTCATAATACTAAAATTTTGAGTTACGGGCTAAATGAAATGTTAATATTGTGTTTTTTTTTGTGAGAATATTAAAAAAGAATTTTTTTTACGCGAAGCATGGAGAATCGCATAGGAACATAAAAATAATGAATGTGTGTAGTGTATCAGTAATATATTTGAAAAAATGTGAGAAAAAAAATTGGATGAACAAAGCCTATCATTTTGTTGTGTATAAAGATTTTTTTCTTTTCTTCTTTGTTTTAATTTAATGTAAATAAATGTGAGTTTAGGGGTATGTTCAACTTCAGCCAGACATAGTGTTTCCGTAAAACATATTTAAAAAAAAAAAGGATAAATATAAACCTCGAGTGAATTTATTTTGGATGAATGTATTTTTATATTAGTTTGTTTTAAAAAATTAGATTGGTAATATAAAAAATATTAATATTATATATTGGGGGAAGGTTACGGTGTTGAAATAGTACATGCTTTTATTACAAACAACATATGCTTATGTAATAAAGACATGTGCTATTTGTTCATAATTACAACGTACTATGTAAGACTATATTATGTGTTATATTTGTATTATATTAACGTATACTGTATGTTGTCTATAGTAATACAGTGTACTATCCGATAGCACACGGTGTGTTATTCAGTACAGTGCTGAATTTTACATTCAACATTGCAGCCGCGTCCTATCTATTGAATTGTTAACTTTTTTTTTTTTTTTTTTTAAATAGATAAAATATATATTATCTATATTGTATTAACATGTATGTTATAGTTTTTTTAATAATATTTATGTAGAATCATTCTAGCTAAAGACAATAAGCGAAACTCAGTATTCCTAAATTATTGTGAATTTCCTTTTATTTCTCTGCAGCTCTCGATCTTTTGGAGAATTTCGAAGTCGATGCAATAATCATCCCAAGAATTTCAAGTGAAGAGTTGTTTCTATCCAGGCTTGGGGACAAAGTTAAAGTCCCACTCTTATCGTTTTCTTCATTTCCATCATCACATCATCAACATCATCCTTATTTCATTCAAGTTGCAGAAGATGAGATCAATCAGTTCCATGGAATTGCTTCCTTCATAAAAAAATTCAAATGGAAAAGCTTCGTGTATTTCTACGAGGATACCGTCGACGCAAGACTAATGCAAACATACATTGATGACATAATATTCGAGGAGGATCACTCGATCAATATCACATATCGAGCAGCCATTTCTCTTCAAGCCACAGATGATCAAATCAGGAATGAACTTCATAAGCTAAAGCTGATCAATGCCTCTATTTTTGTTGTTCACTTGTCACGCTTTTTGGCGTTGCGCGTATTTGTGAACGCAAAAAAATTAGGGATGATGAGCAAGGGCTCGGCGTGGATCTTGACTACTAAGGCCATGAATTTCTGGGAACCTCAGGAGTCTTCATTTTGCGGGTCGATGATAGGAGTAATGGGTTTCAGAATCTACATTTCAGAGTCGAATAAGCTTCGAAATTTAACTTCTAGATGGAGAAGGGATTTTCAACACATTTTTGAATCCAACTCGACAATCAGGGAGCCGAATATAGTTGCTATTTGGGCATATAACGCCGCTTGGGCTATAGCAAAAGCAGTCGAAAATGAAGGACTACAAACCTCTAAAAATCAGGCTAATGTTTCGACAAAAAAACCATTGGATTTTTCTCGAATAAGAGTTTCAAATAGAGGTCCATCGATCATGAATGCAATCAAGAACATCAAATTTACCGGATTAGGAGGCGAGTTTCGGATAAAAGATCAGAAATTAGTACAAGATAAGTATGAAATACTAAATGTGGTTTGTAAAGTGGAGAGACGCGTAGGTTTTTGGACGTCGAATTATGGTCTTAGTAAGAGTGTATCTTCATGCCACAATTTTTCCGCGAACAGTCTTGAAAGTATTGTCTGGCCGGGGTTTGCATTCACGGCGCCACAAATTTCATCGATCTTGATTAGTCGAAAAAGCTTTAGAGTTGGGATTCCATCAAAAGGAAGGTTCCCTGAATTGATACACACTAAATATGGTCCGAAAAATAATGAAGTAACTTTTAGTGGATTTTGTATGGATGTTTTCGAAGCTGCTCTCGACAGATTTCCGGATAAGATATCCCCTGAATATGTTCCGTTCGACAATGAAAACAACAGCTACCCTGACCTTGTCCGTCAAGTCTATCTCGGGGTAAGTTTCTAGCCGAACCTTTGAGTATGTTTAGCTTGGAAATATTTTCTACACTTAGTTTCAATGATAAAATTAAGTCTGAGGTTTTTAGAATTTTGAATTTTTTTAAAATAATTAAAGAAAAAGTATTTGAGTACCCACACATGGTTCAATTGAAGAGTAGCAGCTGCTAATGAAATATGTATTTAATATAATAATTTTGAAAAAAAGTTACCCATCCTTAGTATATAACTTCCAAAAATGTATATCTAAACGAGAGCCTTGTAAATTTTCTTGGTAGGTAGAGTAGATAACTTAGGGCTTGTTTCTTTACTGGGTTTGGGGAAATTTGAGTTTGAGTTTGATTTTTATTTGAATTTTTATATGAGTTTGAATTTTGATATTTATTTTGTGTTTTGGTTTGGCAGAGTTTTGATATGATTGATTTGATGAGTAATAAATATAATAATATAAATGTGTATTAATTTGTATAATTTAATTATAAATTTATATTATATTTATATATATTTCTAAATTTTTATTTATCTATATTATAAAAATTTTATTATCTATATATATTGTATATATTTTATTAAATTATACATATTATAAAAATTTTAATTTATATTTATAATTTAAATCTAAAAAAAAGAAGAAAAAGACAGGAGCTCCTGTCCCCCAAGCCGTCCAGCTCAAGTTGTTTGCACATTAATCCAGCTCAAACCTGAGCCGGAGAAACACACCGTTAAATTTTACTACAACACTATGTTCTATTATATATATATATATATTTTGATAACGTGGCCTTTTAGATAAAATTAGGAAAAGAAGACCTTGACATTATTTATTTTTATTAATAGAATGCTATGTAGAAATTTCAAAACATTGAGTTCTATATTATATAAATCATCCAAATATTAGTCCTATGCTTCTTTGTCGTAGTTACATTTCTATAGATATATTGTTTTGTACACTTCTAATGAAACTTAAGAATGTGCTGTGTTATTTTACCCAATTATCTTTTAATTAACAAAATAGCCATAAATAGTTATGATCTCCAAATCTTGTGCACTTATCTTCTATTCTTGTTTATGTGCTTTTCTTCTTTGGAGTAACTTAAAACTGATACCTGCTTCAATGGTGGTTTAGACTTTCGACGCTGCCGGGGGAGACATAAGTATAGTTTCGAATAGGTCAATGTACGTCGACTTCACGGTGCCGTACACAGATCTAGGGTTGGCAGTCATGGTAAAACTCAGCAACAATGACCCTTGGTTTTTCTTGAAGCCACTCAGTATGGAGCTTTGGATAGTAAGTGCCTGTTCTTTCGTTCTGACGGGGTTCATCGTCTGGCTTATCGAGCACCGTATTAATGAAGAGTTTCAAGGTTCTATAGCGCAGCAAATCGGGGCTGCATTGTGGTTTGCTGTCTCAACTCTTGTTTATGCTCACAGTAAGTTAGCAACTATCATTTTAGGCCTCCACATCTCTCGAATTACTATGTTGATTTGTCTCGGTCAGCATATTGTAATGATATACTTAACATATGTGCGGTTTGTGTGTTATTTGTGTTGTGATGTTCTGTGCTAATATGTACTGAAATCAATAGTAGTATGTGTTGTGCGGATTATTGACATATATTGTCAGTTTATATGCTGTATTTATATTATTTTAACATAAATTATGTGGTCTGTTTATTTGTCATGTGCTACACGACTATATTTGAGTTGTTGCCAGCACCATGCTTAATATATTGATTCATCGTACTAACATAACCCTTGAATCTTTTTTTTTTTTTCTTTTGTAGGAGAAAGATTGCGTAGTAATATCTCTAGATTTGTCGTGGGCGTGTGGCTTTTCGTTGTCTTAATACTTACCTCGAGCTACATTGCGAATTTGAGTTCGCTATTGACAGTTGCGCAATTTAAGTTGTCGAGAAGTCAGCAAATTGGCTACTCGAGCTCTTCTTTTATACACGGGTTGATCACCGGGAACAGTAAAATTTTCAGCGAAAACAGATTCAGCCATTATAAACATCCCGAGCAGGTTTTCGAGGCTGTAAGAAGAGGAAGTAAAAATGGCGGCGTGGACGCGATAATTGAAGAAGTACCTTATATAAAAACACTCGTAGCAAGGTATCCTCGCGAGTTCGCCATGGTTAAATCCTCGCTCCAAACAAGTGGATTCGGCTTTGTAAGTAATCAATCTTCTAGTGAAGCTTTCGCCTATATATTTGTTGCAAAATTTCGCGACAATAAAATTATATATATTCTCTTGTCATTTGCGACAAATATTCCGCGACAATATAGCATTTTTCTAGTAGTGCAATACAACTTTAACTTATAAACTATGAAAATTCGACAGGCGTTCCCTAAAGGATCACCGCTGGTTCATGAGATGTCGAGGGCGATATCTCAGCTTAGAGAAGAAGGAAAACTTCTCGAAATAGAGAACAAATGGCTCAAAGGAAAATCGCCACGCGACAGCGATCCATCTAAGTTAATCCCTCTCAAGTTGGATCAATTCGCCGGCCTGTTTCTCATCAACGGTATTTCTGAACTTGCGGCTATGCTAATATTTATTATGTTTATATTTCGTGAAAAACTTTCGACGGGCTTCGGGTTCCTGGCAATCTTAGCTAGACGAAAATTGGTATGCACTTTGAGGTCCTTGAACCCTAGAATGAACACCACCATGGCTGCTCATGAACCTCCATATAATGATTGAGATATATGTATATATATATATGTATTAATGTATGTATATGTACTTGTGTTGGTGGCTCCATATGATATACAGATGAACACACAGATAAGTGATCAAATTTTGTATGAATGAGCTTTGTGCTTTGGATTAGAGTGTAATTAGGGGATTTAGGATGTTTTGCATTATAAAATTTTACTATATATATATATATATAAATAATATTTCCTTTGTATTCAAATACTTTTTGCATGGAGTTTTATATTTATTAGTATTATAATAGTATGTAGTATGAATAAAGTTAAAAGGATAAAAATAACCTTATTATTGTATGATATAAAGTTAATGATATTTGTGTAATATATTGTAAGTTGTAAGGGTAATTTTAATGTTAAGTAGATAGTATAGTTATTAAAAAGAAAAATGAATACTATATTACGAGACCGACAAAAATAGAAAAATGAATAATTTTATTAATGGATGGAGGAAGTAATAATAATAAATATTGAATATGTTGGAAATGTTGAGAAACTATATATTTTCAATCTTGACATATAATATAAACTGTATCAAAATTCAAGAACTGTTGTCAATCTGATATTGAGGAAAGAACAAATTGCAGCAAGTTAATAAGAGGCGATCTAGAAATATATATATATATATATATGTTGTTACTGGTCATTTGTTTGGATTTTGATTGAGGACTGGACCTTCGTTATTTTAACCCAATTGTTAAGGAGACCCATTTAGCCTGTAATGGTGAGTGTGGTCCGGGTGATGATGTGTCCTGCAAGTGAAACAGAAAGAATCTATTTGGTTTCAACAAATGGGTAAGTGGGAATTTGTGAGGAGAGTTTGTTAGATGATGAAAGCGTGTGGAAATGTGATATAAGAAACACAATCAGAAAACAGAGAGAATAGAAAGATAGCCTGGGTAGATTTCAAGTTGAGGGGAGTTAAGAAATATGAAAAATTTCTTGACACAAGTAGACTAAATGATATCCATGTATTTTGAAGTTTCGATGTTTTTTCATAGGAGATTACGAGTTGGAACCCTCCAGAAGTAGGCTGGTGCAGCCGAATTGGGTTAACATCTTGATTATGTTATTTCCATTGTCTTTATTACTGTAAGCATCCGTAGTCTGCTCCAGAAGTAAACAACTAATCTATGTCTTGGGTATTTACTAGTTCATTACTCTTCTAAATGTTTGGTGCTGCTGTTTGTGCGAGTTGAGCATTTGGGGACCTACAATTGGTATCAGAGCCTCCTCTTCACGAATATTACCGAAGAGTGATCCGTGATCATGGCAGGAATGGAAGGAACAACATTCGTGATAAAACCTCCACTGCTAGATGAAGACAACTTTCAATATTGGAAAATGAAGATGATGTATTACATTATGTCACTCAGCGAAGAAGCCTGAGATTCAGTTGTTCATGGTTGGACTCCTCCCCAAAAGACCATTATGGTTAATCCGATAAGGAAAGGAGATGATAAGATGGAAACTATGATTGTGGAGAAGCCCAGGATTGAATACACTCCTGAAGAAAAGCTCGGTGCTATGCTAACTCAAAAGCGATCAGTGCCATCATTAGTGGAGTGGATATTTCACTATTCAAGATTGTGTCTACTTGCACTACTGCTAAGGAAGCATGAGATGCGTTAATTGAAACCTTTGAAGGGGATGTGAAGGTTAAGAAATCTAAGCTTTAGACGGTTGAAAGAGAGTTCGATCATTTGTTCATGAGAGATTCTTAAATATACAAAACGTTTCAAGTATTTGGTTAGTCAAGCACATCAGTTGGGTCTGAAATATGATGAGAAGAGGTTGGTGGACAAACTAATGTGAATATTATTTGTGAAATTTGCAGTGAAAGTCACATCTCTGGAAGAATTGAATAAAGTGGACACAAATGTCACTGAATGAGCTTATTGGAATCTTGAAGACCTATGAGATAAATCTTTTGGCATCTAAAGCTCAACGTCAAATTTTCCTTACATCCGAAATTGTTGTTGCTGCTGAAGACAGTGATGAAGAACTTGCTCTCATAAAAAAACGAATGGCTCACATAATCCAGGATAAGAAGGTCAGACAGCTGAACCAACAGGGATATCAGACAGGCAGTCCGAACACAGTCGGAACAACTGACAGATGTCCTGTGCAGAATGTTAAAAAATTTGGTACTCCCACTGAGGCCAGTATTCAGAATGGTGATGAATCCAAAATGGTTAAAGTGTCAAAGAAATCAGGCATACAGAGGACATCAGGTGCTATGGATGCAATGGGTATGGGCATGTAAGGGCTGAGTGTCCAACTGCCAATAAAAAAGATACGAAAGCAATGAGAGTTACATGGAGTGATGATGAAATCAAAGAACAAGGAACTGATCAAGAGAAACAAGAAAATATGGAGGGCGAATTGGTTGCTTTTATTGTATAAGATGATGAGAAGAAAGAGGCAAATGAGGATGTTGAATTTATTGAAATACGCTGTGAAGAACTAATTGAGGCGTATGATGTGTTAGTTGCTGAGCATATAGTCTTTATTGTGCAAAATAACAAATTGAAGACTTGTGTTCTGAGGTTGAATAAAAAGATCGATGTCTTAATGAAAGTGAATGGAAAAATAAAGGAAATGAATGATAAGTTTGTTGTGGAACATGAAAAATCACTTCAAACCTCAAAAGAATATATGGAAAAGATTTGCAAATCGAAAATGAAAAAGAAAGAATTGGAAAACCAAATTAGTAGGTAAATGCATGGGGAACAAAAGTTTGATGAGATACTTAATGTTGGAAGATCATATGGAGATTACAGTGGAATTGGGTATATTTATAAAGTTAGAATTTCTCAGATAAAATTTATTAACGGTGGGTTACTCTCAAATCAACTGAAAGTGATTTTGCCGGTGGAATTCAATCGGTTCGAAATATTCTCTAGAATCAAACTATTTAATTATTTTTACTAATTATCAGTGAGTCTCATTTAATTTTTACGTGATTATACTTAATATTAAAAATATTTTTATATTTGTATAAATATTATTGTATTAGTATTATAATATATAAATATTTTTAAATTTATACTATATTTTCATATAATAGGTAATATTGAAAATCCAACGACAAAAATAAACGAGATTCCCTATGGCCGAATGAATGTAATATATTTTTTAATTATATTTTAATTTAAACACTTTTTCTGAGACGAAGTATGCAAACAGCGGTTTCAACGTAAACATCACAGAAGTATCTACTAAACGTTGTTTTTGCAAGTAGTTATAGGTTTTGACTTGGGAGAAAAGGACATACAGTCTGTAATGGCGTCCATGGCCGATCAAGATGTTACCAACGTGGTCATATTCTCAACCACTTGATCCATCACTTCCCGCATTGACCCGTTTCTTCCAAATTCTTATTCAATCCCGCGACGCCACCTCTTCTGCAACTTTTCCCCACCATTCCTGGAGCATCAGCATCGGCAGCTGCAGAACCACGAGGCGTCTCCGATCTCAATCCCAAATCCACTTTCTTCAACTTCCGATCAATCAGCCAGCAAGAACAAACACACAATTCAACCTCCGATCGACCAAAAAGCTGAAATTCCTTTGAAATTAGGGTTTCCCAAAATCCCCAATTCGAGAACCCTAATTTCATCATGGAACCGAATTCCTCCTCACCTCCGAGTCCGATCCCCATCTTCTCAAATTTCGCTTCGCCATTTGCCGAGTCTCCCAAGGCGGCGAGCGGCTCCGCTTCCTCGACGAGAAAACCCCTCAGCTTATGGCCGGGGATGTACCACTCGCCGGTGACGTACGCCCTCTGGGAGGCCAGGTCTAGAATCTTCGAGAGGCTTCTCGACCCCCCGCTCGACGCACCGCCGCAGAGTGAATTACTCACGAAAACGCCGGCGCAGAGCAGGACCACCATTCTGTACAACTTCTCCAGTGATTACACTCTCAGAGAGCAGTACAGAGATCCTTGGAATGAGGTCAGAATCGGGAAGCTGCTCGAAGATCTCGACGCTCTCGCAGGCACCATTTCAGTCAAGGTGTGCAATCTATAAGCTTTCCATTAGTTTCTCGATAACTTTTGATCAATCAGTAACGTTTTGGTTCGTGATCGAAGTTCATAGCCATAGATCAAACTTGCTCTGTTCCAAAAAAATTCGATAATATGATCACGGCATCGTTGCTTATGTGTGCTACGAAAACATTCAGTGTCTTGATTTCACTTCATATTCAGTTACGTAGTGGCTAGCAACACAAAAGTTGAGATTCTTTCGTCGATCATGGAGTTATTGTTAATTTTAGTGTGATTGGAATACACAGAGACTGAAAGGATAACTTTAGTATGATCAAAATTTATTTGTGATCGAATATGCATCATTGGATTACTCAAAGTTGAATTATGTTAGAGTTTGAAACAGGGAAGAATTATAGGTTTTTAAAAGTGTTCATCACACGATCCATTCGATCATCTAGTTTCGATTTCATTCTCTATCCCTGTTTCCCCAAAATTCCCCAACATGAATTGGTACTCTCAACACTGCAAGAGCATTTTCTTGTTATGATCCAGATGTCGTTATATGTTGTTATACGCTCGCTTATATATATATATGCATTTATATATCAGCATTGTTCGGATGATGATAGCACGACTAGGCCGCTCTATCTGGTGACAGCCTCTGTCGACAAAATGGTGCTGAAGAAGCCCATCAGCGTCAATGTTGATCTGCATATTACCGGCGCAGTTACATGGGTCGGCAGGTCTTCCATGGAGATTCAGCTCGATGTCGTTCAGCCTGCATCCCGTTGTCTCTCTACACTGATACATCTATGCATATATTACATTAAGAATTCTCTTACATAAACATATATAATTTACATTCAGCAGGTAAATCCGAAGCCCCGGATTCCGTTGCTCTAACCGCCACATTCATTTTCGTGGCGCGCGACTACACCACGCGCAAAGCTGCCCCGGTGAATCGGCTGTCGCCAGAAACCGAGCGGGAGAAGAAGCTCTACGAAGCAGCGGAAGCGCGGAATAAACTGAGAAGAACAAAGATTACAAATGAAAAGAAAGAGGTTGAGAATGGCGAGACCAACCGATTCGAGGTGCTTCTGGCTGAAGGACGGATCTTCTGCGACATGCCGGCCTTGGCAGACCGTGATAGCATTCTCCTAAGAGACACTCGACTCGAGAATTCTTTGATTTGCCAGCCCCAGCAGAGGAACATTCATGGTCGGATTTTTGGAGGATTTCTGATGCACCGCGCTTTTGAATTGGCTTTCTCTACGGCGTATACTTTTGCTGGCTTGATGCCCTCCTTCTTGGAAGTCGATCATGTCGATTTTCTCCGACCTGTGAGTATTGTTATGCGCAACCTGAACTGTTTTTGATACAATGCTGAATGTCCAATGATTGGTTATAATGCAGGTGGATGTCGGAGATTTCCTGCGTTTCAAGTCGTGCGTTTTGTACACAGAATTTGAAACTTCCGAGCAGCCCTTGATCAACGTAGAAGTCGTTGCACATGTCACAAGGCCGGAGCTTAGGTCTAGTGAGGTATGCCATACGATTTATGTTCGGCAAACAATGCATTGTGAAGCGAGGAAGACGAATAGTTAGGGTGTGTTTGTTTTGGGTTTTTAGCTTAAAGTATTTTTATTTTATTTTATTTTTTTTTTTATGTCAAGTATGGAGAAATGTGTCGAAAACATAAAAGGTAATATTTTGTATTGAATTGTTGATTACTGACTACAGTATATATTTAAATAATAGTAAGTTTTTTGGTGGAAGAACACACCCTTAGTGTTTTTTTGGTTCATTACAGGTATCAAACAGGTTTTACTTCACTTTCACGGTTCGACCCGAGGCTAAGGCAAAGAACAATGGGCATAGGATCAGGAAGGTAGTTCCAGCAACCGAGGAAGAAGCGCGCAGAATCATCGAACGCATGGATGCCGATTCTTTGCAGTTGTCCGAGAATTCAAGCAAATGAATACCCACATTTGGGTCCAAAGGTATCGGAAGTTGTTTAGATATTACTCTTCTCATGAATTTCTCAGCATATTTGCTATACGTGTGATTTAATGATCCCGGTTCTTCACATGATCGAAAAAATGCTATAGAAACTAAGTCTCGAGAAACCGAGATTTGATGCATTCTTTCGACAATTTTCTACTAATTTGAAATGTCGAGACGAAGGTGATATGCATAGGAGTGAACTATTTCCGAATAGCGCCAACGCACACTCGCACGGCGTGTAGGATGAGAAGAAATGTCGGAACACCACGGAGATGCTCGGCGGAATCTCCGTGGAAGGGATCGGTTACTCTAAAAGGATTAGTGTGTTTGTTCGTGGTTTTAGCCATAATTGGTATAGTTGTTTGATACAATGAGATGTAAAATATGTTTTTAATAGGAAAGTAAAGTCTTGAATTGAAAATTAACAAATAATTAAAGCCTTTGGCAAAGAAATAATGAAAATAACAAACCTTTTTGTTTATTAAAAAAATATTTATATAAATAATTAAAGAATTGTAAATTTTAAATATTTGTTTTAAATTATTATGAACATGTTCATTTGTGTTTCTATTGACTTTTAAATATGATTTGAAAAAATTGGATAGTAAAACATATAAAAGATACAAATAAACACAATTAGTAAAGTTAATTTTAAAATATATTTTTAGTCAATATCAAAGTAATTTATGCAAAAAATAAATATAAAATTAAAACAAAATTTATATTTTTCATTTAATTTTTCAAAATAAATTTTTTAAATAATTATAATAGAAAATAATACTCCCCCTATTCCTAAAAAATTATCTTATTTTTTTTCATTGGTCAGTTCCAAAACAATTCTCACGTTTCCGTAAGAGTGATAACCACTATACAACAAAATTATTTATATGTTTTTAAAGCTACTCATAGTTATTACTCTATAATTTACTTTTTAAAATCGTTAAAAGAGTAAAAACGATTTTGTTATTTTCATTTTATTTTATACGTTTTTCAATTTAATACTATTATTCTTTTAATTTTGTAAAATGTAGCAAATATTATATATATATATATATATATCTTAGGAGCCAAATTGGCCCGGGGCAAGCTCCATATCGCTCTGGTTTAGAACCCACTCTAATTTTACCACTCCATAGTTCCATCAAATTTATCATCATGGGAACTTCACCACCCACCGTGGCTCGGCCAAGCTATCGTAGGTGTACGGTGGCTTGCTCTATCCGAAAATTTGAAATGTCTACACGGTAGCCATGTCGATGGCGAAAATGGTGCAGGAGGTCCTAAAAGCTCAAGAACCATCCGGCGATCATTGCGCTGACTAGCTCACGACATGGCGTTAATTTGCACACTACGCCCACTATATGGTGCCTAATGGGGAAGATCTTGAGTTGTGGCGCTAGTGATGCAAGAAATTGATGCGCTGATGGAATTTGTCGATTCTATGGTTTTCACCCGATCATCGTAAAGAATTTGGAAAGGGAATCAATATTTTGGAACTTTTTTTTTTTTTTTTTTCGACACCGAAACTCATGCCAAGTGTTAATAAAAATGATTCTATACCGGTTTTGGCATATGATTGACTTAAAGTTATCGGCTGTTAGAATTACACAAAAATAGTAAAACGAGTAATCAATATTTTTGTCTTTGATATGCAAGTTTGGGCTATAATTTGATTATGTACTATTTAGTGTATGGATATAATATTGATCTAGAAAATAAGTATAAACCAAATTTTTTTAACATGCATAATAAAAAATAAAAAACAAATTTTAAATAAACATAGGGGGCTTATCAAAACTCAGTTCAATATAATATTTGAGTTAAACAGAAATTGAGTGGAAAAAGAAAAAAAAAAAAAAACACAAGAAAAGAAGAATGAAGCTTTAACATTCTTTACTTATTTATTTTACTCTTTCTCTTTTTTTTTTTTACTTCTTTCTCTTTTACTTTTTCTTTTATAATTTAAAATAAAAAAAAATATTTTGTTGAATACTGTTGTTGAATTGTCCCACCTAGAAAATATATTGATTTTGAGATGGAGTATATATCCCTTATTAACATACTAATGGGTGTGTTTATTTGGCAGTTTGGATTTTGATTTGAGATTTGAATAGTAAAATTTTGAATTTGAATAGTTATATAATGTGATATAAACACGTGTTGATGTGATGTTTTGAATGTAAAATTAATTTTAGTATAAAATAAAAAATAGGTGTTTGATTTGATGTTTTTGGGGGGAAAATTTTGAATAAATATTAGGATTTTGGTAAAATCCTTCAAACGAACAAACCAAGTGAATATCTACATAGTTCCAAAAATAATTTCAAAAGAAAAGGTTTTACTAAATCGATTAAAATAAAATAAAAAATGTATATATATTTATATGCATGTCAAAACCGTGAAAAAAAAATTAAAATAGAATATCTATACCTAATGTAAAATATAGATATATTAAGGGTTTGCGGTTGAAATTAATCAGAAATTGAGTGTTTGATTTGAATTTTGACTTAAATAATATTTTAATATAATATTTTGTGATAATAAATAATATATTTTTATTAATAATAAGAATAGTTGAATTTTTGTGTTTTTCTAGTTGAAATCAATATTTATTTGGTTTTGGTTTGATTTTAATTTTTTTATTATTTTATTTGAGTGTTAATTTAAATAGTTATGATATAATATTTTTGTAAGAAATAAAAATTTAAACCAAGCCAAACAAACCCTAAATGATTGGACGGTGAATCACTTAAAAAGTGAGTTATAACTTGAGGAGTCTATGATTATTTAGTGTAAGTTGAAGATTTTATTAAATTAACAAGGTGAAATGAAATAAAACCCACACATCCTTTGGTTTATGAAAATTGCACGAAGCTTCGCATTGTTTAAAAATGGTGTGAGACTCTCTTATTGTTTAAATTTTGTTTGCATTTAACTTACTTTCTGTCATTAGTTAACGGTGATTTCGTAGTTATGGAGTATTTGAATTACCTTTGCAGTTAAAGTACGTCTAGAACAATCACCGTTAACCAATGACGAAATTGGCTAAATGTAGGATTGTTTTAAAATATAAGTGTGACATCTTGATCTGTAAGCCACGCAAAGTCAAACATGTCAGGATCGTAGACTGACTTCACAAGTCAACTCGAGTCCTTTCAGGACGTTTCTGTGCTCACTCACGCGCACCCAGAGAGATTTCTCAGGGGTCACCTATCCTAAAATTATAGCTTCTGTACTCACTCACGCGCACGCAGAGAGATTTTTTAGGGGTCACCCATCCTCAAATTATTATAGGGCAAGTAGGCTTAACTTTAGAGTTCTTTCAGTAGGACCATCGCAAAGGAATATGAACATTGTTAACATGACTAGTCTATTTAACCTATTTAAACTCTAATCGACTTCGGATGGCCTGACACTAGCTCATCCACGGGAGTTGGCCTAGCACCGGCCCAACTCCGGGGATATTACATCATTCCCACTTAAGAATGCAACGTCCACATTGCACTCCAAGGATCATCAACTGCTAGACCCGTTACCAGTCCGGTCAACGACTTCGGGCTACCGCAGATCGGCTCTGATACCAACTGTGGCACCCCGGCCCACAAGCCACGCGAAGTCGAGCATATCAGGATTATAAATTAGTCCCACAAGTCAATACGAGTCATTCCAATGCGTTTCTGTTCTCACTCACGCGCACCTTGGGAGACTTCCTAAGAGGTCACCAATTCTCAAATTACTCTAGGGCAAACACGCTTAATTTTAGAGTTTTTTCAATAAAGCTTTCGAAAAAGAATATGCACATTGTTGACATTAGTATTCTATTCAATCCATTTCACCTCTAATCGACCTCGGATAGCTTGACACCGGCTTGGGAGTTGGCTTAGCACCGGTCCAATTTTGGGGTATTACAATAAGGAAGTTTGACATAATTTTTAAACAATAAATAATTTCTTACAATTTTTATAAGATTTTATGTTGTTTTGCCAATTAACAATGATATGGTAAAGCAATTCTATGTGGAATTAATTTGAATAGTGTCATATGTTCTTTCTGATTTATTTATTTATTTTTTTCTTTTTAATAAAGCTTTTATATTCTTCTAGAATTTGATCTCAAAATTTTAATTTGTCATCCCAAAATATATAATTATTTTGGTATAAAATATCATATTAAAATAATTTTTTTTTAAATAAGATAAAAAAATCCAAAAAAAAAAAAAACTCTAATCAAACTTAAAAATATATGCGCACCAATCAACCACAAGTATTGATAATTTATATAGAGAGATGAATGTTGTGTTATTTTTGTTTTTTAATTTTTTATTTTGGGAATAATCATGAGATATATGTTATTAGGAAAGTATTTTGTGAAATTGTGATATTAGTTGGTGTTAAAATATATCTAAAAAAATAAATATAATAAATATTATATTTATGATAGTTATATTATTTAAAAGATTTTGAGGATTCTAAAACTTATAAAAATTTTACTTTATTTAAACAATTTATACGTATATCAATAGTTGGTAAATAACCTTTATTATCTTTTAAATACTTTATTACATGAAATAGTGTAACTTTTATTAAAAAATATGAATTGATTCTTTAATTTTTTTTTATTATATTTATTTATTTATTTTTATTGAAAATGATGTAAAAGTTAAAAGAACAAAACTAAAGAGTGATGTGAATACACACAAACAAACTATATCTATATCTATATATATGTGTATATATATATTCTCAATATCATTGTACTCAACTTCCCCAAAATATGTTTCGCGGAGATTTTGTACCCGTTTGGTACGAATTTCCCGAAATAAATCCTCATTTGGTCGAAAGTGTCGAAGAAAATAATCTCGATCTTGATCTAGAAAATAAAACGTTTTGCGACGCATGTAAGTTGCCAATTTTCTCGACTCCTTATATTTCTCATAGAGGTGACGACCATATTCATTTTCTTCATGAATGTTGCAATGAACTCCATCAAGAAATAGTCCGGCACCCTTTGCACCCAAAGAAGCTTCTCTTGCACAAGCAATACGACCCAAATGTTCCATCTTCTTGCAACAATTGCAAAAGGGATTGTAGCAAAGGAGGCTTCTTCTATCAATGTCCCGAAGATAATTGCAATTTTACTCTCGATATTTTGTGCGCCACAAAGGTTAAAATTATGCATAGAAGTCACCGGCATGAGTTGATGCTCATTCGTAGAAGAGAGAATCGGTTCACTTGTGGGGCTTGCGGATTAGAGCATGATGGCGACTTCTATTGGTGCGATCTTTGTAATTTCTATCTTCATCACGAATGCGCTTTGCTTCCCAACACCATTCGTCATGATAAGCATAAAGAGCATCCTCTTTGCATTACTTACGATCTCCCCGTGGAATCGGCTAAATTCCAAAAGTCCGAGGATTGTTCTATTTGTGAAAAAAAACTCTCGTCTATCAAGTCGGGAATATATTTTTGTACGACGTGCGATTACAACGTACACATCTCTTGTGCAACTCGGGATTCATCTACTTATCATTCAGGTAATTCGATTTATTTTATAGAGTTTGTTTGGTTAGGTTTTTTTTTTTTCATTTTTTTTACTATTCATTATTTCAATTATTATCTAAGAACGTCGGGTTTAACAATTATTACATCTTGAAATAAAAAAACATTAAACCCCTGTTTATTTTATTTTTGGTTAGTCATTTGAATTTATGTCCAATTTATTCTTATCAATTACCATTATTGCTACTTATATATCAAAGTATTGGGGAATATATAAATAATTAGCAAATCATTACACTATAGATAACTATTATTAAGTTAGCAAATTAACTTGAAACAATTAGTAAATCTTCTTAAGAAAAATGATGACTGTTGTGTTATATAATGTGTAATATATTATATTAATATTTGTTACTTTCTTTATAGATATTTGTTTATTAGATCAAATTACTATTATGCTAAAACCCTAATATAATTTACTGAAATCAAAATATATATTTTACTAAATATGATTATATAATTATATAATGTGTTATTCCAATATGTGCTTACATATTATATCAATATTTGCTATTTTTTTAATCAAAATTATCTGATTCAGTAACTGGAGCAATATTTATGCTTAACAATTGTGCATTATATTCTACACATTTGAAGATTAAAAATATAGTACTCTTCTGCCTTAATATTTTTGCTATTATTTTAAACTGAGATGTTTCAAAACTTTTTCACAACTTCTTTATTTATATGATTTTTCTCTTTTATCCCCAATGAATAATTTATAAAAATATATCCAACAAAAAGTAGGGTTTCTAAAAAAATCGTGCCCAAGGTAACCAAAGTAACACATTAAAGAGGTTGTCTTTATTAAATTGTGCCTTTTTTTTTTAATTCATTAATATATATTTATATATCCTTTTAAAACAGTATTGAATCAAGATGTAGCAAGTGGTCTTGTTCATTTGCCAATGCCCGATGAGAATACAAGTTTAATGCAGTGTTTATTGAAGAACAAAAATGGCCAGAATAGCATAGGAGCCTTCGAAGAAGATCAGAAAATATTGAAAAAAAAAAATATACATGAACATGATTTGATTCTTCATGAGAAATACGACGACGGCGGCAGCAACGATCCTTGTCGATCTTATGTGTGCAACGCTTGCATCGAGCCCATAGTTTTGCCTCCATTCTATAGCTGCTCTCAATGCGATGATTTCTGCCTCCACACTTGTTGCGCCAAACTTCCTTCCGAGTTCAATAATGCGATCCATGGATTGCTTTCATCCGGTTGCAAAAATAGACCGTACACTCTTTTGCCAACTTTGATGCCCAGAAATTTCTTCTCCAGGTATTGGTGCACAGGTTGTTTTCGATATTGTAATGGATTCACCTACAATTGCGACAATTGTGAGACAACGATGGATGTTCGATGCGCTCTTTTACCAGAAGCGATCACTTATGAAGGTCACGGCAAATCCCACATTCTTTTCTTATCGTACACGCCTACATCCACGAGTGGCCGGGCTTGCCAGGGTTGCAATACTAGTATTCAACAACAACTTTTTTACAAATGTTGTAGTTGTTCTAATTTCGAGCTACACGTTCTTTGCGCTCTTTTGCCATTGAATGTGTCTCACAAGCGCGACAGGCATCCATTGAAGCTATCATTTTCAAAGATCTCGACTATCCAAAGTGATAGAGATTTTTGCGAGATTTGTGAAGAGAGCATGGATACCGAATGCTGGTACTATCATTGCAAAGAATGCGACACGTTGTTTCACATTAGGTGCATTCCTTGTGTTGGGGAGTATTCGATGATAAAATTTGGGGGATCTATTCGATTACGGGGCCATGTTTGCTCTTCCCCGCTCACTTCTACTCGATTGCTCACAAGTTATAGCTTCACGTGTAGCCTTTGCGAGGAAGTTATTGACAGCCGAGTGGATGGGATTGCATTTGAATGCATCAAGTGTTGCTTCCGGTCGTGCTATGATTGCGCCGATGCTAGATGGATTCCAAACTACAAGTAGTTAATCGAATTGAGTTTATGTGTTAATAGTGTTTTGTTGGTTAGTGGAAATGTGTAAGATGATTTTGACATTTTTTTCATTGCTGAAACTTACTTCGCCTACAAACTCTTCAGTATTTAACGTATACGTGTAACGATATGGTTGTAATTTTTATAAAAACTAAGAGTATTTTGATATTAGTGTGTAATTACTGGCCTTTAGACCATCTTTAATCCAATACTAGGTTTTCTCCAAAATTTTCTCTAAGTTTTATCTCTCCTTCAACTCATTCTATTTTTTTCCTAAAAAAAATATTCCACATATTACTTGTTTCAAACAATTACATAACAATTATTCAACTTTTATTTATTTACATATCAAACTCAAAAATATTTTTTCAATAAATTCAAATTATACCATATTTCGAAATCTTAAAATAATAATAATAATAATTATTATTATTTAATTTGATTATTTTTCCTCTAAAACTAATTGTACGCATTAAAAATTAAATGCCTAAATTAAATTAAATATCATGTATTTTGAAAGAAAATAAAATTTTAATAAAATAAATATATAATATTTAATTATGTACATATGTTAATTTTTATACAATAAATATCAACCATTAATGCAAAAATCTGTTTAAAATGAAAGATATCGTACAAATATTACGTGCATAAATAGAGCAATAATAAATTTGGCAGCAAAATAAATTAATCTTGTCAATGAAGAAGCACTACAAAAAAATAATATATTTGTAATGGAATTCCGTCCCTAAAGTTCACGTAGCTAACGTAATTCCATTCCTATTTCTGTCTCTAATGTCATTAGTAACGGAAAAAGTAGATTTAGAGAAAAAAATTTTTGTTACAAAAATAATTTTTTCTTGTAGTGAAGTATATAAATTAATATCTTTCGGAAAAGATAATGATACAAAGATCTTGATGAGAAAGGAAGGGGCGCAATCAAATCCTTCAGAATGGCAAAAAGAAAAATTATAAAATTTTTTTGTTGACCAATCATGGCGCGCCACGTGGTACCATCCAGAAAGGAAGCCAAGACCACCCCTCCCCTATAAATAAGAGTCATGACCAATTCATTTGACACACCGAAGTTACATCGAGGATTCAAGCAAAGGGGTAAATCTCTAGACTCTCTGTATTGTTCTTCATGTTCTTCGTGTCATTCGAAGCGTTCTTCGTTGAAAGTTACTGATTTGGACAAATGATCCAATATTGGTTGACGAATTGATGGAGTTAATGTTATTCGTCGTATGCCCAAGCCGAATGAAGGATCAAAACTCCAAAAGCCGTTGAAGGATCCGCCAAAGCCAAGGAAGAACTTCCCAAGTTTATCCCAAAACTTCAAGGTGTTCGTCGCGTTCTTCGTCAAAAGCATCAATCAGACCCTCACTTGTCGCGCCATAAGTGTTATGGACCTCCAAATTCACCTCTTCAAAGATCAAAGCTTCGGATCGTCCAAAGAAGACATCAAATCAAAAACCGATGATCAAGTTGCCCACATGGAGACCAAAACTCTTTAAAAGGCGGCAAAGTCAAACCAAAGATCAAAGCCGTGGATTGTCCAAAGAAGACGTCAAATCCAAACACGATGATCTAATCGTCCACACGGAGACCAAAGTCCTCTAAAAGCGGCAAAGCCATACCAAATATCAAAGTCTCGGATCGTCCAAAGAAGACATCAAATCGAAAGCAGACGATCGAATCGCCCACACTGAGACCAAAACTCTCCAGAAGGTGGCAAAGCCAAACAAAAGATCAAAGCTACGGATCGTCCAAAGAAGATATCAAATCCAAAGCCGACGATCAAATGACATGCACGGAGACCAAACCTCTCCAAAAGGCGGCAAAGCCATATCAAATGTCAAAGCCTCGGATCGTACAAAGAAGACATCAAATTCAAAGCCGACAATCAAATCGCCCACACGGAGACCAAAATCCTCCAAAAGGCGGAAAAGTCAAATCAAAGATCGAAGCTATGGATTGTCCAAAGAGGACATCAAATTCAAAATCGATGATCAAATCGCCGACACGGAGACCAAATCTCTCCAAAAAGCGGCGAAGTCAAACAAAAGATCAAAGCCTCGGATCATCTAAATGGGACAAGCCGATGATCAAATCACCCGCACGAAGACCAAAGCCCTCCAAAGTCCGGCAAAGCCAAACCGAAGACCAAATCCCTTCGAATCAAAAAAGTCATTCAAAATCAAGTTGAAAAATAAATCGACCTAGAGAGAGAATCAAATGACTCATTTAGACAATAAGATCCGCTTTAAATCCAAATTAAATATAATTTGTAAAATTTTATATTTATTAAAAATAATATAATTTTTTGTCCACGCTAATGATTTTTAAAATAAATAAAATAAAAAATTATAATGAAATCACAATTCTATTAAAAAAATAACGCCATAAAATACAAATATAATCAAACTAAATTATTATTTATTACAACAATCAACATCTGCTTCTTCTGATCTATTTGACTATAATTTTAATAGTTAGGCAGAGGCCGATCCAATTAACCATTCCCATGTTAATATGTATAGTTATTTTTATTTCAGTAATTTAGTTATTGTTACTTTTTACTCCCTCCGCCGCACACACCGCATATACTGTGTCTGCTACACTGTAGATACGGTATTTTAAGAGGTATGTAATTAGTAGATAATTAAAAATATATTAGTAAAAAATAATTATCCTATAATATAAATAATTATAAATTAAAATTAAGATAACTAATTAGTTTAATTAAAATTAAAAAAAATAAATTAAAAAATTTAAAATAAGATTAAAGTGTGTAATTATTTTCCAAAAAAAGAAAAGTGACATGAATGTGAGACGAACAGAAACCGCAACGTGGATATGATATGTGGAGTAATATTTATAAATTTTTGTAGTTGTATTTTATTATAATTTTATGTTGTAATTTTATTTTGTGTAATATAATATTAATTTATTATATATTATATAAAAAATTATATTTTTATTTTTATTTTTATTTTTTATAAAACAAGCTCAAATACACGTAACAATTACACAGAACCCCTAGAACCTTCTTATTCAATCCGAATCCATGCCTACAACTATATTTTGTGGAGCCTGGTTTGTAGGATATTATGTTCGATTAGGAATTTATTCGATGCGTACTTTCGGATAGCAGTTGAGAGTTCCCATGTCATAAAAGATAACTAAATAAATGAAAATTGCTAAATATATGTATATATATAAAACAATCCTGAAAAAAGGACAAAATGCAATTTTGAAAATTCTTTCTCCAAAAAATGGATACTTTTTCACCCTTACGTCCTGCGGAGGTGATAAGTTTCTCAAACAATTATATAAAATCAACCAATTCACAGCATCATCGTTAGTCAAACAAGACACAAAGCCAGCTTGTGCCTGGATTTGTGTTCAATAAAAAATAATTGTGCTACTTTGTATTTAGAGAAATCGATTGTTTTTCTTTCTGTCTTGGTATATTTCTATACTCCTACTTAGTGTTGAAGACAATTGAAAATTATCTGAAGAAGGGGAATTTGGTTTTACTCTCAGCTAGAGAGGTTATCTGTAAGTATTTTAACTGCGGGTTGATCGCTTATTTTTTGTGCATAGCTATGCAAAGAGGATTATCTGAGATAATAGTTTGTGGTCTCTCACCGGAGTCGAAAATGACATGATTCCACCGGAGCAGAAAACTAGATGACTTTCCACCGGAGTCGAAAACGAGATGACTTTCCATCGGAGCCGAAAACGAGATGACTCCACCGAAACCGAAAACGACATGATTCTACCGGAGCAAAAAACAGATAGATCGCAAACACCAAAAAATCTCACACAGGCAACAGACAAACAACGAACATATGGCAGATCACAGATAAATTTCAGATCGCACCCAGACAATAGACAACCAACGGACAGATGGCAAATCGCCGAAAGATTTCAGATCGCACGCAGGCAACAGACAGACAACGGACATATGATATATAGCAAATATATTTCATATCGCATGCAAACACTGAATAGATGATGACAGATAGCATGATTTCAAAATCACAAGACATTCGGGTACAATAAAAAAAAAATATAGGGATTTTAAATATAGATAAAAAAATTATTGAGGAGAAAAATAGAAATATAAAAAATTTTGAGTGAGAGCTATGTGTAAAAGATTATAAATTTAATTTAATTTATTTATATTTTGTAAATATGTTTAAAATGAATAAATTTACTGATTTTAAAAAATGTGTCAACTATCATGGGAGAACCTAAAATGAAAAATATGCCGACTGTTATGGGATGAAGAAAATATGATTCTTCTTTCACATTTTTCGTACATCAAACACTTCTAATTTGAATACTAATGTTTGTCTCGGTTTCACATCCTGTTTGTTTGTTATTCATCTTGTTGCTGTATCATTCCTCCCTCCTTTCTTCTTTTGGCTCTAATTAATGTTAGCTTGTTTTGTTCTTTATTTATTTTACACTATTTCCGTCCAATTTGAAATTATATATTTACCTTTAAGTTTAAAAAATAATAATATTTTTAATTATAACGAGTAGTTAAAACTAATATAAAAATAATTTTGCTCTTAGTGTTTATTTTATTTATTTTTATTGTGTGTAAAAGGTATTAATATGATAGCAAAATAATAGTATATATTTTAGAAATAGTTATTTTATAATTGAACAAATCTAAATAAAAATATATATATGTATATAGTTAAGTTGATTGAAGGATTATTACTACTTGTGGCTATTACTGTGATGATTATAATTAATCAATACAATGCTAATAAAACAAACAATATATACCGGCAACATACGAGATGTAAATCAATAGCACAATATGTATGTTTATACGATATATATATATAAATTACATGAACCGCCAGTATATAATATTAACCCAAGCACCACACATATCATATTTAATCTCACGCGTAAGGTGGCGGCTATAGTGCTGAATTTAAAAATTAATTTTGTGCTAAACAACACTCAATAAACTCACAAAAAACACTCGACATTATTATTGACAAACACATCATTTATATTTATATACAAACACAACATATGAACTTACAACATATGTATAGACTAATATAGCATACGTAACAATTGATTTTAGCACGTGGCATACTCTTATACATCACACGCTGTAATTATAAACATACATTACATAC